GGAGAGGGAGCACCATTCAAGTTGACGGTTGCAGCTTGAAATTCTGCTAGTAGACGCTCTGCTTGTTTTAGCCATTTCTGTAACCACACGTTAGATGAAAAAAAAACCAACGACCCTAGCGCTGGCACAGCACAGTAAAAAAACAGACCTGAAAATGAGAGTGGCCACCAATAAGTTTTCATAACCGTCTCAACCTTTCCCTTCCCAACTTCAGCTGAAGCAAACACTACTAGTAGTATGCCTCCGAGTCCCCATCTGTCTTCAACGCCGTCAGATATAGCCGCCCACAAGCGGAACGCCCAAAGAAAGGCCCAGGTGGCAAGTCAAGATTCCACTGGCAAAAAAACCGGCAATACAGAAGAGAGTGAGTACATCCATAGGCCAAGAAAAATGCGATGGACTCACAGTCATCACCAAGAACCACTGCAGCGGTCATCCAAAGTAAAGGCCTTAGAGCGAAAAAGTTAGTACAGGCAATTGGAGAAAGCAGTCATTGACACACCTTGTTTCAGTCTGGAATGAGACAACGACCAATACTCGTAAGCGCGCACCCACAGTAACTGCGCTACAATCAGTACCAGCCGCCAAGTTAGCGCGAAAGAATGAGACAACGACCAATACTCGTAAGCGCGCACCCACAGTAACTGCGCTACAATCAGTACCAGCCGCCAAGTTAGCGCGAAAGACACCTGCAGAAAAGTTAGACAATGGTTAGTAGTTGCTTAACAGATCAGTATGAGAGATACTCAACAGCGGATCAAGTCAACGGTCATGGTCAAAGTCAAGGCCGCGATAAGAAAAACAGCAAGCTGCCAAAGTCAGTCGCAGTGTCAATCGAAGATAACGACTCTGTCAGTGAATACGGAGAGAGTGATCATGACACCGACAAATCGGACGATAATGCGGAGGTTCCAGAAGACGATGATGAGGACTTAGTACCCTCCCAGAAGGAACTGATTAAAGAGGTGAGTCGTCACTTAGCTACCCAAAGTTGAGAATGATGAAAAAAATGACGCACCTTTTATTTAAGATTCCCTACATGATGCCTCCTCGTGCAGCTAGATCTGCCAGCGCACTATCGCAAACCAGCAAAACATTGTCGAATAGTGTTCGGATGACATCTAGCGGGGTTTCTGACGAGTCTGAGTCAGAGTTGCAGTTTGCTGACAAAGACACGGAGTCTGCCAGTGACCGCAGTGACAGTCAACGTTCCAAGGCAAGTTATGATTACCGCGAGCCTTCATCACTCACCAACTCGAAACCACAGCCAAGCAAGAAGAAGAAGAAGAAAAGGAGCAAAGTAGCAGAAGCACGTCAAGAAATTGAGGTGATGTGTTCTACTCTACTACGCTCCCATCACTCTGTCTTACTAATGAATATACTGTTTTCTAGAGGCCCAAATTCGCAGAGTCGCGGCAGCTAACAGACGAGGCACTGCCAGCCTCCGCCGATAAGGAGTTGTCTGAACACTCCTTTACATGGCCTATATTCACAGATCTAGTCTACTCAGCCGATAGCTCGATCAACCTCAAGGCTCAGAATACTCGGATTCAGCAGGTGTTGAAGACTGCCGTCTTTGAACTCAAGAAAGCCTCTATCTTCGACAACGCATTTCCCAACATCACTCAGAAGCGCAAGATGGCTCTCGATGCAGTTTATAATGCTGCCGGGAAGCATAAGGAATATGCGATAGCAAAGAGGATCAAGCATGACTTTGATTATGCGGTGGCTCTCGCTGGAGTGGTATGTACACTTCTTGTATGTTACTGGACATCACTGACATCCTCACAAGCCGGAGGGACGGCTTAGTTCCTTCCGTACTAATCTCAAGAAACTCGCGCATCAAATTGTGGTCTCTCGTTTTGGACTCAAGAAAGGCTGCGGTGACGAGGTAGACGACCTCATCAAGGGTCACAAGTATATTTTCCCAACCGACGCCAAGGTCTGTTCATTTTTTCGTTATCTATCTCTTCATTTATCTTATTCTTATCCACCACCCAGGGTAAGGTCCTTGGGGACCAACCGTTTTGTGACGAGTCTATGGTTGACTCCATCCGTTTATCTTTTTTCGATGGTGAGAACTCAATTGGTGTCCAGTCCTGTGACGATTTTGTCTCGGTCTTGGATGGAAACAACGAGCCCGAGCTACCTGTTGCTATGGTGTGTTTGATTGCAACGCTTGTAGGTGCCGCTCTTGATAATGTTTACTCTGTTTGCTCACTACATAATGTTCTCTGCAGATTTACTCGATATTGAAGGATTGGAGCAGCGGGAACCCACCCTCAGGCGCACAAGTCAAATCATTCAATTCCTCCTTCCACATCAGTGTTTACAACGCTCACCAAGCGACTCTCACACGCATCTTTAACGGTAGTCGAAAGAAGTACCATGTACTGATGGCGCGTCTCTACAAGGCAGTCAGGTATGTCTTGCTCACGCGCTATTTGTTATCGTCGTGTACTCTAACTAATTCAACATTAGTGCAGTAGAAAGCTCAGAGCCCGCTGGTTCATTGGACGCCGCTTGTGATTACCTTGATCTTGATGCAATGGGTGAAGATTAATCAACCTTCCGAGTCATTTGTACATACTGGTGCTTTTTCGAGTCTGCTGATCTTTTTGCCGTCTTTCGGTTGTGATATTCTCGTTTAATTCTAATATATTTGATGTTCGTGTGTCTTCACATTGTTTGAATTCAAGATAATTCAAGATAATCAATCAGCAAATTCAAAGGATTTCAAAGGAATTCAAAGGAATTTCGACTGGAGTTGAATAATCTCGTTTACTTTTATTTCAGCGGAATTCAGAGGAATTCTCTGAAATTACCTTGATTTCGTGAAGGAGGTTTTCCCTGATGAGTGCGCCCGTCCAGGACTCCATCCCATCAAGTGAAGCCTTTATAAATTACTGATATTCTGCAATCTTACAATGAAACGTAAAACAACGCGTCGTGAGTACGTTAGTCATATCTCATGCAGTTAACGGTGTTCGAGATCTTCCTTTAATTTACAACCGAGCACTCAGCGCTCAGCAACGAAGTACTCGAGAACTACTTATGCGTCATGGCGTCAACCACACTACACTGATGCGAAAGCAGAAACACGAACCGCTATCACGATTACTCTGGCTGACACTCATATACGACATCGCCCTACCAGGCCGGTGAGTCACATGGTTATGAAGATGAAAACTACTCATACTCACTTCGTTGTCAACAACTATTGGCACACAATCATAGCCATCGCAGCAACCGGGATTATGGGCGTCGACGTTGCAGGTGGAGGGACAACTGTCAGCACTGACAAGAGACACTGTCAACGCAATAACGGCGAGGACGAAGGAGAGATGCATTATTTGTGAGATGTAATATGGAATCTCAAAAATAATTCAGAAGGAGACGGCAAGAAAGACACTTGTCTTTATGTCCTGAATAGCGTCAAAACCTGCCCACCTGAAATATTCTTTTATAAACAGATGTTTGCATTGCCACTACATTGCCAGCAGACCTCAGATTCGACTTCTTCTATCTCCGACATTCTCCTGCCAGTAGAACACTAGGAAATGTTGGCAATGTGTAATCCAAACTGGTTATTACATCCGGCCCACGATAGATGACACTGCTCAGAAGTCTCATGGATACTAGGAGAAATTCAGAGCTTCATCATGGGGAAATGCAAAATCGGATACCGGGATACCGGGAGATAAGTACTTAAGTACTGATCCTTTCGCTCATGGTCAACTATATATACCACATTCATCGCGGAAACAAGAATTTGACCAGACCCTAATCAGAGGAAAACAACATGCATAACACGACAGTAAATAGATCTGCCCTGCAACCAGACGCCAATCCGATGTGTAACAAGTCATAACACCACCCTCAAGGGTAAGTACAATAAGCAGAGTCTTTTCCAACTTATTAACTATACCATCGCACATCCTCTGGAAAACATTGCAATCTGACTACAGATTGACCCTGGAAAATATCCTCTTGACCGTTTGATTAGGGTCGAGTTTGTGACTTCGGCTAAATTTGCTGAAATTCTACTTAAACCTTTGAAGTCTCAGCATCCCTCCTTGACTTGCACCCACAACTATCTCCATGCGCTGTCCCCACTCAGCTGATGTGAAATTGACAGGATGCCTTTGGTAGGTTTATCGTGGCATGTTCACCGTTATCTACTTGGTAACTGATGTTGTATGGGCTACAGGGCACGTTCATGCGGTACAAATATCAGTATGTTGATTTTCACAATGAGCACATGGTGCTGCTCATGACCCGTCAGATTTAGGGAAGATGATATAGTGCTGTGAAATCGCTGACAGTCTAGGACTAGGAGTGAGTTTTTGGCTTTCTCGATTTACTGGGCAGACAGCACCACTAGACTGGCAGGGAACATGACTGTTGGCTGGCAGGGGTCAAACACTCGCTCATCATTTTGGACGGACGAGCGTGATTCAGTAAGGAAAGCATTTTAGAAGTAGCTCTCATCGATGTCTACCTAGAGTATAACCAGACTTGCTTTTGTTTGAATCTTGACGGAAAACAGATGTGAGGATTCAAGAATTCCGACTTGATTCCGCATCAGATTAGGCACCGAGGGAACAAATCAGGCCCTTCGAAACTCATAATTCGTGTTATGCTGTGGAATGAGTGTCTCTTGCGAATCGTCGATCTAATGCTGAGAATATATACTTGCTTTGTGAGTTCACTTTATTCTACCCCGGTTCAGCTACTGTCTCTCCACACTACTTGATTGTCCCGTATGCTGATTTCAGGAGCAAATGAGAAAGGCGAGGCAAATGGTGTTCAAATATCTGCTTTTGTAGTGGAATTGACATGAGTGTGTCAATAAAAAGTAACGACTGAAGGTCACCATGTTGAACAAGGTGACATCTTGGACCTTAGCGCTCGTCGACGGAAGTAGAGGTAGGGGCGTGCCTCTGGTCCTCCTCCCACTGCAGCGAGCAATGACCAATAGCAGAGTAACGATGAGCCCATCACTATTAGAATCCAAGCCAATATGAGTTTGTATCTGCTAATATGCAAACAAAGCAGGCGTAGTGACGAATGGAAAGAGACAAACAAGAAAGAAAGCTACATGTAAGCATATAAAAGATATACAAAACAAGAAATGATATAGATAACTTTTAACGACAAGAAAAAAGACATGTCAGGCTCTCCTATAGGCAATTTCCGGGTCACGGCGAGAGGGATAGTCTCTGACACGCTTGTCGTCCCTCGGAGGACCAGACCTGTCGCCAGAGTATCCATTGCCGCCAGGGTAGGCATCGTAATGCGCAGAGCGGGGCGGAGGACTCAATGAGCGGCGACTTCCAGTTGCATGAGGAATCATGAAAACATGATGCAACAAAGGACTCACCGATAGCGAGGCGGCTCAGGAGAACGAGGGTAGTCCGGTTGGCGTAAGGGCGGTGTAAGTGGCCTAGGAATGTAATCCCTTGGAGATAATGAGACTTCAACCACAATACAAGAAGTCGCGCCATACCGGAGTGGTCTATCGTAGTCATCGCGGCGAGGAGGGGGACCAGGAGGTGTCCTTGGCCTGGAATTCGTGGGAGGGTACCTATCATCTGGTGGGGGACGCCTTTCATACCGATCAAAGTCCCTTGGTGGAGGATAGCCTCTCGGTGGCAAATCTCTGTCATATGGGCGATCATACCGGGCAGGAGGTGGCGGCGGAGGTCCCCTCAATCTATAATCATCATAATCGCGCGGACGTGGAGACGGCCCCGTAAGAAAATCTCTTTGATCCCTTATAGGCGAGACGGGACGTCGGAAATCTCTGCTAGGAGGTGGCGGCGGATAATCATAATACCTCGCATCCTGTGGAGGTGGATACCGTGCCGGGGGACCAAAATCTCTAGGAGGTAAGTAATCCCTAGGTGGTAATCGTTCAATCAACCCCACTTCGTGAGAAGAACCCCTAGGAGGACGCCTGGCAAAGAGTGAGTAGTCTTGACAGCAGTGTTAAGATAACTTACGATTGCAAACGAGGGCATTCCCTATTTTCAAAGCGGTCAGCAACAAATGACCGTGATCGTCAACTACGCACCTGGCCCAATGGCCAGTTTCACCGCATCTGAAGCAAGCGCCGGGATCATCAGAGCGCCTAGTAGCGCGCCCGCGACCGTGGGAAAGTTCCACTCGTATTTTGTTGCCCATAAAGTACCCTTCGTTGTACTTGGCAACACTTTCTTCGGCAGCTTCGCGGCTGTCGAATTCCTAAAACGAACCTCCATGAGGTCACTCATGCGAATAGAGGCAGTGATAACTTACGACAAAACCATATCCGATTCTACATGGCAGATGTTGAATAAAAACCAATTCCCTAAGTAAAATTGAAGAACGTACTTCAACTCGATGTGTGTGATCCTTCCGATCTTTCCAAAACAACTTTGGAGGTCCTCTTGGCGTGTATGGTCTGGTAAACCGCCAATGTATACTTTGTTCGGCTGTGCAGCACAATGTGTTCAACATGAGGCCAGACAATGAAGCGAATCAGAACAGCGAGAAGACAAGGGCAAGACCAGTGAACAGAGGAATTTGCACGCAAAACTTCGACGTGAGGGTTTAGCGACCAGGGACAGGTGTAGCAAATCGCTTAGTCGCAGAACCAACTAATCGCCCAGTATCATAGTCAGGATACAAGATCTTTGCGCAGGCGGTAGAGATCCAAGCTAGCGGAGGATTCAACAAGAATAAGAGGAGACCTAAGCACCTTGGATAACTTTTCGCGACCGGAGTCGGTTTTGCTGCCAGAAACGCCGTTGTCACCGCTGGAGGTACGTTTATGACCAGAGCCGCTGGCCATTTGCCCGGAAGTCGTTTCGTCTGCTGCCAGAGGCGCGTCGTCGACGAGGGGGTCGGCGCTGGACATAGGTCCCATGTTATCTGGGTCTTCACCGAAACCCCATTTGTCATTGGTGTCTTGTGCTGCTAGCGGTGATGCAGCCATCTTGGAGGTATTGGTGCAAAAATATTCTGAAAAAGATTTCAGGGGATCAACAGAGCATGTCATAAACAAACTTGCCACAACTTAGAAACAAAACATGTTCAAACAGACTTGGGACAATAAGTCTACAAATATTAAAGATAGTATTGTGGCAGTAACAGTAAACCAGTGGATATACAATACTCTGAAAAAAAATCCATTTATAAAAAAGTTCATCGCGTCAAATAATTTCGAGAAAGGTCCTTAAGCTATGCTATGGTCCAGAGTCCACTCGCGATACCAGCTGCAACAAGAACTCCCATGCCCATCAGGGTCCTAGCATCAGCGAAAACAATTGATGCGGCATTATGTGAACTACCACTTCCGCCACCCGAGCTTGATGATGACCCAGAGGGACTCGGGGCTCCCGCAGGGAGAGTGGGGACGGACGTGCCCGAAGCACTCGCGAGACAGGACGATGCCGCGTTATTTGCAGCGGTGGCACTGGATGGTGCCTTGCTATTGACGGTCCCGTTCCCACCGAAGCTACATGATTGAGCGTTGGCCCCGGTTGCTATATAGTAGTCGCTCATCACGTAGGACAACATTATAGCTATGAGAAATGATTAGGGCTTGCACTGTGCAACATTCTTACATCATGAACTTACTAGGGTCGCACTCAGACACCGCGCCGTATTGTCCTGTTGTCCCGTTGGAAGAAATCGCGCTGCAAGATCCACCAGACTGTCCAATAAGGCTGCACGCGTAATCTAGTAACGATCCAACGATTGCCGTGTAGTTACTGGTCGAAGGCGTGAATTGGCAGCTGAGATTGTTTTCGAGACACTGGCAAGCAGCTAAATTAGGTGTGGGAGGAAGAGTGTTGGAAGCAAGCCAAGTTGAGTTCTGTTGAGGGCACGATGGATAGCTGGCAGCACCAGCAGCGCTCTGCGAAGGCGAATTAGGCGGCGATGCAGCGGCGTACTGGCTCTGTAGGTTGGTAAAATCGCTGCTTGTAGTGACAGTACTTCCATCAGGTGAGATCGTAACCATACCGAACTGTCCCTGAGCGCTCGCAGCTGGGAAGTAAGAGAATGCGACACCACCAGACCAGACAGGAGACATCTCCGAACTCAAAAGCGCCCCAACTTCTGTCCACAGACGAGGAGGAGAAGTAATGCACCCGAATTCGCTGAAGTAGGCTGCAACATTATAACCCGCAAATTGTCCCTCTACACCAGCATAAGAAGCCTCAAAGGTTGAATTTCCGCACCATTCACTGCAACACGATGTCAATGATCAAAAAATGAAAATATCAACAATTCAAACTGACTAGTTATTCAACCCGAATAGATCGATAGCAGCTGCACCGGAGTTTGATCCAGAGGGATCACAGGACAAGTAGTTAGCCAAAGGGTCAAGCCATGTAGCATCTGCGTCGATGGACGCATAGCCAACGAGCGCGCCAGAATTGATAGAATTACTGGAAGAAAGACATTTAGCCTCATAGGAGCCGATCTAGAAATTCAAATCGAGCCTATAGGTATGCTTTCACATCACGAGCAGCTGCCTTGACAAAGGTAGCAGCAGCGGTGCCATTAGCTGCGATGACGACTTCATTTCCAACGTTGTAAGCCAAAACGTTATTGTATTTTGAGAAGACGTTGATGGTCTCGATGTACAAATCAAGTAGATTGGTGGTCCAGGATGGCGCGTCGCGGTCCATCGAACCATTTCCAGGCAAGGAAAGATCGATACTAGACAATATCAATGGACTGGTAGGCTGGGAATGCTTCACGAATACTCACATAGTATAAATACCAGCATTACTGAACGTTTGCATGCAAGAGTCGTGGTTCAACGATGAGTTAACGCTATATGCACGGATGGCATTGACACCAAGCTGCTGCAGGTAGGGAAGATCACGGGTGCAGGCAGTGCCATTGGCCAAGGGATCAATGAAAGTGGATGGCTCGAGAAAGGTATTGCTTGCGCTCGCGACCACCGCACCTGCATCTCATTGTGAGCAATGACGTGACATTTGACGGTAGCAAACATCAAGTCGACTTGATGTTTACCGATGTGTCCTTACCTTGTTCCTGGTAAGCTACACCTTTGATATAAAACCTGTTCCCGTCCGCGGTATAGAGGTATCTTCCATTGCGAGTTACCGTCTGAATAGCAGCGTCAACGCCAGTCAGAAAAGCGCCTGCTAGAGCAAGGCCAGCTACGAAGCGTGAGCTCGCTCGCATGATATCTCGCTCGAAGATTCTGGGAACGGGATGGAGAAGTGATGTGGACGGCTGTGACCTTTTTAAGTAGGGAACGTGTGGTTGGTGGTATGTACTGCAGTGCAAGATAATTTTGACTGGCGGGGTTAAACCTTTTGACCTGGCCTATGGGAAGAGTCTAGCTTAGTCATCTCCGTATATAACAGAGCCTCGGTGTCATGGCCGGCCTCACTGAAGCGAAACTCCTCTTGGAGCTGTTCGTCATGCATACGTCAGGACCTCGACATCGTATCAAGTCAACCGGGAAGACTGCATGATCATCAGCTTGGCACCTGTTCGACAATCTTTGCTTGCAGGGTATGCGTATCTGATCTTACATGCATCAGTAAATTCACACATTCCTTATTTGGCTTTTCCGCCACTTGCCGTTACTTAATTTCCCACAAGAAGCGGATACAGTGCTTTGCATGAAAAAGTTCACTTCTTGATTTGGACGCAACGTGTTTGTATGTATTTGGTGGATGTAAAATTCGAACCATTCCTCTACCAAAACCTCTAACCCTAACCACAACAGCTACTGTCCGATTGTCACACTGCTGATCAGACACCAAGTGCACCAAGCCTCGTCGGGCAACAATTGTACATATTTTATTTGTTCTCCTTTGATTGAGAATATGAGGCTTGCCATGACAACGAGCAAATGGATATCTTGTATGTCCGAAATCTTGGTGAAGTGTCAAATATCACCCAGCGAGTTCAACAAGTTATTTTGGCAACTGTCTTCTGTTGGCAGACAATAACCCAGAATTCTGTGAGGTGTGGAGACATACTAGAGTGTGACAGGTCACACGGCAAGCAAGAGGTTTTTGGTGGGTACAAATATATGTAAATGTGTTGCATCCAAATCAAGGAGTGAACTTTTTAATGCAAAGCACTGTAAGTCGCTCGCAAGGATGGTAGAAACCACTTGCTGCAAGTTCAACAAGTAGATCCCTCCTCTTGTTTTACACTTTTTCGAACTTTTCTTGCACTTATTTTACACTTATTCATAAAATAAAGCAATTTATAAGGGCTGGCAAGTAGATAAGCACAACAACTTTATTTACTTATTTCCACTTAATTCATGAAAAAATGGCGGCAAATAGTACTGCTTTTCAAATTTCAAGTGTGGCAAGTGGACAAGTTAATATAAAGGAAGGGCAAGTAACAATCAAGTGCGAGTAAGTAGCAGAAGGATATATTAGTACTACAATGTGGGCTGCCTGAATACTAGTAATAGCGATGTTTAAGAATACCATGTGATGACAGCATGTGTAAGGATACTATGTCCTCTGCACTCCGACCGAACTTATAACTAATGCAAATGCAGTCCGCGTGTCTCAATGATGTGAAGACCTCTACTCTTCGTATCCGAGACACGCGGATACATTCCTTCATATTTTTATGATTCCTCTTGTACTTAGAAACACCTTATCTTATGTTACGTGATGCCATCACCTCGTGTAGAACATGATCCTTCTCGTCGCGCTCACCCTTCTTCCAAAGTCCCTTTCATCGAATTTCTCTTTGTTTCTCAGCATATTGTACCATATTTTGAGCCACTTGGCTATCCCTTTCACACTTGTATGTATATATACTCTTCAAATATCCATGTATTTGGTGTGCAATCCAGAGCCTTCACCACAAAATGTCGCAAGTCCCAGAAACGTTGTAGAGACTCGTGTGTCTCATGGTGTGATATGGCAGGTTTCACTAGGAAGTATATAGCACAAACTCGCAGCGTCATTCTGTGCGCTACCCACAGCTATCTCTATATGACGCGCAGCTTTCCCACGCAACGCGCGCCATGCGCGCACCATTCCCGCGCTTCGCGATGTATACGCGCGCGCGCGTTCCTGCGCTTGCGCGCCCTATAGCGCCAGCCATTCAGATGCATCCATCCACTGTCCACCAAGCTTCCTAGTACGTATATTTCCATTTCCTTTATTAGCATAGTTCCACCTTTATTTTTATCATAGTTTCTCACTCATATATATCCTTACATACCTACTCGGTAGCGCTTCGGCTCCGCATGACCGCGCTTAGGCGCGCTATATAAGCGCCAGCAGTACATACTACACTTTACCTTACTTTTCCCTTGAACTTACTAGTTATCACCCACTATTTACTTAGCAGTACATAGTAGAAGTCTATTGGTCTACACTTTGCATCTATCTTTTCTTATATTGCTTTATATCATCACTTAAGCTTAGTCTCTTTTATTTCCGCTTACGCGCGCGCGCTTTCCCGCGCTTCGCGCTAATACGCGCGCGCATTCCCGCGCCTTCGTACCTTGCGCGCACTTGCGCTTTCTCACGCTTCGCTGAAGCGCGTACCTCTAGATCTTCGCAGCACTCGCTTCCCCTAGGGTCGAACGCACTTGTCTCCTCAAGAATAGCAGACTAGGTAACGCGCGACCTCACAACATTTTATAGATACAGTTAGGAGCATCCTTGTTCCTCATTGTATTGTTGTTTCTACAACGTCTCCGCTAAATACATTCCATCGCACTATCTTCTCGACGTGTCAAAACTCAAATCCTCTTATATCAAAACTCCATTGTTCGTGGAACCCCTTCGCACTAGCTATTATAAAGCCTTACACATGAAACTACTAGTATGGTGATGAGAAATGAACGACTCAGAGCAATGGGAAAATGAGTGAATAAGAGCAGCAGAAAATACTAAGCACTTGAAGCAGCCTGAGCAGAGATAGTGATACTATGCAAAGAGATGAGGGAGTAGCCCTACTAGTAATATCATGACAGCCTGAGGAACGACAACAACAGCATGAGTCAGTTGCAAGACAAATAACACAATTGAAAGAACAGCACTGACTAGTAGATAAGTGTGTGCTCATCCTCCGATTCCTCATCTAGGTCCTTCCACACACCATGCCTCTTAGTAGAGAGGTTCTGAGTTCTCTCCCAGATTTTGTGAATGACTGAGTCTCCCATGCAGGTGATGGATTTGATGTACAACCTAGTGGGTGCACCCCAGTTGGCATTGGAAAATGCTAAAAGAGCGCTACTCTCATTGCCAGTGGATTTATTGTGCTTCTGGGGGACCTTGTAAGCCTTTCCTCAACTGTTGATTTCAATATGACTTAAAAGGAAGCCCTCCTTGGCAAAAAGTGTGATTGCACATTCCATCTTAAACATGAGTAATGAGTCAACTATATGAAGAGATAGTGAAAATACCTGCTGCTGAAGTGGCAAGGCCCAGTGCCCCCTTCATGTGTCCCAATGTTGTAATCCCCGGCACAAAGGCAAGAGCACCAGAGATAGTACAGTGGTGTTGCGTGAGCACCTGCACAATGAGGTCAGACTGGAATGGCTCTGTGTGCTTACTACTGTCATCCTTGATCATCCCAAACAAGAATGCACTCTTGATAAGTAGGCATGCAGAAAATTGCTCACGGTCTTCATCAGTCTTGAGATCAGGCTGTGAGCGCAAGAAGTTTGCGAACACAACAAGGGCAGTGGTGCCAAGGCTGTTGCGCCCATTCTGACAACCATTGAAGAGCCTGATAGAAATTAAGATGATCAGATGTGAATGGGATCAAAAGACACTCACCACGGCAATGACGGGCCCATCAGTAGTGACCGTATATGAAACACCTTTGTAGACGGCATCCCATATTAGTTGCAGACTAGCGCTGAGGGGACCGTCTTTGATGGCCCAGACTTCGTCCTGGTTACCAATGCAGTAAATGAGAGTCGGGATGAACATGCTGCTCCACTTGCCCAACATCTGACAAACTCCAGGAAGATGCTTCATCCTGTACTGAGACTGAGAGAGCATGATCCTTGGCATCTCTGTTGCCTGGGAGGGCATAATGCTCATGCAAGCCTGAGAGGCTGTACCTGCAGCGGAAGACTTCAACCTCTTTGCCATAGGAGCTTTATGCTTGATAGCAATCCTGGTCTACATGCTTCCTAATTAGTAGAGTATTCAAATCAGCAGACAAATACATACCACAGAAGTCTGCCAGAGTATTACTGGTTCAGGTTCCTTCTTCACTAGTACGGCTGACAATTTGTCAGGCCCATCGAGAATTTCGATCTCAGATGATGGGAAGACTAAGTCCTCTTCAGTGAGCTTGCACTTTAGATTTTTTGGCAAGATATAATATGCTGGAGAGACATAGTGAGTTGAGGGAGGCTGAGCGAGAGATGGAAACACCCAATCAGAATTCTGATCTGTGGGTGAAGCCTGTGCAAAAAGAGGGGTCTCAAAATCAGTGTCAGAATCGGATGCATAGTTCACCAAGGGGGTGGGATATGTGGAAGGATGGGCCTGGATGTCCTCTTCCATGTCTGAAAGCATGGTAAAGTTACCAGTGTCATCATCTTCAGTGGCATCAAGCTGCTCAGGCACCAGAATTGTAGCATGTTGTACCATATTTTGTAGTACCTCCTTGTCATTGAGAGCAATGGGAGTAATCTTGATATTAGTGCCCTGAGACATTAATTGATGCATTGAAGAAATTTACGAATGATTGAACTCACTGCAGAAGCCTTGATTTGCACCTCGCTAGCAAAGCCATGCTCATTTGATTCATAATCACCATCCTCATCCTCATATAGGTGTGAGTGTCAAATCACAGCACCATCGTCAGGATCAGGAGCAGTACTTTGAGGGGTGAGTGGGGGTGCACTATTGTAGCTAATAGTACTCTCCTTCATGAGCCTAGAGGAAGAAGCAGAACCAGGAGCAGTGAATTTCTGGATTTCAGAAGACATTGAAGGCACGGCCATAGAAGGTGGCTTTAAGCATGAAGTAGTATTACTGGTAGCAGTAATGGGCATCCAGCCTGAGATACGCCCAGAGACTCTCCACTTTTTGACAGTAGCATGAGGTGTTTGGCTATCATTTATCACAAGATTTAAGAAAAAAAGGGCCATTTTGGTCAGATGGTGTTTTATTGAGGTGGATAAACAAAAGACTTACGCATTGGTGACAAACTTGGATGTTTGATCATCATGTGCCATTGTTGATGGATTGATAAGGCTCTCAGTGCCTACTACTACCGCTGTTTGAATTGCATCCCTTACTGGCATCTTCAATACTTTCTTACTTCTGCCCTTCACAGGCAATGGTACCTCCAACTCCTCATCTCTTGCGGGGTTTTCAATGTTAGCACCGGCTGCTAACATACCTCCGGACCCGCCACGCTTGTCTTTGGTGCCAACAACCTTATCAGTAGCGACACCTAGTGCACCTGCCTGCTCACTAGCCATACTTGCTGAGAGCTTCACAGCCTTTGTTATAGGGCGAGCATGGGGATGTTTAGGCTTCGGTGCATCCATACGTGCAGCAGCTTGGTCTGTTGTTATCTGTTCCTGGAAGGTTGCTATATGCTGATGCCCTTGTTGTATAGCTTGTTCACTTGCCTTGCTTGCCTCAAGTTTGCGCTGCCAGTCAGCAATCATTTGAGCTTTGGTACATCTCTTTATGCGACCTTTGGCCTTGAGCACAATGCGTCCTGGATACTGAGTTGCATTTTTAGGATGAGTTTCCATATGCTGCAAAGCTGGCTGAGACATGGAGGATTTGAGAGTGAAGCAAATGGAGGACAAGAGGATGATGAGTCGAACGTGAGTGTCACTTTCGAAAATTTCTAGCCTAAGCTGACTCTGAATGTGACATTGACCCTACTTTATGCACCCTAACATATTCCTAGGTAGTACCCTGATTATATTGGCAATTGCCATCAGATTTCAAACTATGAATTTCAGACTACAGCCTGAGACTTCAGGAGCCTTCAAATATCGAGGGTGCTTTTGAAGAACATCAATTTTCAGCAAACCTTTGCTGACAGTGCAACACCAGCAATTTTCTGGAACATGCGCAATATTAATGTTCACCAAAACCTTACTGATGAATTGGCCATCTTTTTGACCTTGACAACGGCAATAGTTCAGGTGTACTTGTTTAGGTTTAATGCTGGCGCCAAACCTTAGTTAGTAGCACTGAATGGCTGTGAAATGGTCTTTTGTGCTCATATTACATTGTTCTAACAGCTCAGCCCATGCTATGGCTAATACATACTATGCCTGGTGGTCGTCCTGTTCACAATCCCTTTCAATTTGAGTGTCCAGCTCCAAATTGCACACACTGGTTCAAGAATCACTCAGGTCTCACTCAACATACAAACACATACCACCCCATCCATAATGTCGCGCCAGCTCCAGGACCGTTGACCTGCACCAAACTGGTTCAGTGCATGGATGACCAATACTCTCCCATGAGTCTTATACCCTGAAATACCACTATGAAACTCTTTTCCTTTTTGTCTGAAGTTGGACTGAGGCTAAGGGAATATTTTTCGCCTTTCCTTTTATTTTTCAAGTCTGTATACCAGCAGCCTGAATATTTTAGCACATTTAATTCTGTGATGAGTTTTGCTTAGTCAGCCATGAGGATGACTCAGAAAGATTCTCACACATGTCAGGTGACTGTGAAAAATATTTCCCACATATGTTGTCCTGGAAAAACATTAGTAAACCCCTAAATACTAGGCTTGTATCATTCTTACCCTTCACACAAAGAAAATAAAAGACAAACACACAAAGAATTCATATCATGTGACATTTATTACTCTTTTTCTGGATTTGTCATCAGGGGTTGGACAGGTCACATGACTAGCAACAAGCCAGGATGACTTAGCAAAATACCCAATGACTCACTATGACTCCCTCTGAATATATGGCTCACTATGACTCACCTTGCATATATGACTCATTATGACTCTTGATGACTCTTGAATACACTAGTAGCACAGCCATATTTATTGTGTATATAATGACCCCAGTTTTTGAAATAATAAGCAGCAAACAGTAGCAGCAGATAGTAGGGTGTTTTTCAGCCCATCTAACACTAAGTTGTGAGTAAGGTGTGATAAGTGTCAGTACCAGTGTCAAGAACTGTTTCAAGACTGAGAGGAACATTCTCAAGAGACAGTAATACTGCAAGCTCATCATATTAAACAACCAGCTGTGAGCTCACTATGTGCAACAACCAGCAAGCAAGGTACAGCCACAGTTATATTCTGATTTCTATTATTTTTTTTCTTTTCTTTTACTTTCACCAACCTTTGGTGTTCTTTGTCCAAAAATATATTTCCAAAATATTCGTGTTGTCTCTATGTCCACCTAAGACTCAGAAGTAGCATAGTGGGGAGACTTTAGGAATTGATAGTGAAGCTTGACCTCACTCATCTGAGTAGTGATACTGAGCCAAGATATTCTGTGCCTGCTAGGCTTTAGCTGTTGAAGAGGGGACTTGGTAGTAAATCCAAGGACATCCATTTCTGAGTCTGTTTGAATACTCAAAGAAGAGTTCCTTGACAGCAGGTTCAATATTAAGCTAAGAGTTCTACAATAAAGCATTTGACTAGTCTTGACCTTTGATTCTACCTGTTTTGTGCTGAGGGAGTTGATCATTATAGTTCTGCACCAATTATTTTGGAGTATAGTTGGTACGAGACACTGTTGTTGAAGGAGAACTTGAGGAAGAATCATGTATATTCTTTTGGTCATTGCCATACTGTCGGGCTGACCATTATTTGTTTGTTTTCCTGCCAAGTCCACAGATTGGATTGTTTATCATATTTACTGATCTTGCAGAAGTATCCTTTAGCTGAACATACCTTGGGTAGTATACAACTAGCCACCCACGAATGACCACGTTATCAGTCATTGATATTTGTCTGAATTGCTGACCGTGGAGATATGTATTTGTTTTTATAGGTGTTTATCTATAGATCATCTATCTAAGAAGACACCGTGCCTTCCAGATCTTCCTCCACCACCCCAGCCATCACCTCATCGAGAATTCTTGCTGCCCCCTCCATATTTCAACCCCCCACCCCAGTCATTACCTTCCAGGTAGCCCAGACCAGCAGTTGATGAGGAGGCCAAAGAGGCTGAATTTACGGATGTGAGTGGGTGTTACTATTGTACGTACCACTCATTGCTCAATGGTAAGTTACTTTTGATTTGATCTCTTCATGTTGACTTATCACACACCCTTAGGGTGACCTTGTATGGCTGATGGAGTGTTTCTGCTGCCTAGTGTGCCCCCAACTCTTCCACCACTCAAGTCTCCAGATGATTGGAGCCTGTTGTGACACTCAGACCTGCGCTGGACAGGAAACAGGGTATTTTCATATATGTGTCAAGGAGTATAGGACACTATCAGTTTCAGTATCATTGTCCACCTTGGTCCTGCAAGTAACCCTTATCCTAAACTGAACCCACTTTCCTACGCTTTGCGCATCTGCTTATCCGCACTTTCCCACACATTGGCCGCATTGGATGCACATTTCCATGCTTCAGATCCCTCGGAAACGCATTAGGAAAGTCTCTCATCCATCCATAGTCCGTCCAAACCCCATTGGTATGTGAATTTCCTTACCTCGAGGCTTGTAAATGTGTTGCAGCCTTATTACATGTCCTTACCTATTTACTATATTTCCTATCCCTTCCTACTCCAAGTGGGATTTTGGACACTATAAGTTGCCTATTACTTAGGATTACTTACTACACTTCTCTCGGACTGTACACTTCCCTCGTACTGTATACCTCACCCTATAGGTTTACCTTCGAAGTAGTCCCTTGTAGTGCGCGCTTTTTAGCCCCTATTAGGTCCCTTATACCTCTCTATACCTAGGATCCCTTACCCCACAATATACCTTTGCCCTTGTTCCCTTGAAACCTCATTCCTTAACCTCCCTATACCTGGTCCACACTTTCCCATGCTTTCTGCACCTTTGGCCACATGTTCCCATGCCTCAGATAACCTCGGATACATTCCTATACCTCGCACATACCTGTCCGCTATTTTCCTGCGCTTAGCACGCTCTCGGGTTCACGCATATCCATCATCCTTCTAGTAGCAAATCCCTTTAGGGTCAAATGTGTCTGTATAGACATAGCAGCTAGGCATTAGCTAGACCCAACTTTGTCCTTGCTACTCAGCAGGACTGTTGTCACCACACCATATCATAATGACATTGAGTTTGCAACAGCAGAGTTTGCATACAAACAACGCCACATGTCCAATGCGGCTGTGGATATGCTATTCAACTTGATGGCTGCACTTCTAGTGAAACACAATGACTCTCCTCCATTCGCTAACCATAAGGACTTACACAAGGTCATCGACACCACACAACTTGGCAATGTTCCCTAGCAGGGTTTCTTGGTCCAATACTTAGGAGAATGCCCTGAGGACGCTCTGTCATGGATGGATGATGAATATGACATCTGGTATAGGGACCCACGGTTGATGGCACATAACATGCTAGCGAACCCTACCTACAAGAATGAAATTGATTATACACTGTTTCGTGAATATGATGCTGCTAATGACACACTCCAATGGAAAGACTTTATTTCCAGAGACTGGGCATGGCAACAAGCTGTATGTCATTCATATATCCTTATCATTCACTACCTAACATTTCTTCAGGACGAAATATCAAAGGATCCAAACACGCATGGGTCAGCATTTGTTCCAATCATTCTTGGTAGCGACAAAACTACCATTTCTGTGGGCACAGGTAACAATGAATATTATCCCCTGAATGCCTAAATCGGTAATGTACACAACAATGTGCGGCGTGCTCACCACAACGCTCTCATTGTCATTGGTTTCCTCACTATACCCAAAAGTATGTGTTAATGTTCATAATATTGTTATTACTCATCTAATATGTGCCGTAGCAAATAGGAAAGACACTGTAGCACTCGAGCTAGCACTGAGCTTGTATTCAGCTATTTTCCGATGCATGTCATACACAAATCACTTCCGATGTTATCCGACACTCATCCGCTCAATCTGACATTCATCCACTAAATCTGACGCTGATCCAACGATTCCCGCACATCGGCCACTTCGGATCCGATATTTTCCTGTGCATTTGTCCTCCCTATGTCCAGTCCTGTTGTATCTATCCCCACTAGGTGCGCAGTTATCAGTTTTCACATCACTAACATTGTAGAATGTGTTATTACATGTCTGCAGTACCACATGTCTTATTACATAGGACATCGGACCTGAAAATTAGCACTACTACTTTCGCCTACAGCACTCCGAAATTCTACATAGACACTATATATTTTGCATACCTCCTTCTTACTTAAAATACCTTTCTACCTCTGAGTAGGAGGAGGTCATTAAATATCTGTAGTTCTTCATTGAATTCTGCAAATATCATCCATTCTTTATCCGAAACACTCTGAAACACTGTCAGTAACCCACCATTCGCTATCCCCGACATTCCTTTCTTAACCTGACAATATCTGACGACACCTGCCAAAACCCGCTAAACCCGAAAAACATCAGACCCAATGTTTTTTTTACCTTTGGATTCATAATTATACCTTCGGACTTTGTTTCCCATACTTCGGACTATCTTCCTTTTCATATAACTAATTATTCTACTACCAACAGTTAACCCCTCGGGTCAAATGCACTTGTTCTGCAAGTATAGCAGACTAGGCTGTGCTAGACCACAACTATTATATTTTGCTAGACACTCACTTTGTGTAGTGTCCAGCAAAAGTTGTTTGCCTACACTGCCCTGAATAGACTATGTTCCTCAATCACTGAATCGAAGCACATCAAAGCAGTGGTCCAGCAAGAATAATGCTCTTGGCCAGATGCTTTTGTGCAATCAACGCCTTGACAAGCTGGAAGCCTCTCGAGTGGACTTCACTATGTGAGGGATGCTTGACAGTTCTGTGTTATCAAGAGCTGTAGCCATACAGGCAAGCTTTATGTTTTTGATTCTGCTACTGCGACTTTCTATGCTCCAAGTGATCCGAGTGGTGTTGGTGGCATGTGATGTGAGCAGATCCATGCTTGTCCACTCTGGCGAAATGTCTATCTGCGCAATGACTGTGTTTTCATCAGCACTGATACAGACCTCAAAGGAATGCGAGGGCTCAAAATTGCCAGGGTCAAGTGTTTTTTTTCTTTCAAATATGAGGGGAAAAAATATCCCTGTGTTCATCCAGTGGTTTGACAAGATTGGTGACTGCCCTGACAAAGACACTGGCATGTGGATGGTCCAGCCAGGTGTCCTTGAGGATGGCTCCCTGAACCTCAATGTCATTCATATTGACAGTCTTTCGTGCTATGCACCTTATGCCTGTCTATGGTCCCGACTTCATCCCCCATACCCTCAAGTTCTACCACTCTTATGATGCTTTTTGCTCATTCTACATCAATAAATACACTGATCACCATGCCTTCGAGATAGCATTGTGATCGCCCTCCCTATGGCTGAACAAATGATATGACAAAGTCCTTGGCAGGTCTGCAATGGCAGCTTCTGCTAAACAAGACATCCTGATGAGCAATTCTTGTCAGCAGCAGCAACCTCAGCCATCTACTCCTGATCCGTCCCAGTCCTGCAAGCTCCTTCTCATTTGTTCCTATATTTCAAGACATACTAACACAACAACCACAGCCATCTACTCCTGATCCGTCCCAGTCCCGCAAGTTCCTTCTCATCCATTCTTGTATTTAAGGATATCCTACTAATACAACAACCACAGCCATCTACTCCTGATCTGTCCCAGTCCCACAAGTTCCTTCTGATTCACTCTTGTATTTAAGGACATCCTAACATCAATGTACTAGGTGAGTTAACTGTTCATCGACCAAAAATATGTTAACTTACTTTTACTTTACTATCAGTCCACAGGCATCCAATGTTACACCTCATGGATGCTCTTGAGTGTCTCTTCATCCAAGCAACCGAATATTGCCCTCAATCCCTTTCAAAACCCAATCCACCTTCTAGTCATTCCTCCCCCTTCATCTTGTGGCCGATTCACACTGTTGCACCTCCCTCGTGTGTAGTAGAGATCAGTATCTACTATCTGTCATGGATGCTCTCCAGACCAAACCAAATACTATCAACCACATCAGCATCCGTTTTCATCTGCATACAAGACGCAGAGTCCATACCATGTTTGTGAGGCTCATATTTGAATGATCAAAATAGTAAGTTGTGTAGTAGATATTGCGCTGAACATACCACTAACCTGACTTTTGGAGCCGCCAAAACTTTCTCACACTCACAGTCGTCAACAACAATGAGCAGATAATTCGCAATGTACGGCCTGGACTCAACATGGACAACAAGGCAAGAAAAAGGACTTCCTCCAGGTTAGTTCTGCAGTCCTTTCATTGAATGATCATCTGACAGAACATGAGCGCATAGTACTTGCATAGTGCCGTAATTCCCCTTACAACAACACTGAATCCACAGACACAGTCTCAGCAACAAACACGGTGTAGAGACTCATGCCTCTCATGGCGTGACATGGCAGTTTCCACCAAGGAGTGCATAGCACGAACTTGTAGCGTCACTCTGTGCGCTACCCACAGCTATCCCTATACAAGGCGCAGCTTTCCCGCACAACGCGCACCATGCGCGCACCATTCCTGTGCTTCATGATGTATACGCGCGCGCACGTTCCCGCGCTTGAGCGCCCTATAGCACCAGCCATCCAGAAGCATCCATCCACTGTCCACCAAGCCCTCTAGTGCGTATATTTCTATTTCTCTCATTGCATATTGTTCCACCTTTATTTTTATCATGAATTCTCACTCATATATATCTTTACATACCTACTCGGTAGTGCTTCAGCTCTGCATTACAGTGCTTAGGCATGCTATATAAGTGCCAGCAGTACATAGTGAAATTTTACTTTCCAACCTACTTTTTACCTTACTGAACTTTCCACCTTACTATACTTTCCACCCACTATCTACCTAGAAGAACATAGTTGAAATCTATTTGTCTGCACTTTGCACCTCTCTTCACTTGTCTTACATCATATCCTCACTTAAGCTTACTCTTTCTCATTTCCGCACACGCGTGCGCGCTTTCCCACGCTTCGCACTAATACGCGCGCGTGTTCCCACGCCTTCGTACCTTGCACGCACCTGCGCTTTCTCACGCCTCGCTTCAGCGCGTACCTCTAGATCTTCGCTGCACTCGCTTCCCTTTAGGGTCGAACACGCTTGTCTCCTCAAGTAACGCAGACTAGGCAACACACGACCTACAACATTTTTTAGATACAGTCAGGAGCTTCATTTGTTCCTCATTGTATTGTTGTTTCTACAACAGGAGTATGTCCAACCCCATGTACTCTCTGGACATGACCTTTGACATTATTTAAGTTGTCTTGCAGAATTTAAAAACCTTTGTGCAAAGCTTGTGTTGCCCTACAAGATGTAGAAAGGTAAGGTGAAGTGAGGTTGTGGTTTGGTGAATTGGTGGAAGAACTCCGGAGGATGGAATAATGTTTGAGGAAATCATCACGGAGGCGACGGCCCTCATCAACAAGGGCATCCAGGATGTACGGAGTTGAGCCTTTGCATTTCAATACCTCTTGACCCTTGATGTTCTGTTCAAGAGCAGCCATATAGTAGGGCTTGCATTTACCACAAGACTTGCAATCTGCCTCAAAGACATGGGGTTTAAGCTGCAGCCTCATCTTGCTTGCATTGAGGCAGGTGGTAAACCTGCACTGCACAACATAAGGCGAGTACCATAGCAATAGACTGGAAATTCTCACATGTATGCCAACCGAATGGCAGCAGCACTTGCATAGCCATGCTCATACACAGCAAGATCATGGAACTTCGAAGCAGATGATCTCAGCATATCTAGTAGTACTAGTACTTATCAACTTTTTTGTTTTTGCTTCGACTTATTTACTTGTGGGAATTGTGCCCTTGTGTGCCACTCGTTGTACTTGCGAAATCCAGGGCCTAAGTTAATAAAACAAAATAAGTGCAATTAAGGTGGAAATAAGTTTTAATTTATGAAGCAAGTGAGATTAAGGAATGTGTGAATTTACTGATGTGGCATCTTATGGTGGTTCAGTTGCAAGAATGACTTCAAGCTGCTCATCCTGGCATGCTGCTTCTCTCAAGTTGGAGTGGATGATAAAAGCAACATCACCATTTTGTTTGTTTGTTAATCTGTAATTGCTGAATACTTGCACTGGAACCAGAGTATTAAATACCTATATGTATGAATGTTATAAAGACCTCAGAAACAAAGACATCTGGTATAGGTGATGGCAAGAGACCATGATCAAATCAACAGCTTTAGGCTTGTGAATGAGATGATCATTAGTGATGTTCCGGCCCGGCTTGGCTCGAAAGCCGCGGCTTCAGATGGCTTGGGCTTTCGAAAATTCCAGGCCGGGCCAAAGCCGCCAGTGACGGCTGGCTTTGGCTCGGCTTTGGCCTGAGCCATGGCCCAAGTACTGAAAATGAAGAAACACGTTCAAAAGATAATTTACATCATGGAGTCAGCATCTGATTCTACAAAATCCTCGTCTCCCTGCAGAAGAGCATCCCAGCCCTCCTCATCCCCATCTTCAACATCACTCAGCTTCTCGTTAGCATCCATTTCAATATCAGAGTCCTTGAGAGCTTCCTCAGTTGATGACGAGGGTCCAGGCTTGCGGAAGAGTAGATCATGGCGAAGGGCACATTTGACACACTGTAGGGCCTCAACAATGTCACCTTTGAGGCGATTGCGGCACTTGCTAATGGTAATGCCACCCTGTGAGAACGCGCGCTCACTCGAAACTGACGATGCCATAATTGAGAGGTAGTCGTGAGCTAGCAAGGTCCATACTGGGCCATATCTGTGTCCATTAATCTACAACAAAGACTGGTCAGTATCGAGACAAGATAGACTTGGATGTGTACTTACACCCCACCATTGAATTATGCTCATTCCCGGCGGAGGTTTCATCTCTACAGCATCGACATAGTTTTTAAAACTGGCATACCATGGTCTAGATGGATCTGTATGAGTGACGACAGTCTCGTCATTGTCGTCTTCATTGGAGCTCTGCACCTCGCGAATTAACTTCTTGAGTCCGCTAGCTTTGCCTTTCTTGACGAGTGAAGGTTGTGACATGGATGCTGCCTGGCCCAATTCAAGATAGCGAGCCTCAAACTACATGACTTGTAAGTGATTGTAAGCTGGTGAATAACTTTGTCCAACATACCACTCGTTCCGCACAAGCAAGAACTTTGTCTTGCAAATCCTCGGGCCAGTTCTTCTTGAAGTACAACATTTTACCCATTGGATCAAGCCCTGCATGGAACATGAGCATCACGGATACATGGTAAATGAAACAAGGAGAACATACACATAGTCAGGACATAGGCCGGGGAGTCAGTGGTCTTCTCATAATACTCATCAAGCTTTTGTGCAGTGGCATGCAATGCTGGTGCAAAATGTAAATATTTGGACCGTTCTGCACGTGAAGTCCAAGCTCGATGGAGAGTCTCGAGCGCAGGGATAGCAAGATGTAGTGTAGTAGTTGATTCTGACGAAAAGGCCTGCTGGGCAACATCTGCATACTGAAATATTAAATCAGCGGCAGCACAATATCAAATGACGAAGGTAACATACCGATAATAGATCAGCAAATTTACCAACACGGGTCCATTCAGTTGACGCCAATGTAAGGAAATCAATCTTGGCCCGTTTGGTCAAGTCTCGCTCTTGTAGACCCATCTCGTACACAAATACATTGACATGCTGTTGTCGGAAATCAGACATTGCATTATTGGACACTGCAGGCTACACTCACCTCTTTATTGCTCTCCGCACGGTTGACCATCACATAGGTTGAGGACCAACGAACCTTCATATCCAGAAGGAGTTGTGTAGGGTGTGAGACGCCAGCCTTGACTTGCACTGTTTTGTAAAGTTCCTTACATTTCGCAGATGATCACTCCTTTGAACAATTCAGTAAAATGTAATGCGCGAAGAGACATCAATCACCTTTACGCATATCGAATGTATGAGTCCGATCTCGTCACGATTATGATGCTTGGTGGTATCCAGCTCATGAGCATGGGGGTTGTGAGGCTCATAGTGCGGAGCTTTGCTGTATGTACTGATCAGTACTTGGGTGGCGAGATTAATCACATGAGCGAGACAGCTGAACACTACATGAGCACATATCAACTGCAAAACAAATGTCTTACTTGATCCTTCGTTCATAGCAAGGGAACTCCTTTTTGTGTCGCGCTTCATAGAGTCGAGCAAACTCCTCGAGCATTGTGCCATTGTTAGAGACATTATCACAAGTGACATGGCCCAACTATATATCATGATTAGACTGAGCCAAGCAGAATGCAAAAATGACATGCCTTATGTGTGATACCGACATGATCTAAAACTTTGAACAGTGCACCACCGAGACGCTTCCCATTGTGTGCATTGTTGAGCTGGATAAAGCCAAGAAGTGCGCTTTCGCACTCCCATTGCATCATCGACTTCTCTTCGATCCAGTGGCCAGTGACAGCGAAATATCCATCAGTGTTGGTGGCTTGCCATGCATCGCAAGTGATATTGATTGCTCCGCTAACAGCAGTGCTCTGTGTTGGCAGATGAGATGTGGTAAAACACACGCTGGATTGTGACATACATTTAACGTCGTCCAAAATCTCATCAAATGATTCTTGAATATTCATATGATCTCGGCGCGGGTGGCCTTGCGACCAGGGATTTTGACACCATTTGTCGCCCGTGAAGCGACATCGATCATCTCCTGGAACTTTGGATGTTCGAGGGCTTGGATGGGCTAGATGAAGGCGCGTCAATGGTCATACTATTAGATCAAGCAAAGCATACATACTTGGTCCGTTGCAACCAACCATTCAATTGCAGCTCGTTTGAATAACTTATCCAAGTACGGTATGACTCGTTCAGAGAGTTTGCGTTCAGTCAGATGCGAGTTAATGGTCCGCTGCGCCTGCTTGGCCTTCTCCTTGCGGGCCTTGACATCACCCGGTAACATTGACTCGAAAGAGTGCTCCTTTGCCCATTGTCGATACTTTCCCTACAGTATAATCATATATATATGCACAATAAATATATGAAAGAAATTTACACACCGCAAAATTAGCTTCGGCATGACGACAAAGTGTCATAGATTCATTCACAAGTATACACTGTTTCCTATAAATTTGGTGTGAGTGAGCAAGCGCAATCATGACCTTATAGACTTACAAGCATATCTTGCACTTTCAGTGCTTTTTGACCTTGCTGTTGGTTCCCGTATGATCGAACGTTGCACCAAAAAATGCATCAAGATCGGCAGTCTTCCCTTCGCACGTTGGAGCTGTGTCGGTGATAGGTTGGACATGAACATCAGTAGGAATGCCATCATCGTCAATCAAATCTACATTGATTGGCACTGATTTGCGCCGCAATATTTTGGCTACCAGGTATCAGTTTTAATATTTGCAGATGGAAAAAGAAACTTACATCGTGGATTGGTGCGTGCATCTTCACGTTCCTCGGTGCATGCATCTTCGTATTCCTCTCCATCAGATTCATCAACAACTGCTTCAACACGTGTCCGTTTACCCATTTTGAGTGTTGCCAAGGTTGCCAGGGTTGAACCTGATGGTGCGGTGTCACCTGTTGAGCTGGGGGTGGTTTGATCCATGTTGGAAGCGTGTTGAATTTCAGGCAAACACCTTGTAGCCGCCTCAGCTGCACGAAAGGCATTTATAGCCTTGGTTTGGGATGGAAGAGCCGCCTTCTCTGAATGTTGGAGAAGGGTGGCGCTGGGCTTTGTTCGGCGGACTGGCCATGCATGACATTTGTTGTCACTGTCTGTGTGGATGGTTCCAACCATTAGAGACAAGTAGTAGGAAACAGATATGAAAAAAATACCATCACAGATGCAGGCCTTTTGTCCGAAAACAAATGCGCTAGCTGCCAAGCTTGCAAGTCGCAAGAGACTCGTAAAAGAGGGCAAATTACTGTAATTGATCTATCCACCAGCAACAAAGTGAGTTATGTCAAGCTTGGAAAGAACGAAGCTCTGCAACTCACTGTCATGAGCTCATACAACGGAAAGTGAAAGTCTATAATGAGATAGAAGTGGGGTTCTGGGGTCGTCAAGTGAGTGGTGTTTGCGACGCTGCAGGCACAGTTCTGTGTGACATAAGCCGCGGCTTGAGCCGCCGGCTTTGGCTTTTCAAAATCTCAGGCCAGGCCAAAGCCGTCACCAAGCCGTGACTTTGGCCTGGCTTGGCTTGGCCTATTCAGGCCCGGCTTGGCCTGGCCCATGGCCTGAAGCCGGGCCATGCACATCACTAATGACCATGGAGTTTGGAGGAGATTTTCCTGTAGCAGCATCAGGTTTAAGTCATGAAAATTGATGAAATACACATACCTTTGCAAGTCTCTGCCCTTCGGACAAAACAATGAGGTAAGATGGTAGATCCATCAAGCACCACTGCCTTTTGAGCCAGGACAGGAGGTGACAATTCCAGAAAGACTTGAACAGATAGTTGAGCATGTTGTCCCATGGATGAGGTGCTCGTGAGAGATGGAAAGCCCAGTTTTGACATGCATACTTGAGAGCATCAGAAGCTAACCGACTTCATCTCCGTGCTTCATCTGTGAAACTGGCAAATGCCATCATAGCATGGATGATCTCCACGTCTAGTTTAAAATGAGCTGCAGATGTGGTGCAGTTTTGTTGTCTCAGCGCGAGAAATGCTGGAAACATCAAAAAATCTGGCAAGTTCTTGAAATGCTGGCAGCAAAGGCATCTCCAGGTCAATAATGTAATTGCTTATTGCTTTGAACATGCTCGAGAACTCTTCTATCACCACCCAGACAGATGCTGCAGGAGTTGACCGCTATGCTTGACCATCGAGTGTCTGCAGCCAGTCTTGCTCACTACTAGTCTAAAGCCAGTCTCTCCCAGCTTGAATGTGCAGCCAGTTTTTCCCAGCCTCTGTTGGGAGCCAATATCGCTCTTTCCTGCTCTGTAGCCAGCATCTTCCACTACTTGCCTACAGCCAGTCATATACATTCCTTATCTGCAACCAGTCCTGGCCTCCCCTTATCTGCAGCCAGTCCCCTCCCCCTTCAGTCTGCAGCCAATCTTGTCTACCACATGACTGTAGCCAGCTTGTGCCATGTGAAGTTTGCAGCCAGTGTCGTCCATTTTGAGTTTGCAGCCAATCTTGTCCACTCCTGGTCTACAGCCAGTCTTGACTGCTACTGGTCTGGAGCCAATTCTGGCCACTCTGAGTCTGCAACCAGGCCCACCCACCCCTTGTCTGCAACCAGCCCCTTTCACTCCTTGTTTGCAATCAATTTTGTCCACTCCCTGTCAACCAGTCCTGCCCGTCCCTTGTCTTCAGCCAGCTTCACACATGAGGGGTCTGCAGCCAGTCTTGCCCACCCTGAGTCTGCAACCAGCATCACCCACTCCTAGTCTTGATCCAATCTTGTCCACTCCTGGTCTGCAGCCAGTCTCACCCACTTCAAGTCTGCAGCCATTCTCAACCAGCATTGGCATTTAGCCAGTCTCGCCCACCTGGGCTTCATAACCATCTTGTCCACTTGCAGTCTGCAGCCACTCCCGCCCATTCAGGGTGTGCAGCCAGTCTCTTCCTCCTTGTGTTTGCAGCCAGGCATGTCCATCCAGGGTCTCAAGCTAGGGCTAAAGGTCAGAACTGCAATATCCCCGAAGCCATAGCATACCACTGAGAATGTGCAGTGGCTCTGGCAGTTGGACGATGAAGGCTAGCAAGTCTTTTAAGCTGAGTAGGTCATCAGATGATATCGCTCAGCTGTGCCTCTTCAACCCTGAGAGTGCATCAAGCAGGGCATTGCTTTTTAGAATATCTTGCATCATCAGGCGGAAAGAGGAATGAGCAAGCAGGGTATGGGGTGGATTGATAGGTTGCATTTGAGGAAGGCCACAGTTTGAGGGATCTGAAACATAGTCACGGACGGATGAGTGGTGGATATTTATGGGGAGGTTGCTGCCAGTCGGAATATCCATAATAGATCATAGCTGTGCTAATGTTGTTTCAACATCCCTCCCCTGAGTAGGGCCAAGTTTCAAGATCTGTGAAATTGGCAGAGGATCTACAAAGGTAGCAACAATAGATAAATGTATGTATGCCCACTTGGGGTCAGCACATGTGGAGAGGATCTGGTCATATAACTTGTATACCTTCATTCCTGGTAGCAGGTCACTTGTCAGCTCAAGCATAAGCTGTAGTTGGTCATGGGGATCATAATCTTCATCATTGTAGAGGCCACAATGAAATGTCTACCTGCTCGGCTTGCCAACCATGCAAGTTGATGCCTTGGCAGCTGCGGGAAATCAGGATGACAACCTTACAGCTGCCTGAAGGAATGTTCCAGGTAGATATGAATGTCATTGTCAACATTTGCATTGTCCACCGAGATGGTGGCAGCCACACCAGTTCCAGAAGTGTTCACTGGTATCTCACAGACCAGTACATGCATGTCTTCATTCTGGATGGCTTTATGGATGTGCTCTTCCAAGCGACTCGTGAACAGAATGTGGATGACAGGCAGACCAGGTTCACGAAGAGCTTGGCTGAGCAGGGAGATAAGGTCAGCAACCTCGGTCACAATGCATTCATCAAGGACATCAACAACAAACACTGAAGGCAAACACTGGCACAATCTGTAACAAAGCCTCCGGAGAGGTTGAAGAAAAAGCTCCTCCATCTGGCCACGAAAAGACTTGTCAGGGTCAAGAAGTGTAGGATTGTCACAGATAGCTTTGTGCACATCCTCCCAAATGTTAAGAAAATTGATTGCAAGCTGATAGGCAAGTGTCACAAAAAAGTAACTCATTGTGCAGTGTTTCCCATGCTTGCAGGAGAAAAAGAATGATCCTAGGAGCCACTTTTCACTGGTCACTTGCTCTTGCACTCTCAGCACTCTCATCCTTTCAGCTATACTGAATGCGATAGCAGACTTTCCAATGCCTACCATGCCATGCAACCAAATGAGCTGATTCTGCTCTCGGCTGTCTAGTAATCTGTGGATTTGATCAAGAAGGGTAACTCGAGTCCCTTGCAAACACTTCGGATGGGGCTGGCATTCACGAGAGTCATACTCTGCACCCTTGACAGTGACCTGCGACAGCTTCTCCCAAGTTCCTTCATATGATTGGGGGCCATCAAGGGCTGTTGATGAGGTCAGAGTGCGATAGGGAATACTGGATGGACATACTGACAATTCTGACTCATTGAAGGTCAAAAATAAAATGGCAACAAAAATTGCGCTAGTTTGGTTTGACTGCATAATTAGAAATCACAAGAATAATGATTAGGAACAGATGACATATGATGGTGTTTAACTGAAGAATTAAATCCTAAAATGTAACTGGATCATTGTGAGATAAGTTGTGGGAAGCTGATTGCCAGAAGTCATGCAACAATCATTTGGCGCCAGGCTCACATCATGCATCATGAAATGCATTTGGACTGTATTGAATACCATGAGCCTGTGGCCAGTAGGTACAGTGGCTCAAAAAAGTGTCTCAATGTTTCTGACTTTTCATGTAATTGCTGTATTATGAGCCAGGGTGTGGGAATATGACTATGCTGTAGGGAAGTGTCATAATGCTATACTTCTCAGCCTCATTATGCTCCCTGTAGCGTGGGAATCTGATGTCATCATGTGCAGATATGGCTATTTGAATTTGGTGACTCATTGAGACACTTTTTTGACTTTCAGTTTGATCAACACAATCTTTATAATTATGATACTTTATGTGACCTCCTGTTGCTCTAATCACTTCTGCCACTCCTCTAGACATGCTATCTATCAATTTTGAATATTTCTTCTTAGTACTCCTTTCTCACTCTGCTGCAACTCTGTCCTACAGCTGAAATAGCCCCTATGATGAATTTTGATAGGCTGCAAGCAATTTCTTAGATATTTTTCAGTAATATTCAATAGGGCTAATGTATGGGGACTGTGCTAGACATGATAGAACATTGATATTATGGTCTTTGAGCTGCTAGTGACTGACTTGAAATCTTACTTGACATGATGAAGATCTCACATTTACCATATTCTAACTGGGCAGGCTGCTAATGCTACTCAGGCCACCTAATTCATCAATTCATCATCTCCAGCACTATTTCCACTCAAACCATCAACAATACTTGCAAGGCAACAAATATTAAAGTTACAATCATCAGAAGAGGATTCTCCTATCCCTAGCCTATAGAAATAGGAAGTAAACTTCAGCTTTAAAGACCAGTACTGGACTGAAAGAGGACTGGAAGAGAATTATATTATGAGATAAGATCAAGATAAATATAATGAAGTCAGATGGCTGGGAATACATCCATAAAATGACAGTGAACCACTAAAAGAAAAAAAAATTGTGTAAACTCTCAAGTGGTGGAGTAACAAACATAGAGGTATAGAGCTATATGAGATGTAATAAAGTGTATATTCTCTGTGTGAAGTGAAGTGAAGAACTAATACAGAGTGGTACATCTCTATTTTAGATGAGAGTCTGCTAAGAAGCATACAGAAATCATATATTAATGAGGAAGATACCATGTTGCAATAAAATAATGATCCTAAGTATATGTCCAAGTTAGTCACTAGCAGCTCAAAGACCATAATATCAATGTTCTATCATGTCTAGCACAGTCCCCATACATTAGCCCTATTGAATATTACTGAAAAATATCTAAGAAATTGCTTGCAGCCTATCAAAATTCATCATAGGGGCTATTTCAGCTGTAGGACAGAGTTGCAGCAGAGTGAGAAAGGAGTACTAAGAAGAAATATTCAAAATTGATAGATAGCATGTCTAGAGGAGTGGCAGAAGTGATTAGAGCAACAGGAGGTCACATAAAGTATCATAATTATAAAGATTGTGTTGATCAAACTGAAAGTCAAAAAAGTGTCTCAATGAGTCACCAAATTCAAATAGCCATATCTGCACATGATGACATCAGATTCCCACGCTACAGGGAGCATAATGAGGCTGAGAAGTATAGCATTATGACACTTCCCTACAGCATAGTCATATACCCACACCCTGGCTCATAATACAGCAATTACATGAAAAGTCAGAAACATTGAGACACTTTTTTGAGCCACTGTAAGTGATTAAGCTGTAGAGTGTGTAGAGCTGATGGAATCAGCATTGATGAGCACAGATTTCATGTGACTCTGTTGTAAGGATTGTATATCCTCTGCGCCCCGACCATAGCTTCAATAGGAAATCTGAGAACCGTCTGTCACAAATGCCAAACAAAGCCACACAACTTACTGATGCAAAGAGCGTCACTCTTCATATCCAAGTCATGCGGACACATCCCTTTTTATTTTCATTATGTACCTTACCTTGTGCTCACATTTCTGTTCCTTCATCTCATATTTTCACCTTGCCACCAAGTATTTTCACTTTGTTATCAACTATTTTCACCTTGCTATCGAGCATTTTCATGCTGCATCTGGCTTAATCAAAGTATTCCAAATGTACTTATACAACAAATGTATGCTAATGTAGACCAGCGAATTCCTACCTTGAGATCCCCGCTCCAAGCAAACGTTCGAAAATAACCTCAAAAGACTTCCCTTCTAACCTTGTTCACATTGCTTCGTGTCTCTGTTAAACGCATCTTAAAAACTCTGTCCCATTTGCTCAAATTTTCCCTTCAAACTCACTAGCCGCCTTACACTGTATCTGTATGCTGATAGTAGTGCAGTATACAATGTGATTGTTCATAAATGTAAGATATATGTAGACTCAGTGTCGGGCAAGCCAGCTGCTGGAACAAATGGTGGAGAAAAGCAAAGACAAAGAAAGGAGCTGGCTCCTTCCGAGCACTGATGCTATGTTGTGGATTCTGGCACACACATTGACATGCATGCTCGTTTGTGTGGTGATGTGATCACTGAGTTTTTGCAGAGCATCCAAGGGAGGCCATCTTTTGAATCAAAGTCACACTATTTTGGAGTCTTGGACATGGGCATTTGAGTTTTGCTACTAGTAAGTGCACAAAACGAATGTTTGATAAGCATGTTTTGAATTTTTGCCTTTGACACTCACTTGCAGTATCAAAATAAATGGTGCCGATTGTCCTCTCCTTAATCTCCTTCATGGTAGAGTAGCGGTATGCCCATGGCCTATCTCCCCTTTGCCAGCACTCATTATAAAATTGCTCATTCAATGCTAGAGTTTGTGGTGAACAACAGTGTTTGCTCACATTGAGGACTAGCTTACTGCTGAAAGGAATATCTCAATCTTCCCAATCTTCCTCTTCCAACAGCTCTTCGTCATCTGACAGTTCCATCTGTCTTGAGATGCTGCTTTCAACAGAATTCGCCATTCACAAAATGCTGTCCGCCCACGGATTCTCTGTCTTGAATGCTTTTGAGCACTGTTCTGCACTACATGGGGCAAACACTTCTTGTGGCAGATTTGTTGAGTTTATCTTCCTGTAAAATTTAGTTGGTTACTCACTTCATTCTTAGGAGAAATTAACACACCTCGATCTTTTGGATTCCTCGACATTTCTCTCTGTGTTTGGTCCAAAGTCCAGGATAATATCTGGAGCACTTGTCCAAACTGATCTCCTTCTCACATTCACAGCACCTGATGGACGTAGGGCATACACTGTAGGTGTACTTGTCGTCTTCGAGCTCCTGTTTCCGCTGACCCTTGCTTTCCTCTGCCACTTGTGACAGCCCGCAATGAATCAATTATTGTGCTTGCTGTCATTTCAATCCATTTTCCCAACAAAGTTACAGTGGCTCAAAAAAGTGTCCCAATGTTTGTAGCTTTTCACGTAATTGCTATATCATGAGTCAAGACATGGAAATATGACTAAGCTATAGGAAGATGTCGGAAAGGTCTGCTTCTCAGCTTCATTTCGGTTCCCTATACCGTGGGAAAATAATGACATTATGTGAAGATATGAGTATTTTAATTTGATGACTCATTGGCACATTGGGGTGAACAATATTTAAAAGAGGTTTATATGTTGTACAAAATGTGAAGACAATATTTAATATTTAAACTAACATAAAGATGGGTGCACGACTTCAAATTTTGGTGGTGTTTTGTGTGTAATCCAAAATATCAAATATTCACAACCATATTCCCACAGACAATATGTCAACAAACATAAGAAATATAGTCAGATTTTTCATGTCTGCTTCAACTTAAAGTTCAATTTCCATGTAAAACTTTGGAGAAAACTTGAAGTTTTACAGATGACATGACATTAAAACTCGATTTAAATGTCAAGCTTTGGCAAAACTTCAAGTTTTCTCCAAAGTTTTATGGAAGAATCAAACTTTAAATTGAAGCAGACATGGAAAATCTGATTATATTTATTATATTTGTTGACATATTGTCTGTGGGAATATGGTTGTGAATATTTGATATTTTGGATGACACACAAAACACCACCAAAATTTGAAGTCGTGCACCCATCTTTATGTTAGTTTAAATATCAAATATTGTTTTCACATTTTGTACAACATATAAACCTCTTTTAAATATTGTTCACCCCGATGTGTGGGACACTTTTTTGACTTTGAGTTTAACTAATGTAATCTCTATAATTCTAGTACTGTGTGTGACCTCCTTCTGCCCCAATCACTTCTGCCACTCTTCTAGACATATTGTCTATCAATTTTGGGTATTCCTCTTTGGTGATTCCATCATACTCTGCTGTAACACTGTCTCATAGTTGGAATAATTCAACATAGACCCAAGACATCAACCCTATTGAATACCTCTGAGAATCACTCAAGAAATTACTTATACACCATAGGGGTTATTCCAACTATGAGACAGTGTTACAGCAGAGTATGATGGAATCACCAAAGAGGAATACCCAAAATTGATAGACAATATGTCTAGAAGAGTGGCAGAAGTGATTGGGGCAGAAGGAGGTCACACACAGTACTAGAATTATAGAGATTACATTAGTTAAACTCAAAGTCAAAAAAGTGTCCCAATGAGTCATCAAATTAAAATACTCATATCTTCACATAATGTCATTATTTTCCCACGGTATAGGGAACCGAAATGAAGCTGAGAAGCAGACCTTTCCGACATCTTCCTATAGCTTAGTCATATTTCCACGTCTTGACTCATGATATAGCAATTACGTGAAAAGCTACAAACATTGGGACAATTTTTTGAGCCACTGTATGACTCGGTGTGTTCTGTGTATCATATGTTTCAGAAGGGGGGTGAGACAGGGCAGGCCCATGGAAGTTGAGTTTGGCTGGACAGGTGCCTAAGTGCTCATTGACAAGGAGGCTGACCGTGGGCCAGTCAGTCTGAGTGTCATACTCGATAACAGTCTGACACCTGCCACACTGTATCATGTAGGCGTGGTTCACAACCGTTAGAGTATTGTCCTCAGATTGAGTGGTGGTGCAGTTCATGTCTGCCTGATGCATGGGGATGAGACACTGGGACTTGATTTTTCGCTTTTTTGTACTTGGAGACAACACCCTTTCAGATATGGATGTTACCATTTTATTTTCAGTGGCGCAAAGTTTGGGCCTGCCTCAGAGTTGCATTGTTCACCTGAATACACATGGTTTTTTTATTCCAATATCTGTCTATTGGGTGTGTGTATGTTGGACAACTTGTACTAACCAGTTAAAGGTGCTCCTGCTACACCTCTGCACTTGCAAATGCCATAGCCTTAGGGTATCCCCAGCTGGTCGGTTCATATGCAATCCATCAAAGATGGATCACAGTTCTGCAGTAATGGGAGTGTAAGTGTCTATGTTATAAGGTACACATGGTATTCCAAGGCAGACAATCAATGTATTAGATGACTTGATGGTTTCAATGCAGCTTTCCAAGTTGTAGGGTGCATCTACAAAATTTTCTCCTTGTGAAAGTGAACCTTGTCTGACATGGTCATTCCAGAAAAATAAATCACCATAGTCAAGAAAGTCCATGTGTATCCGCTGTAGAGACTGATATCTCTGTGGCCTTGCAGAGGCTATATATGCGACCTGTCTCAGAGTACAGTTTGATGCACAACTTGTGCCAATACCTTTCCAATCATTCCCTATGTGAAGCGAAACTCTCCCGTGCCAAGCGCCAAGTGAGCGCTACCTTCCCGCGCATCGGCCGCCCCAAGCGCTGCATTCCCGTGCTCGAAGCGCCCTACGTCGCATGTCCATCCATTGTCCAAACTGACCTCACTGGTACATGTTCATATCATTTTCTCCATATCAGACCATATTCTATTTTAATGATTGCTCAATTCTCATGTCATGGACCCTTATTACATACCTTACCTACTCGCTTCAGCTCCGCTTCAGGGGCGCATTTTTAGACATATATAAGTGCCTGTAGTTCATATTTACATCATCGAATCATATAGAAGCTCCCTGCACCTCACTATCAGTGTAAAAGCTCATCTGTCACATGCCATAGTCAGTATCTATTGGCAATAAGAACATCCTTAACGTCTATTATGAACCTCTGCTTGTAAACCCATCTTGCGCTTTTCCCACGCTTTGCGCCACTCAAGCGCTACCTTCCCGCGCATCGGCCGCCCTAAGTGCTTCGTTCTCACGCTCATGCCTCTGGCGCTTTCCCGCACTCTATGTCGGCCGACAAACGGCACCCCTTTGCACCAACCCCTAGATCTCTGCTGCACTTGCTTCCCCTTTAGGGTCGAATGCACTTGTCACTACAAGCATAGCAGCTTAGGCAAGCAGACCCAACACATAGTTCAGAATACCACCATCTGAATAGATGTTTCTACACCGCTCTGGCTCCCTCCTCAATTTTCCCACCTGTCAGGATCTTCTTCAGGCCTACAATAGGGATGGTGAGGACACTTAGTCATGATGGTGCCTTTCTTGCAGGGTATATTTCTGCTGTTGTCTTCTTCTCCAGTGTTATTTTATGCACAATGCAAGATTCTGCACACGGAGTTCCCCCAACTGGCGGGCAGGGCTTGAATTCAGGCATACAATATGCAATTGGTATGTATTGAATTACCCTTTGCAGGGCGCGCATTGTTCTTGGAGATCTCACAGCTCATTCTGATCAAGAAGAACCACCACCATTTTTTGAAGGAACACAAACAGATTTTTCACTCCTGTCTTTGTGCTCTGGTTAAGCTTCACCCCCAGTGAGAAATGGTCCTAGCCATATCTCCGGAAAATGACAGAAATATTGCGACAATATATGTGACGATTTCCAGAGAAAGATGAGACTTATAGTCAATTTTTAGCGACTCGCATTGAGCGAGATATTGTATCATCGATTGTGTTTGTGTACCATAGATTCTGGTATATTCCCATAGCTCCCAAGTGACTTGTGCATATTTGCTCATCAACGCAAATTGACCAAAAACAATTGTATTATGAAAAATTACAAATACAATACTCTATATACCATAGCACCCCCACCCACACATCAGGAAGTCCACTAGCTTCTGGCACATGGGAGTCCTTGACTGAAACAAATCATTGTCAGAATATACTTGCCAGGCAAGCAGACAGTACTTACAATGATGGCAGCTGCCTTGTTCTACAGCAATAGATATCAGTTAAAGTACATTAGGTAGCTTTTAATGGAACTCGCCAATTGACTGTCTTGTAACGGTGTATCTGTTGAAGCCGCTGGATGTGTCGATCATCGGGACAATGGTATTGAGCTAGTGATGATGTAAAACAGTCAGTGAATGAACCTGACAATGCCAAATAACTCACAATGTTCAAAATATGTGCATATATGCACTGTGAATAGCACTTACTTGTCACAAGAACAGCTGACAGTCGAGTGGGTGGGATCAGCAAATGGATTGAGCCATGAAAAAGCCTAATACTTATCTTGTTAGTGGCCATGAGAAAGTTATGTGTCAGATGATGCCAGGATGGTTGAGGTCAATGGCAAGGTTTTGCTGAGAGGAAGACGAGATGATGGAGGGGAAGAAGAAAGCTGAGGTGAAGCGAGTAGGGATGGAATGTCCCAATATTGGTCCACTGCATATTGACGTCATTGCGTGAAGTGATGGTGCATGCACAGCTGATGTGCAAGAATGTTCAAACATTGAAATATTGAGCAAAGTCAAGTCAAAGTTGAAAGAATTTCAACATGTTCAACATTTACTGAGCGCATTGTCAAATGTGTATTTGAAACCCATTTGATAATTGACCGAGCATTGTTGACATATTGTTTACATTTATCGATTTGCTTAGTTATTACAATATTCCTGGCATATATTTCATATCATCATTGTTTGCCGTAGATATCGCTAGGACCGATTTTCACTGGGCTTCACCCTTCAAGCCCAGTGAAAATCGACAAGAATCGGGTAGATATACGTATATAGATATCTAAAAAATAAAGGCCCATGAAATCTATCGATGTATTTCGATGTATTTAGACAAATGAGACTTTTCGAGACGGAAAAAGAATGACATCGAGAAACAATTTAGACGTTTAGATACGATTCTCGATCTGTTTAGACCTACCGATACACATTTACATGCGAAATATCACTCGATTTGATCCAAAAACAAATCTAATGAGAGCAAATGACATTATCTATAGGTATCGCTATCATTAGGTGAGTAGGGTATCGCTGCTCGCTGCGCGCCTTGTCCGCCATCCCGCCATATGCCCTCTAGTCATCATGGTTGTCATCCACTTGAACCAGTCCCGAGGAAGCCACCTATAGGACACTTGGTCAGTACATGTGATAGAATGCAGGCAACAGAACTCACCTGAACAGATACTTTGCGCTTGTATAACTAGAACAATTGTAGACAGAATTAAATAGATGTTAACATAAGAAAAAAAATGACACACCTCTTTGTCGGCAGTAGACAACCCATTCCAGTAAGTCGCAAAGACACTCGCTGGTTCCTTTTGATTGCCGTTCGATTGCCACTCGAGGGCGCAAAGATTCCTAGAATGATAGAGTTGATCTTGCTATGAAAATAATATATAGAACTCACCGCGCCGTGATCTTGGGGCTCACACGCATCGGCTTGGTACTCGGCTGTTGCTTCTTGATGGCATCAGGCTTCGAGTCGAGCTAGAAACACAAGGGAGTGATTGTGTTGAGCGGGGGTCGCGGCGGGGATGAATGACATGGTGGGCAGAGGAGAAGATGCATGTGGTTCAACTGCACCGACTCGGTCACTCGGATATGATAAAGTTAACATATGTGCAAATGCAAGAAGTTGTGCACCTACAATATGCATGTACATGTGCAATATTGCATGCATATGCAAAGTTTGTCGAAAGTTCGTTACAAAGTGTGCAAACAAAGTTTGACATGCTTGCTTTTTTACCTTTGCAAAGGTTCTTTGCATTTTGCACAAAATTAGAGTTTTACCGTCTCGAATTTCTTAGATTTCTATCTATCTCATTCTGTACTTAGACGTCTATTGCTACCTATCTACCTCATTCTTGTCGATTTTCACTGGGCTTCAAGCTTCAAGTGGCATCGTCCGAGATGGGTTCAAAGAACAAAAGCCAGGTGCCACGTCTGCCACGTCTGCCAATTCTACCAACGGTTCCTATTTCACGCCACCTTTCGTTGTTTGGTGAGCAAAAGAAGGTATCCAACTCAATGGTTCTTCAGGTCATACCGGTTTTGCTGATGATTCCAACAGAGGAAAATTCAGTCAGCACTGGTTCTTAACTCTCCTTGTCTTTGAGACATCCAGGTAGCAAGCTGGTCCCACTCAACTGACAATTGGAAGGGCCCACCATCGTCTACTCTTCCGAACTTCATTTTCCCCCTGCATGTCAATTTACGCGCCACATTTTCACTCATGATGGTTCCAGTCTTACCATGTGGACTTTCCTCGCAACTATACATAGACTCCAGTAGACCAACTCCTTCACACTCCTTTGCAGCCTCCACAGATCACACGTCTCGAATCGTTCTGGAGAACGTCGTCGGACGCTGGAACTGGGTCAATGCCCATATAGCTAGCTCACCTCTGGACTCAGACTCGTATGCGCAACATGCGCACACTGCAAAACTTTTGTCGTCATTTTCAGATAATCGTAGCGAGCCTTCCTTCAATATGAACTTTATGAACAACTTTCACCCAGAACGCGAGGACCAGCGACACCATACTCGGAGGCTGTCCTACTCTCATGCCTACAATACTCTCTCCTCGCATGCTCAGGATTTGTTTTCACAAGGGTTTCTGCACGCTCAACCAACATACCCTCGATGTTTTTCTGACCCGTGGGCACATGCGGAGGAAACACTTGCGATACCTCTCGTCAAACCTATTCCCATATATCCCGCTGCGTATACGCATTCAGAAGATCGCGCACCGGATCTATGACCAGTCCCCACTTTATAACGCATATGCCATTTGCGACGACCTCTGACGATGCTGCACTATGTAATATAAGTCCATGCGACACGCCATGCATCTGTTCGCCAATATGATGCCCAGTGAATCAGCCTAACCCATGCACGCATCCCGATGTTACCTTTGGACTTTACCTGCAATCAACCCACCGGAACAGACTGCAACTGTATTGGCGACCAAAATTGCGCACGCATGGTATTCGTTTCGTAGGACAAATCTGGCCAGGCAACTTACAGGCGTACTGTTGATCTAGCGATCGGAAAAGTTTAGCGTGTATTTGATCTACCTACACATCTCCATCCATGCTCATAGTTGTTGGTATGCCTTTCGTCTGCTCGATGAGCTGATGAGGTATGTAGCACCTTGAGCTGCATGGGTAGCGTGCTCAGCCAATGAAAATTGTTTATCTCTTATTAGTGAAATGCAAAGTGAGTTGTTCTCAGTCGAGAAAGACGGAGATGGACTTGTACCAGCTGGACTTTCTTTAGTGAGCAGCATAGGATAAAAAAAAGAAATACTTCCCGATTCCAACAGGGACTTTTGGCTCCTTCGATGATGGCGTGATTGGCATCCAGAATGGCAGTATATAACATGATGATCATATTGACAGGAAGGTCCCCATTCCCGATGGTGACCTTCATGTCACTGTTTGCATACTCATACTAGTCTATCTATATACATACGTGTTCACTGCCGACAAGAACGTGATTACGAGAGAACATGAATAAAAGGAGAACGAATATCAAACATAACAAAGAGGGGATTGATCGTAGAAATGATGCGCACGGGTAAAATGTCAGAATAAAATAATAATAAAATTGACCGTTCACAACCAATACATTATATATCAAAAAGTCTTGCGAAGCTTATGATCGCCCTTGTTTATTTTCAGTTAGAAAGGTGCGTCCAATAAGATCGTGCAAGTCCTGCTCACCTATCCAAAGTCTCCAGTAGGATCAAATAGGCGTCCCGTGCCAACGTGAATAATATTTTGCTCGACAGCGCTACTCGCAATCATTCAGTTCATCGAGCACAACGGCAAGCAGCACCACGTTCCCACGGGCAAGTTGTCATCGACCATCGGAGCCGAGCATGTGTTCACGATAAGGTCGCGCAGAATCTCGCTCGACTGTGCAACTCGACGAGTAAGGTCTGCCTGAATGCCTAGATATTCCTGAGTGGTTGTGACACATGCATGGCCTGCGGGATGCATGCTATTGAATGTCTCCCTGTGAGCATCCCACCAGCTCTCCGTGTGAGTCTCAGACTCAAATCCTGTGACGACGACGACGACGATTGGGACTTTCTCCTTCCGGCAGGTCCCAGAGTAAACGGTGTTGTAGGCATCAAGGATGGTGGGAAGGGATATTGTGTTGCGCCGCCGCACGCAGTACACTAGAAGGTCGATACCATCCGACTCTGGTGACTTGTGCCTCATGCGCTCTTTCAACAATCTCTTCAGCTGTTTCTTCGCCTGCTTGTCCGGCACGTTGCCTTCACTACCCTCGTTCAGACCTGCGGTATCAAACAGGGCGAATTTATGGCCGGAAATGTCTACTGTGTAGCGTTTAGGTTTCAAGGTACATCCCACTGCATCATTTGATGTTTTTGCGACCTGCTTTTGGGCGATGGTATTGATGATTGAGCTTTTCCCTGAGCCGGCTTCGCCAAATACGACGATATTTTTCTGGAAAGTTGACTAAATTAGCGGTGATCACAAGGCCTTGAATCAATTTTGTACCTCGTTAGTACCACCCGCTTTCAATTTGAGGGATACGCGCCTATCACCCACATCCGAATGTAATGCTTCGGAATCGCCATCAGCAGACAATGACATTGCTAAAAGTGAGAACTCACTAGGCGATCCGCCTTCTGCCAGCAATTGTTTGAAGGTCGTGTCAAACGCACATACTACCTCGGATTGATCGAGCGTTTGTTTAGACTCATATGAAGCACGAATTTCGAGGCGGACTGCTTCAGATTTGAAGATGGACATGAGCCGCTTGAAAAGCGTCTGAGGGCGTTCATGTATGGTGAGGGTTTCGTTCCAAGAAACACTGCAGTCTTCCATTGCCGGCGCATCGAAGGTCCTATACTGGTCATAGGGAGTAGAGATATAGACATAATAGCCTGTGAGCATGCGATCAGGCCGCGGCATGGGAAGGCCTGTGCTAGCGATAAATGTAAGCCGCATGATGATTGATCCAATATCAATATATTTGTGGGTTAGAGAGTGCCGAGTGCCAACCTGAGTTGGTGAAATGAAGAAAAAAGAAAGAAAGTGGGGTATTGAAGTATGGTCACTTGTAGGGATTAGAATGGAGGTTTATAAAGCCAGGGTTGCGTCCATTCAAGTTCGGGTGTTTGTACGCGGCAGTGCGCGAAGCTGGCCGCTGAAGAACGGTAACGCTCGGTCGCCATGACCCGCGACGCCGGTATGTCGATACAACCGTGGTTTGAGTTCTGAGCAGTGCTTGAAAGAGCGGCGCTAGCACTGCCCAAGTGAATTTGAATACCGCGACTCTGGACTTGCTCTGGACTTTTAATTTGCTACATTAGTACTAGAGTCATGATCAATTCAGTTATTTGCCGATGGATCACCACCAACTTTCATCATCTCATTTAGCGTCACTTTCTCTCTTGCAAGCTGCAGGAAACGATCGATGGTCAAATGCTTGTGAATACTGGCTGGGAAATACTTCAGGATCGAATATGGGATAACGTCCGTGACCCTGACTTCATTTTTCCTGTGCTACCCCATTTCGTCATTTGTGTACATATCGTTGACAATCATTAATCGCCTCTCCCCATATAGTCTTTGCGGCGGTACCGTTGATGTCACACACTTGTATGTATCACAGATAAGAATGTTTTTTTTTCTATGTGGAAGGAGTGATCTTCGGCCGGAACATCAGCGAATAGCAATTCATACGAGCAAGGACGAATCGTAACAATTTACAGTTCAAACTTTAGGCAGTCCAAAAGAAATATGCTGTAGCCGTAATTTTATCGGCACCGAGCTACATGAGACTGGGTACGGTGTCGAACGAGCCTCAGCTGAGACCACCGTGCGGCGACCTGCACAAAAACCATAGCCCACCGCGAGGGTCGAACTCGCAGCCTTCAGATCACAATCGCCTAGCAGTAAGAGTCTGACGCTCTATCCGATTGAGCTAGGCGGGCGGTATAGCGATTCCCATTTTGAACGTTTCCTGTGACCAACGTGTCGTGGAAAGCGATCTGGACGATGGTGGAGTCTAAGAAGGAATGTGCATGTGAGACACTTGGCTCCAAGTGACAGAACGCTGTGATACGATACTAGCAATCATGGCGGCATGGACGCCTGTCTCCTCCATAGTTGCAGCCTGAGGATGCGGTCGCATGACACCGTTTGCACGAGGATAGTGTGGGCATCAGGATCACATTCTGACCATGATGACTACACTGACCTAGTGCTAGTGCTACTGGTATGCCTGTTACGATAGCCTTTCCTGCACCGAGTCTACACAATCAACATCGGCGCACCGTGCGAACACAAGGAAATCGTAGGCTACGTCATAGGGTAGGCACAAAGAAAACGCAAAAACAGTAGCCCACCGCGAGGGTCGAACTCGCAGCCTTCAGATCACCGTAGCCTAGCAGTAAGAGTCTGACGCTCTATCCGATTGAGCTAGGCGGGCGATATCAAGGCGTCTATTCAATCCATTAAAAGCGCCAGCTTAGCTAATACGCGAGTAGGAAACCGAACCTTATCTCAGCCACTGTACAGTTCTTCCAAACACGGCAACTCTGCTATGAGTGGGTGATTCCTGATCAGCAAAGCCCTCAACGCAAGCAACAGCCCGGCAAGGTAAGCCAAAGCCTACGCCTCCTCGCTACGCAGTCCAACCTTCGTTTTAGCCTCAAGCAAAAAGTTCAAAATGACCCACGACGCCGTTTGGTTCTCTCGTCCTAGAAAGTACGGAAAGGGTGCCCGCCAGTGGTGAGTTGCGCAGCCATCGTTTGCCATTATGGGTCGTTAAAGTGATGGTCTGGGGGTATCTAGCCGCCTCTGTGCCCACCAGGCTGGTCTCATCCGTAAATATGGCCTTGACTTGTGCCGTCAATGCTTCCGTGAAAAGTCAGCTGCCATCGGTTTCGTGAAGGTGGGTGTCATAGCATTCCCAGCGTGTTGCAGGAACTCATGTTCAACGAATAGAACCGGTGAAATGTACCCCGTCGCGCACCTGCATCTTATATCATCATTCTCTCGTCACACTTCTTTTTCTTGCCAGATCATTTGGTCGTCTTGTATGCCACTATGATAATATGTCAACAAGACTAGCATGAAATGCACATACTATCCAATGCAAAAACATCGCCTCATACCACTGAGGTACAAATTCAATGCTTGCTGTACCACACAAGTGGGTCATCCTACTGGTTTGAACAAGCAACGCTGCATTGAGCGGATTCAATGCTTGACGAGAGGTATCATAAGAATTATAATGCCTGAATACACTAGATTCAGACCATCAGCTTGAGCATAAGACCCGAGAAGCGACGTCATAGATTGGACAATAAGTACAGAAGGTAGTGCTGCGACGGTTTAACCATTAAACAGACATTGCTTTAGATGACGGGAAGATTAGGGCTATACAAATGGGGTGTGGCAGATAAGAAAGATGTATCAGAAAGCAACTAATAGCAATGGGGGGTTTGGAATATGCCGGTGCGGAAGTACAAATGCGCAGTGGTATGATAAAAGTCGGCCCTTGCTCATGATTGAAAAATCTCCTGGGAGATAGCGAGATCGAGCCGACGTGCTTGTGAGGTATCGAGCGTCGAACGCAAGAACATAGAATATACATTGAAAACCATTAAAAGAGTGACTGCGCAGGTGCGCAAAGAACGAAAGAGTAGAAACGTCCAAAGCAGCATGTAATGTGCCCGTCCGCTCTACATGCCATAGCCATAGCTCTGGTAAGGATCATTCAATGACCCAGCAACACCGACCGTGCCAAAAGGGCTCACGTTAGCATATCCAGCAACACCCGTGTAGCCAGAGGCGTGGGTATGAGGGGGTGTCAGACTCGCGCTATGAGGAGAGGTGCCTTGTAGGACATATCCATCGATCGAACGCGCCTGGAGGCCATGCATTTGAGGGCCGAGATGAGAGTGGGCGTAGGAGCCTTGGCCTTGCATACCATACAAGCCTCCCTGGGCATAGACATCAGCCACGCTAGTAGGGTGCATTCCTTGAGGGATGTGCCGGCCTGCAGAGTGGTGACCGTGACCGTGATGACCGGGGTTACCACCATGATGGCCTTGGTTACCCATGGGCATCATGCCTTGAGGAGCATGGTAGCCAAAGTTTTCAGCGTTGGCCTGTTCCCGCTGCAACTTGTTTTGGATCCGCTTGCCGTAAGGAGTGTTGCGAATTAAAGGAAGAACTGGGCGAATGCCTTCAACGAGGAGCATACGCTGTGCAGGCTCGGCATAGTCTAGTGCAGTCTGCAAGAATGTCCAGTCCAAACCCCAAATGCTCGAAAGAAAAAATAGTACCTGCACGCAATAGTTGCCATACGAGTCACGAAGAAGTTTCTCCAAGCGGGAGCGGTTGAGTAGCTCTTCGATTAAAATTTTCCTGGTACTATGTTCGGCCACACGGATGCACTAGTCCCAGTCGGCATGAGAATGATCATCAAGACGACAAAATACTCACTTTCTCGATGACATTTGAGCTAAACTTCTGGACAGAAAGTGCACAAACGTTCCCTGTGAATTGCCGAATGACAGCATCGCTAAAACGATTGTCGTTAAGATCCAAGATATATTGCACAACCTGGTAACGTAACTGTCAGATATTAAAATGAATGAGCAACGGGGTACCAACGTAGTTGCCGTAAGGGTCTTGAACGAGCGTCAACGCGTTGTAAGTGATTTCATTCACAAGTTGGACCCGCTGGTGATCCGAAGCATGATCGATACAACGCTGCAGCACGCAGCACCCGTGGCGGTGGGTAGCGACCTCTACGCAGTTGGCAGCGACTGCGTTGTATATGAACTGTCACAAAGTTAGTTTACCAACACCACGGTGTAACACCGCCACACTCCTCACCTGGTTGTCTTCCGGTGCAAGCTTGTTGAGACATTTTTGAATAACGTGGTTTCCGTTGAGATCCTTGATGAGCACAACAACATGAAGGCTGAGCGCAAGAATAATAGAATGAATCTGAGTGTTGTATCTATGATCAGTCTGCGCTCTACTGTAAGTCTGGAAGATAAAAATCCGCTAAAAGCGACTTGCCTGGCGTCTGGTGGACAAGAAATCAATCATTTTCTGTACGGCGCGCGTACCATGCATGTTCAACGAGATGTTAACGAGATCCTGAGCGACAGACTCGCAAATGACGTTTCGCTGATCATCTGTAGAGAACTCGAGAAGCTTTTGGCACAGGTAGTTGCCGAAGGGGTCGGTCATGAGGTCCGCAAAATGACCAAATGTTTCGCGGAATATCATGTCCCGATGTTCAGGAACACCTTCTTCTAGCTTCTTCTGCAGATAGCGGCAGCCGTGCTGGTCTTTGCAAAGTGTGGGTATTTCGCCCTGAAGGTCTTCAAGGCGTGTGCCAGCAAAACGGTTCACTACATAAAAGGTAAGTGAAAAAGAACTAGCTTGAGAAGACAAATGGGCTCACAATCCATGTCACCCCTCTTGTGCTTTGGACCGTGTAAACCGTTCATCTTGCCATCAGCGCCATTGCCACGGCCAATATGCAGCCCGTATCGCGTGCCATTGTGGTGGTAAAGGGCGGTCGAACCGCTCGCGCCATTGACACTGTTACCAGACCGGGTGCTCGAGTCGAGATCATACGAACTAAACGGACCGCTGTCCATCTGGCCGTTCAACCCATAAACATCTTCGACGCCGTATTGTTCGAAACCCATTGAAACATTGTCGTACTGGCCGGATGACATGCGAGAGAGAGATGGTTGGATGTCACTCTTGCCAGAGTCCTCGATTATCGGGTAACTACCTTGCGAAGAAAGTCGTCCGCTTAAAGCCTGAGAGTCAGGAGTATGAGGAGTGCCAGGAGTCTGCAGAAGATGCGAGTTGCCACCGTTCGCCATAGACAAAGGCGTAGCTGGCACTGAACGCGTCGTGCTCATGGCAGGGGAGCCCCGCCTAGATCCAGGTACTTGCCCAGCTGAACCCAGAGACGCTTGGGCATGTTGCCCTGCATGTGGGGTCGCAACGCCACCACCAAGGGTAGTAGTAGCAGACAAATCAATAGGCGAAGACGTCAGCGTCAAAGTTGGGTTGGTGACAGTGCGGCGATCGTTACGGGAGCTCAAGCCATCAGGTACACGTGGGTTGTTGGAAAATTGAGGCCACTCAGAGTGCTTGTCACCTCTTGCAGAGAATGAATTCCGTGGGGATGTCTGGGAGCGATGAGCGAGATCCAGGGCAGCAGACGAGGTAGTAATCTTGCGTTTGGATGTCAGTTTAGAACAGCACAAAACGCAGATCAAGTACCCTGTTGGCATAGGATGCAAATTTGTCCTCGTCGGAGGTTGGAAGATGTCTCATCGCGTCTAGAAAAGATGAGAAAAGCAAACCAGGCATAGACATCACTTACTGTGCATTTCCTGATCCAATTGCTCGTCGAGCATCATTCCCACATTATACTGCTGGCTGCGAGGGCGCTCCTCATCATTGTATCTCCCGCGAGTCAAAAGCGAATGAGCCACGGCGCCAGGACTAGGTGTCGCTCGAGATGGACGCTCTCCAACTAAGGAGAGACCTTGCAAATGACTAGCAAGTTCATCATCATGACTACTAGCCGAAGTGCGACGGCTGGCTGGCATGCTTTTGGCTCCAGCAGGTCGTCCATAGTGACCATTCATTCCATGACTAGACCCAAGCTCTGGGGACCGATGAACGGAAGGGGCATAAGTGACTGACTTCCTTTTGTCCGCAACCGCAGAACCAACAGCCTTAGAAAGCGTCTCCGCGTCCACAGAAGAGTGAGAGAGAGCCGCCCTAACGAGATTGTCACCATTCAAAACCGCGTTCACTCTTGGGGGGGTAGTGGGCGCCGAGACTGCGAGATGGGCTGAGGCAGTGGGATCATAAGGAATGCTAAGCAACTCCTGCGCCTGCTGTTGTTCGAGTGCGCGCATTTGATCCTCGAACATTTTCCGTTGCAATAACCTTTGACGCTCGTGCTCCAGGCGCTTCAGCTCGATGCGCTTCGGAACGGAAGGTCAATTAAGAAGAAAAACTAAGAGTGGCGATTATGAATGAGACTCACAGCCGACATATCAGGCATGTTAGTACCCAGTCTCGCAGCCTAGAGAACACGATGACGTATTGTGAAAAGTGAGACAGCAGAAGGAAGAAAAATGGACTTACCGAGTCTGCGAGATCGAGGAAAGCAGGAGGACTCTGCTTTCTCCCGTCTGAGGAACGATTATCGGTGGAAGCATTAGTGTTTTCAACGGTAATCATTGCGAATAACAAAAAAGGTCGACAGCTTTTCTTCCAAAGGTGTGAACGACAGAAAACAGATCGAGGAAAGCGACGAAGGATTAAAAAATAAGCCTAATTGCACACAAAGATCCTGCGTGGAGAAAATGTAAGTCAGACAAACCTAGTCAAAGCAAAGCGCGTCGTAAACACCGACCTGCAAGCCAATTTTGAGCCTGTCTATTAGGATTGATGGTACAAAGCTGCTTAGTGGGCTGAATGATTCAAAAGTCAGAGAGCGAGTGGAACGTGATGCAGGATGAAGACACACACCTTTTTTTCAATTCTCCAGTTTTTTAACGACTGAAACTCGAAAGGGAGAACGTTTGAATTTGAGTAGTTATGAGCAGCGTATTTAAGGCACTTCGCTAGCCGGCGTGGGTGAATTGGCAGAGCAAAAATCCCGGAAGGACCCCGTTTTTTTAAAAGTCCGCTGGAACCGCGAGTTCAGGGAGACTTACGGTACTGGCACCCAATCTTGCGTAATCGCCGATCCTCCAAAAGTTATTCGAGAGTCCTTTCAAGCATGTCTTCTTCAAGTCTTCTTCTATTCATGTATGAATTCATAGTAGTACAATCCACACGTAGTATACCACAGCATCCTTGCTTTTTCATTTTTTGTTTGACTTCTACTAGAAGCACGACTTCCATTTTATGCTAGCTTAGACCCTTCACAACGATCGAAATTATCATACACTTTTGCTTACACCAAACGTAACTTTTATCCCGGCTTGCAGCGTATGCCGTTGCAGAAGCTCATAACCTTGCTTGCCGCCCGCGGTCGTTTTGCGGAACTCGGACCAGCATCTGCTGTCAAACTTTTGAAAACAGCGCGCTTAGCAAAACGAAATCAGCCCATTAAAGTCCCGCAAATGCTCGCCTTCATTAAGATGTGTCGCAATTTATATAACACGTCGCAACATATCCGTAAGGTCCAATCATGAAGCGCGCGAAACAACAGTGCAAGGCGCATTGACAACAGCAGAAGCGCCTTCCACAGTTTTCTCCATCGGCTCCTTTGCCCCTTCACTAACGTTCACTTCCCCTGGCTTACCCTCTTCGCAATCTACCACAACACCCCCAATAGTCCGCCGATCCTCATCCTCCCCAATCCTCAAATTCGGAGCCGGCAACCCTGATGTAGCACACTGTGCCCCATCTTGCGCCTCCCAGCCGGTCTCAGGGTCCAATTTCACCGACACCCGACCAACAGAAGCGTTTCGCGAACGTAAAAATCCCGGCAGGGGCGGGAAGCCAATTGACAGTTTCGAATACCGAGAGAACGTATTACCCTCAGTCAATGGTGTAGTTGCCGTAGGCGTAGTCGAGCCGCTCTCGGTTGGTGTAGTGCTCTCGGCCTCTACATCTGCAGGCAACTCGCTCGAACAATGATTAGCTTTTGGACTGTCTGGCGTAAGCACCAGGGTAGGAGGTAGCGAGTGTGCCCGTAGGGGTGTTACAAGGCCTGAAGACGCTGGTGAATCGAAAACTCGAGAGTTGCTTTGATGCACAGATTAGGTAGTGTGAACAGGTTGCAAAGCCTTGACTCACTGAACGCTAGCGCATTCACCATCAGTAAGTGTCAGGAGCAAGTTTTTCAAATTAGGTAGCGTGTGTCGCATATCCAGCGCTCGTAAATCGCGATCTGTCATGAGCTGCCACCGTCGGCAGGGTCAGATGTTGACGGACATGGCCCACAACTGAGCTTACCATTTCGATATCCTTGTTAAGTAGGAACACACCATACTCGAATCGATATGTGTCAACGCCCTTTGAGAACAAAGGAAACCTAATTCATCTGGTCAGCTGATAAAAATGTAATGCACGAGGCATGAAGTTTACATTCTTGGACCAATCATGGCCGAGATATCATCTCTAATCAGACTCCGACTCCCTATGCAGGTGATAGGATACGTCAGGCCTTTGCCCATATATATGGCAAGGAGCTGTACTAGCTGTGCAGCAAAACCTAGCGCGGTGGCCACTGCATCTTCAGTCACTTCCTTGTGGGAGGCAAGTGACAATGGTGGGGCAGGCTCTGTAGTGTTGAACGGAATAGGCAACGGAACGGTAAGGATTGTGAAGAGTAGCTCTGAGGAAGAAAATAGTTCAATAGGATATAACCATGACAGCGTTGAGATCAAGGACGTTCGTATAACCGCAAGACGCGCCCGAAGGGCATCAAGACACCGCCTATACATTTGCCAATCAGCTTCTGCTAACGTTAGCACGAAGGAGGACAAACTTCTGCTGAGCAACTTCCACGGCAGTCTGCCGGAGGTTGGCCTGGTCTTCAGCATACATTGACCCAGCAGTTGCAAGTATGTCTCTCCGATGTTTTAGCCTCTTTCGGCGAGAAGCAATATCTCCGCGTACTATAAAGTAATAAGCACGGGATACATATCGGCAAGCATAAGGGTCTCACACAGACATGCCCGTTCCAAGATCTCTTTCGCTTCAGATTGTCGATCTTCGATACGCGCTTCACGTTCCGAAGCCTCCCGGTTCTATTGAATCTCATTTAGAACCGTTCGCGGGAAACAATTCGATCAAAATGCACGTACCAATATCGCGACAACATCATTGTCCAATGTTGTATCTATTTGCCGGATTACATCCGCAAGCGACTCCTCGTGGTCGATGATACATGACTGGAGCGTAACGAGCCTAAACGGCGATGTTAAAAGAAGCATGATATTTTTCATCATAAGCTACACTGACTGAAGTAAATCTTGCGAACTTGCGGTTCTGGCATTTGTCCTGCGCGATCTGCGCGATCTGTTGGGCTGTTCAGAAGGCGTCTGGGTGAGATGAAAATGTGCTGGTGTAGTCGGGTCGGCGGAGTGTCCGAACTTCCGAATTCCTGTCTCTGGTTCAGAGTTGTACGCAGTCGGAGAAGGAGAGCGTGAGTGCGAATGGACTCCTGAAACTGAACGAGTTGGCAAATAGAATGTTTCTGCACGAGTGGAGAATGATATGAAAAGGGTATTGGACGGGAGGCGTGACGGATGTGCCTCGAGCTAATGTAACATTTAGAATCTATGAGTGGACAGGTTCAATTATGCATACCTCAGGTTTCAATGGAACAAGGTCTGCAAGCGTGACATTCCATTGCTCTAGGACGGTCCACTCGGGTCCTTCTCTAGTAGGATCAGTCACCAACATCTCCTTTTGTTTTCCTTTGCTCTCGAGTGAAGCTCCAGCTCCACTAGTAAGATGCCGACAAGTCTTCGCCCATAACTCAATCTTCACCGTATCGGCACTTAAATCTGTCCAAGGTGCAAACTCGAATTTTGACCGTGCATCAATCACGAAAGAAGGGTTCGTCGAGGGCTGGTGGATAGGTGATATGTAGTTCGGCACGGTGTGAAGCAGGGGTGGTTCTGGAGATGCTGGGGAAGCTGGAGGTGATGGTAGCTGGCTCGCTGTGCAGTTGCATGGGACAGAAGTCGAGGACTTGTGTGCTTTAGGGACCACTCGTGTCGCAAGGGACGCTCCTGCTGTTCTGACTGGCGGTGTACCTTTTCTGAGGGCTGTGGAAGAGCGGATTGAGGGTGAAGGTTCCGGTCGGGATAAGGGTGCAGCCTTGGAGGACTCCGCGCTGTTCGGACGTGATGCTTTCGAAGCTTTGCGCACACTTGCCACCGAATTGGGAACGACAAAGTCATTGGAGGTGGAAGAGCGTGCGCGTGGAGCACTTTCAGCGCGAGTTCGCTGTGTGGCGGGCAATTGAGACGGGAGCGGAAAAACATCCGGAGTGTCTGGAACAGTGATTGAAATGAAAGTCTCCACAAGGCGGGATTGAATAACTTTCTCCAAGGTTCTCTGCGAATAATCGAATAACAACGATGAAGATAAAACGGTAGACAAGGTCGAAGGTGCCTGCGTATTCGAGGTCGAGGAGTGCACATTGATATTAAGCGTAGATACACTCATGGACGAGACCATAGAATTGGTGCGCGCCCGATTACTTGGTTTTATCGTAGGTGTGGTAGTACTGGTTGAAATGGTGCGGGAGATGGCGTTGCTCCTTTGCGTGGGCTCTGCGCTCCCTCCTCCTGAGAAACCTACTTTAGAGTGGGTTCTCCGACGACCCCTTCCATCACCATTGTCCAATATTGGAGAATGATCATCTACGCGAGCACTTTGAAGGGTATTGACAGAGTTTGTGGAGATCCGACGTGAGCGTTTTCGTAAAAGCGTTATATCAAGGTCGTCAGAGAGGTTTCCCAGAGGCGTGAATTGCGAGTGCTCAGCTGGACGAGCGAGAGCAGAAGCAAATGCATCTCGGACAGGAAAAGGTGTTAGATTGCGAACTTGGATGGAACTTATATGACGCAAACGTCTTTGGAAACATTCCTGGTTGTGCGGCGTTTAGGGAACAAGAGCAGGGAATATCTATAAACGTACCTCGTGCTCGAGGTTGACGCTGTCTAAGCTCGTCGTTGGGGTTATATCATGGACGCTGTGTGACATATCCTGTCGGTATACAAGGTCAATGAGAGCGCTGTGATGAGTCGGTGTCGGAGTACTTGCTACTAGGCAGACTTTCTAAATTGGGTGTGACATATCTTTGACCCGTTTCACTGTCCTCAGAATCAGAAATAGCACAGGGCGCTTCTCATGCCGCCGAAACCAAAACCACGTAAAGTCGTAAAGGCGCCAAAGAGCGTGTCTTCCCAGATCAAGTCCGCAGAGTCAAAAGACGCTCTATCACCAGACTCTATCATGCCTCCTCCACCCGTACCACCCAAAGCCATGGCTATCCTGGAGCCTGAAATGAGTGCGCTCATGGATTGTTTCAAGGTAAGTTATAATCCTGACCATCGAACACTATCTTGAGTCCTTTTGATAGAACGCGGTAGTAAAAACCGGTCAAATATATTCCTTTCATGCTGATTCCCGAAGACTGTCCGTGGCTTTATAGTAGTTCGCTATCACAGCATACTAACTATCGGCAGTGGTATTAACAAATATGCTCCATATCCACCTCGTTTTTTGACAGATTCCCTCGGACGAGAGGTCGAAAAATTCGATCAACTTTATGATGCGATGGAATCGCGTTTGGTGAGCTATCACCTTCTTCAAATCGTGGTGCGTCTTCCAATAATGCCCAAAGCTTCGAGCTATCGCTGTGCTAGAACGAGACCTAGCTCGCGAGCAGCGTCGTGCTCGCGAAGCCGAGAATGCCGCGATCGCTACCCGCACTCGTTCCAAATCCACATCGGAGTCTCCAACCACACGCAAAGTTCCTTTACCTCCACTGGAGGTCAACACAGATGTCGTCATGGGTCCACCAGCTCTTCCGTCTCAAGCATCTCCTCCCCAAGGTCTTGCGAATCCCACTCGCCGCGGATCAACCATTTCCCTATCATCCTTGCACCGCCCCCCATTTCCTCTCAAATTAGACCTCTCATCATCCTCCCTCCGAATGTCCGCAGAAGAAGCCGCTTTATTTTCCCAAAGTTTGCCTTCTCCGGTATCCCTTGCGCCCAAATCAGCTCGTCCCTCAGCTCAAACGGAGTTAGACCTTATGGCTGCATTTGCGTCTTCACAACACGTTGACATTGACTTAACTGTCGAAGATGATTCCCCCTTGCCTCCCATCGATGCGTCCTTAGGAAATTCGGCAGACAAGCCAATTGAGCTCGATCTTGACTCCATCGACATGGAAATGTCAACCATGACAGACCTTTTTGGAGATGGAACCGAAACGGGTTCGGGAGAGAACAGTGGGGTAGAAGGCATATTTTCCCCCATTGTTCCTGATTCTGGGGCTTCAAACCCCGCAAAAGAGTCTCAAGAAGGCGGTCTTGACATGGAAATGCTTGGCGCATTATCAGCAGTGGATAACAGCAACCACGGCAATGACATGTTTGGACCACCAGAATCTGATGGACTGCAATCTGGACAGCATTCTACGCTTGGCGTCCAGAGTGCTCATCCTGGAAATGTGGCACCTTCCCCCGGTGCGATTCTCGCAAGTTTCGCTACTTCTCAATCAGATGGGACCAGTCACCAGCCTCCAAGTGGGGACAGCAATTTCGATTTGTCTACTCTTGATCTTGCCAACTTCGACCATACCTTCTTCCACCGGCCCTCAGATATGAACCTCATGGATATGGAGGCGTTGCTGGACTCCATGGGTCAGGGCGGGGGCAACTCTGATGGGTCAAAACCACCATCATGAACTCACTTGCAGTTAACAGCTTACCCAAACCTTCCAAGTTAATGATGTGACATAAGACGGCAAGCTATCGAAATGGTCGAAGACGGGCTTCAATTTTTTTTCATATTGCTGGCCACCGCTTATCAATATCCTAATGAGTGACCTTATCAGTTAGCCGTACCTGTGACCTGCCATCAGTCTTGGACATGTGGTGAACACAGTCCTCCCAAAAGCAACTTAACGGCGACTCGCATGCTGACTTCTGAGCTTCGTGATTGCAGCCATGAATCTATACGTTGACGCTGAGTGCTGAGTACTGAGCGCTCCGATTGGTGGAAATTAGCATGCACCCAGGCCAACTTTATTCCAAAAGAAGAAGTTATGCATCTAATACACACCCGCGTCGATTCACGCATCAGTGTGTCGCCGCGCTGTAGAACTCGTAAGTATAAAATACTCGATGTTACAGCAGGAGCAGAAGCAAAGCAAGTTTCTGCGCGCGTATGGTTATGGTGGTCCTTCGTCCATTCATTTACACTTCTCTACTGTGTGTTGCAAATCTCGCGGAGGCAGAATGGTTTCATGGCCTTCTTGGGTCCTCTCATCGACGCGTAGTTCGTCATCCAGGAAACCCAAGGCAATCCAGTCAGCCTCCAGAGGTAGTGAGGTCAGCCTAGTGCCGCGTCTTCTTTTAGTGGTGTTTAACGGTGGAAGCGAAGATATGCACCTGAATCTTCTGCTTCTCAAGCATCCAGTGGCAGCGGAACGTCGACGTCAGGATCTCAAACGGTTGAGACACCTTCGGCTTCTCTCGTCTCTACCTCAGGTGTTCAACTTTACGACTTCTTTCATGCCCACCACGAGTGCACATGCTAGCAATCCAACCCAAGCACTAAATTCAAGCGCCTTACAAGATATCACCATCATCCACTCTCGAAGATTGGACACGATCATAGACAGCATCACAGGTGACCCAAGTAATATATCAACTTGGTTCGTTGCTCTCGCTAAGCTACACGACTACGTTGAAGGCAACCCCGTTTCAGGCTCAGAGATCTTCAGGGAGATGGTAAATGGCCCGACTCTGATGTCGACTATACAGCTGGCTGTGATGGTCGAAAAGCAAGCTGGCCAGCTGCAGATCATTGGGTTCGCATAAGTTAGTTGCCCAACGCTTAACTCCATGTGATTCACACTCAGTGTACGCGCTTCTCCACAGGCACGATGGCTGCTGCTTGGCATGGGGGACTCCAAGGCTACGATCAATACGTTAACAGTTCGACGATATTCACTGCCATAGGCAATGCCATGAACTACTGGTTCAATAACGACTTTACGAACGTCGGCTGTCTCGTTGAAGGAGGCACCGACAGCTGTCCTTGCGGCACACCTGGTTTCTGGAACACGAACTGGTATGCCAACGTGCGTCTAAATGTTGATGCCAGTTTCCCGAAGCCTGATAACATTGCCACAGGTCATCTTCATCCCCAGTCTCGTTGCAGAGTCATGTCTGCTCCTCAACGACACCCTGACACATACACAATTAAGCAACTGCAGTAATATCTCCCTACGTGCGTATGGCGTGTTCGATCATGGATACAGCTTTGAGGCTGGAGCAAACATCCTGGACATAGCCAAAACCGGTCTAGATCAAAGTCTTCTTGTGTCCAATGTCTCTTTGCTCTCGGACGCGTACAGGAGAGTCCATGACACTATCGTCATACAGGAAAATATTAGCATAGCAGCTGATGGGGTAGGTATCCCTGAAGTCCTGGTATACTCAATTTCTCAACGAGTCTCTTGGATAGATCCAGTTGGACGGCTCCTTCGGTCAGCACCTCGGGTTGCTTTATAATGGAAACTACGGGAAGGACTTGTACGCACGCATTTTTTTTCGTGTGCATGTTCTGAATTTGCTTGATAGCTCTAATGGTGTCCTCGTTTTCGAGACCGCAGCAGCCGGAACTTCATTCGCAGCTGACATTAAGGCAAGAGCTGCTCTCGAGACATTGGTCGACGGAAACCGATGGATGATAAATCTTAACGTCGAAACACAGGTTCGTGTGTGAATTTTCTGCCCCAGCAAAAGCTCAATGGATCTTAAGGTGTTGCACTGGGATCTTGTAAGTTTCAGCTGCAATTACTGACCATCTCTCATGAATACATGTAGAGCCCAGTGGGTCGCTTCATAAGCTCACCGGTGGCCGCTGGCCAGTAGGTACTCACCTTTTGATGCAGTCCAACTGCAATGACCTACTTTGACATAGAGCAAGTTCTGGTATCCTGACAAACCTCTCGAAGGTGGAAGAACTTGGTGAGAATTGGAATTCGGACGTTCTCGTTGACTTCGCAAGAAGTCTTTCGTCCAATATAACCCATGCAAACGTGGGAGGAATACTTGGAAACCGTATGTTCTATAAGAATGATTATATGGTAGGCCGACCAGTACCTACGCACCCCAAATTCAAATTCAAAAACTCCCAGGTCACTCGGGGTCCTGGCTATGTTACGTCTCTCAAGATGTACTCAACAAGAACCCGGAATACAGAGTGTACGAACTCGCAAAACGTGGGTCCTTTTCCCCCTCCCCCATTAAAATCATCACACTTATCCCATACAGCTTCTTGGTTTCCATCTCGCGGACGGTGTTGTTTACACATACCTCCAAGGCAATGAGTATGAAGATATAGCCGCTGTTTGGGATTGGAACCTCATCCCTGGTATCACCGTCGACTACAATGCCACGGTCCTCGACTGTGAACACACCAAATATATCGGAAAGGAAGCATTTGTCGGTGGCGTCAGCGACGGACATGTCGGCGTCGCAGCGATGCATTATGCCAACCCTGTGACCGGGACCTTGTCATGGCAAAAGACATGGTTCTTCCTCGAGCACGACGTTCAGTATGTGATGATCGCCAACATCTCCTCGAAGACCGATGCCCCTGTATTTTCTGTTCTTGACCAAAGACGTTTCAGCGGGCCTGACGTATTTGTCAATGATATGAGAACTTCCGGAGGGAACTTCACAGACCCCGACTCGTTATGGCACGGTGACGTCGGGTACGAGTTTCGGGGAGTCAATGGAACTTATGAACTGTCCCTCGAATGGAGCAACAAGACAGGTGACTGGTCCAGCACAGGTATATTTTCAGGTCAAGAAACAGTAGAATTATTCGCTGCTTGGTTGCACCACAAGGACCGCAGTGCCCCCATCTCCTATACTGTATACCCTGCAGTTGACTACGGCACATTCGTTCTCAAACGCGCATATACTCACTTGACGGAGATACAGAACGACGCCTCTGTGAGCGCTCTTTTGGATGAAGACCACTACACTGTCTTCGGTGTCTTCTGGGACGCAGCGGGCGGTTCGTTCACATTCACCGACGAGGTTTACGGTTCTATGAAAATTGAATCAAGTGCTCATGCTGTTTTCATCTATTGCATAGACACGGGCAGCATCACTGTGGCTGATCCGTCACAAAGTTTGTCGAATTTGACGCTCACAATTTCCGTGGAAGACGGATTGGAAGGACCTTGTGAATGGGGAGGAGAGAACAGTGTTACTGCGCATTTTGACATGACTAGCAGCGTTTTGGCAGGCAGTAGCGTCAGCCAGAACCTGAATTACTGATAAGAACTCTATATACATATCTGTATCATCAACACATGCTTACCCTCACGCACATTTATAGATATTTCTGGTCGAACAATCATTAGCGCACCTGGATACTCATCATGACATACTCCAATCATACCATGTTGTGTTTCGAGTCCACTTGTTCGAGATCAAGCTACAATGGATAATAAATCTATACAGTCCCCGTTGATAAATACTTATCCAGCCTCTTCCGTAGAGGATGTCCGTCGCGTACGCCAGTAACGCGCATTGCGTTTGCAAGTTCTGTCACTAGTCTCTTCCTCTCTTCCACATCCACATCTTGCTTTTCTAGTAACTCCCTGACAGCTCTCGCAAGGCGCCCTTTTGGTAAATTGGGAGCGTTCCCATTATGAGTCCCTGCCTTTCTCCTTTTATTCCCTTTCAATTTGGGAACAGCCAGCAAAGGTTCCAAAAGTTCCGTTCTAAACCGTCGAAGCGCCAGCGCAGACAGTGGTACGACACGGTCAACCGGACTTGCCGCCTCCGCGCACGACTCAGCGTGCGCAAGCTGCTCGCTCGTCCCCCCTTCATCCCACCCCCACTTCTTCAATTCCTCCGTCCGCCTCTCCTTCAACTTATTCGTAATTTTATCTTTTGTGTCCCCGTCCTGTATAGCCTTCGCAACAGCATCAAAGATATCGCTCAGAGTGAGCCAGCCTCTGTCCTCGTCGACAGCGCGTTTCACATAGTGTCGGTTCACATAATTGAGGAGACGGTTCACGGAGTGTGCGCCAGCGGCGTAGCGGTTGAAACACGGGACGATGTAATGGATCAAAGATGAATCATCCTCTGGAGCACCGAGTAACAGTTCCCGAGCGACATCCGCATAGTACTTGTCGATATGCTCATACAAATCCGTTCCGCTTGGTGTAAGTCTTTCGCGCTCCTTGTTAGTGCTGACAGTCTCAACTTGCATAGTGAAATAGTTATAGGTTGCTGTGTGTATCCCCATGTGATATGAAATGTCGATAACGGGCGCCTTTTCGGTTGAGTTTGTGGGCGAGCGGACGATATGGTTTAGTGCTGGGAGTAAATATCCCCAGAGGGAGGATAGAGATGCAGAGGGGTTGGCGCTGCCTGCAGACGGGTTAGGCATTGGCGGCAGGAGCACCATAGGCTCAACTTGCTTGCCTTTGCCTTTGGTCATGGTCGGAGTGATCTAAAAACTTAAGAGTTGACATTCAGCTGTCAGCCGGGAGCCGCCCTCGCCTCTGATGTCTGAAATCACGTGATATTTACTGAACCATCACGGTAAATGAGTATCATCCTCCTTTTAGGGGAGATCGATGAATTCATGTCTAATTGAAGCCATCAAGTATAGTAGTTCCCGACAGAAGAAAACTGAGGCTACATATATTTCCCGACTCAATCTTACTCAATCCATCTTTACCATGAGCAGGTACCGCAAGCGGATCTGGGATGGGTCATAGACGATGTACTAGCGAAATGTGAGCTGACGCAGGAACGTTTTATCGCGAGCACGAACCTCGTTGTACATGAGAAAGGCACCAGGGGGGTTGACCTGCAATGCCTCTCCCTTGGGCATGTGAACACCCTCAAGTTCTTTGTGGCCAAGCGCCATACCAGCATCTTGCCAATTGGTAGGTTGTACCATTCCTACCCCTTTCGTTGCCCTGGCGGTACGAGCAGTATGAGAAGCCTGCATGCGGAACAAGTAGAGATTGCACTCACAAAGTCTTGCTTTTCTTGCAATCTTCATCGGCATTGTAATTTGCATTGTTCATCTCGAGGAACGGTTTTACAGCCACCTCACAGAGGAGTAACACGCCTATTTTGTTACTCAAGCTATCCATCAAGGTTAGTGAGGCGCCCTTCGGGGATGTTGCATTACTCACCTAGCGTAGCAGTAGCCTGCAGACTGGAATGAGACAGATATCAACCATCGATGCTCGCAAATGCCCTTCCGAACTTACTTTTGACATCATCTAAGGAACAGGTTAGTTTATAGTATGGGACAAGAATATAAAACTCACATCTGCAAAGTAGACACCTTTGCCAAACATGTAGCCTGAATTGTACATCAGTACGCTGTACGTGTATAAACAATCTTCAGTGACATACCCGTAACAGGCGCCTCCGGAGGGGCGATCCGAAGACCCTGTTTGAGGATACCTGGAGTAAAGCTGTGAGTCTATGACCTGTGGTATATTTCGCACATCTCTTACCAGCGAAGTTGGTCGTCCTAGAACCGTGCCACAAGAGCATCCGATCGCCAGCAGGAAGCTTATCGTAACCCTTCGCGAGCCATGCAGAAGTCTCTGCCCCTCTCTCCACCCTAAATGCATGTAGAACTGCCGACCTGAAGTGATGCGTCTGTCCATGCGTGTCGGAGATGTAACGTGTGAGAGTATCGAATTCCGAGCTGTCTCGAGCGACAGGATCCATCGAATTGAGACCCAGCGAGCGGAAGTGCGCGTCCAGCGGGTTAAGTGGCTTCCCGTCGTCATCAACATTGATGGTAGTATTTATGAGCTTATGGGCGATTTCCTGAGGTGACACATGGTGAGCAGATGAATATGCACGAATACGACTCCCATACCATGTCACCTAGAGCGTCGACGAGATTCAGTTCCTGTGGAGATGTAAGCATGAGAATTGTGACGAAGCGCAGTGTATTACCCTTTTCAAAAGATCTTGGTCTCTGATTACAGTGGGCCTCATGCGCCCGAATACATGAGGAATGATGCTGCCAAAAGCTCACATCAGAGCAATAAACAATAAAATTTCCACTTGACACACGAATAGTATTCCGAAGTAAGCGTTTCACAGGCAGTTTGGAAGCCGCCTAGAGACTTCGCCATGTCACCATCCGGATGCTCGACCACTTCCGCGAGTTTCTGAAATCGTTAAATCGATATTTCAGACAAATATTTCGTGATGATGAGCGAACCTTCAATGCCGCAAACCCATTGAGAATCGTTGACTTCGCGAGTTTGCCTGCAAGACTGTGAATAATCGAACAACTCCCATCAAAGGATGTGATATACCAAGTGGAAGCTTATTGGCGTCATAATTCATCGACGACAAGTGAGCATCAATAAGTCTACATTGATCAGTTGACGCTATGAGAGTTCAGACTACAACACTTACTTGGATGAGAAGATAAGGTTGCAGAATGCCTGCCGCGACCATTGATTGAATTAGCGCAGGTGAGGAAGTTGTTTTCTCTAATTACCTGCAACTCGGGTAGCAACTTGGATTCCGGAACAGGTTCATCTTCTTTGGAGTTGCTGCCACTGCTTTCCGCCTTGTTATCTTCATCCTCGAATACACGCTCTGGAGAAGATATCAGGTTACTCTTTCGCGTTTGAACCTAAGAATGTGTTTACCTAACCATGTATATTTTCCTGATTATCGGGTGTTCATGTGAGGGTTGGACTTTCAGAAAATATCCACTTACCCTTCGCAGCCACCATGCCAAAGCGTTGGGGCCATGCAACGCCAGATTTCGACCTGAACTGCTTCTTAAACTCGCCAATGGCAGAAGCAGATGGCCATGGTCCCTAACATAATAAGTTTCTAGTGTAAAATTCAAATGGTGGGACCAACCTTGATTTGGCTTGCGCCATTTTCGCCGACGCGGCCCCAACGCGTATAGAGGGAGCATTGGGCGTCATTGCCAATAGGATGCAGCAGTTGTATAACATAAAATCTATGTGCCTGGATGAGAATGCAGAATTCTCCATGCGCGCGTGCTCACTTGTTCTTGTTAGAGCCAACCTCAGTTTGGTTGAGCATTGCATCCCAAACACTTTCAGCATTCGAGTAGACTTGATGTGTAACTAGACATGCCGGTCATTTCCACGCTCTTAACGCATGATTACAACACTTACAAATGAGACCGGATGTTGGGTCTACCGGAGCGGCACCTCGTTTCACAACAGTAACCTGGAAGTTGAGAGGTAAGCATCTGGCTGTATGACTTCGGGGCATCCAGTACTCACCATCTTCTTCACTTCCGAGTCGTTGTCTGCCTTGTTGTCACTAGTGTCATCGTCCTTGTTCAGCTTGGCAATTTTAGAAGGGACGACATCTGCTTCAGTCGTCGTCGCGGACGCGCTTCTTGGATGATTTTGATTTTGAGACGGGTTTTGCAGGTTGGGACACGGGTTTTGCAGTAGAAGCAGGTGCGGCGTTTACCTGCCTCGTGGCAGCCCTGGTGGAGCGCGATGACACTGGTATCGGAACGCCAGCGGCGTCGGTGGAGGAGACGGCTTTCTTGCGAGGCATGGAAAAGTTGAGAAGAGATGAGAGTAGAATGGAGGGGATTAAATAGTGTGCCCCTGTCACTGACTCGGTGATGGGTGTGGAAAACGGTGTCCATGGCCACCACGCGCTCTACACCGCCCTGAGGACTTATATGGAGATATCCCGACACCCGCCCTATCACGTGAGATAGGGGGAATTCTTATTCTAGAAGCACGGTTCGGTTAAATTATTTCGGTAGCGAGGCCGAACGGGTTGTATGTACGTGACTCCTTATCTTTTGTCCAACAAATCACACAAGTACTTCCCCCAGAGAAACGGCATTCTCCGGACCACACGGTTCAAACGTGCTACAATGGCTTTGCTCGAGAGTAAAGAGATCTGATCAACTTCACCGGCCCCATTCCCGAACTTCTTCAATGTGGAGCGGAAGTTTTCACCAAATGTGTGATGACCCTTACACTCGATACGCAACGTGCCCCCGGCATCCAGCGGACACTGCCTTTACTCGATATCACATATTCCATATACAGACACTAATTGTGATCACAGCGAGGGATGACAGTTTAAATGGAGACTCGGATATCACGATGTGACTTTGTGAAAGTGTAAGCATTAATTTTACCTCCCAAGTTCCGCCACCTCCATATTATAGTCCTGATTATAAAGGGCAGATATCGATAGTATGCTTTCCGAACTTCTTACCACCCCACTTGCATTCCACCATCTGAGATGGCAGTTCCTGACGCCCATATCAATATTCAGTTCAATTTGAACTCTATCTCATCTTATGGTGCGTACAATAAACCCTCTCGTCGTTTTTCTCTCTCTCCAACTGACATTTCAGCATATGCATCAGATCTCATCAGTGATCAACCCTATGATTTCTTATCGCCTCCCCAATTCGAGGCTCCTCTAGTCCCCCCTGATTTTCAATGGCACCAAGTTGAGTCGGTATCAACGTGCATACCTTCCCCTCAAGAATCAGTGTCTTCTTCATACGCTTCCACTTCCTCTACATCAAGTATAAATTCCCCAAAATCGAGTTCCGAACTTCTCTTTCCATCGTCCTTTCCATCCTCCGCAGCTCTTGCGAGCATGCCTATACCATGCTCTCGTGGCTACTCGCGTAGCAAAGACCCAGATCACGTCCCACGTCCGCGAAATGCTTTCATGCTCTTCCGCTCAGCATTTGCCGCCGCACAGAAAATCGGAACGAATATTGAGCGTGACAACAGACACATCACCCGCATAATCGCGCACTGCTGGAATCGCCTCTCTGAGTCAGAGAAACAGGTTTGGCGTACCAAGGCTGCAACAGAGAAGGCCGTTCATGCCATCAAATACCCAAATTACAGGTTTCATCCTGTCCTACGCGCCAAAAAGCCTACCAAACGAAAAGTTCAGAGGAACGGTACGGAAGACAAGAAACGCTGCGAGCAAGTCGCCGAACTGCTTCTTGCAGGCAAGCATGGCGAAGAACTCGAGGTCGCAGTCAAGGAAATCGATGACACTATGAAAGTAACGACTTTCATATCATCCCCTGGTTCAAGAAGTGGGTCAGCGTCCAAGGGCATAGAACCTTGTGAAGGTGACTTTGACGGATGCGAGATACAACCATTCCGCAGTCCTCTTTTGCCACCTACTACCAAGTCTACTGGTCCTTCGATCTACGACATTGCAGGTGCCACTCAGTTTTCTCCACCGGTGCGCACATTATCTCTCGACATTTGACATCCTCTCATCGTTTCTATCTAGCTTGCTACGATTAAGACTATACCAAAATCCTACGATTGTAGCGAGCAGCTTTACCAAGCGCCGGCGTATGACACCAATCAACCAACATCGAGTAATTCGCCGGCGCATCCATTGCTCCTTACCCAGCCTGATTTTCATCATCTGCACCAAAGCTCTAGGCTCTCGCCACTGCCTGTGCCACTTTATAGCGAACCCTCAACCTTGTTCATAAACTATGACGACGATAATATCTCCGCATTCACACCGTCCCCTCCAGACTTCTCAGACTTCTCATGGGACACATTTTCAACGTCGTGCTATACTACTCATTCGTCTCACTCGTACGCAACTTTTCCATCCTACTGAACGTTTGTTAGGATGCAATACTATTACTTCGCTTAACCCCGGGCCAGCAAACGCCTGAGACCCCTAATCACGTTCACATTTACATTCACCTGTAGCCTTTTAGCTTTACTCTGCGATCAGTGTATACATACTTATCAAACCACTGTTGAAGGACATAAGGACGTCGGAATGTAACCTTTGCCAGCAGCAAACCCATTCACAAAGTTCCAGACAAGATCTCAAAGGTTCTGACGCCCTCTTTTTCCAACAACGTTGCACAACGTACGATCTTCTCACCGGCACGATTTATCCGTCGAACAGCTTCTGGGGATGTCACGCCCCCAGCGCCAATGATGACATCGCCGTATCATCTGACACCACAAGAAGTCGTGAAAAGGTGTACACATTCCATAAGGAGAGAGCATGAATGGCCTCGCCTGCGATGCCACCCACCTGGAGGCACGGCAAACGGGGACATGTCCGTCTTTGCATCTGGGGTGGGGGTCTGATCAGCAAAGACGAGGCTATTCCCGAGGGTGTTTGTGCACGTGATGTAGGCGATTAGGTTTGTGGAGTTACCAGAATTGGTGCGGGTGTATGATGTACGGCGGGGAGCTTGAGCCCGATCGTAAGCGTAGTGTCTTCCAATTCAGGGATGAAATGGAATCCTTCGTGGACGCTACCTGAGCGATCAACCTCGTCGGACATGTAGAAGATTTGATATCCTCTTACTAAGGCCTGAAGGTAGATGTCGAGGGTTCTGCCACCATTCAGAGGCAGCAAACAGTATGCAGTCATATTCAGTAGTGTAAAGTAAGGTAACAGGCTCTCATACGGACATATACGGCGCCATCCTGTGCGAGTAAACTCGTTAATCCACCACTGATGCCATAAGCAACTCACTTGGAATCTTTATTCTTTCCATTCTTCGCCAGCCGTTCCTCGAGTTTGGCAAACTCATCCAATGCAATAACCTCCTCTTCATCCAAGATCTGGTTCGTCGTCAACTAGAGGCAAACACTGCAGGGAGGTTTGAACATACCTGCTCTACACCCTTCACCTCCGGGATATAATGCATCAACATCCTCTCAATTCCGGACTTCAATGTTACAGCGCTAGATGAGCACCCTCTGCAGCTTCCCTTCAATTTAACTTTTACAAAGCCTTCATCATTAAACCCTCGGTATTCTATATCGCCACCATCCTCCATAATCGCTGGACGGACACGAGTTTCGAGCAGCTCTTTGATCATTGCTACCGTCTCAGAATCTGTGTCAAGAATCCGCGTGTCCTGAGGGCCAGCAGCTTCTTTATCCTCTTCCGACCGGAAAAGTGGCAAACCGGCAGAAAAATGCTCCATAAGTATCGAGTATATCTCTGGTTTGAGGATTGCCCATGGATTTTCGCTGTCCTTCGACACAGTAACGAAATCTGGTCCATAAAAAATAGCTTTGACGCCCTCAATGCCCATAAGACGGATAGCAAGTGGAGATTTTAACGCTGATCGCGTGTCAAGAAACTCGGCTGTTCCTTCGCCCATGACACTTACACCAGGTATGAATTTAAGGGAATCGTCGTTTGGTGTGACCTCTGTCTGTATGAACATGGATCGACCTGGACGCACAACAACAGTTCACAGGAACATGTCAGAGACAAAAAAAATGAGACATACATTGTGGGGATGCTACGCCAAATGATGGTGCAGCTTTTGAGGCGTGAATGCCTGAGGCAGTTACAAGAGTGGGGCCGTGGTATACTGCTGCACGTACGGGCGTGGATGAAATTGATCTTGTCCAGGACCGGACTGCAGACTCGATAGTGCGATTCGAGGCAGAGCGTGCGCTTGACAGGGCTCTGATAGATCTGGAGGCAAGCCTAGACATGACGGTCGTAAGTACTAAGCACTAGTATAAGTATGCGCCGGTGTGCTCGCCGCTTATTCACCTGCATGCTGTTCCAAAATATGTACAAACATAAATGCGGCCGGCGACCGGCAATCAGAGCGGCACGCGGCTGATCGATCATCATGTGTGGTGGTGGTGGCTATGTTGTCCATACCCCTTCTGCCAACTCTGAGTACTGAATTTCCGATGCGATGATAGCAAATGAGAGTCACGGTTTTCACGACTTCTTTATATTCGCAACATTATCTTTTTTTGCGGTCCTGCTGTTTATTGTTGTGAATGTCTCCCAGAAGGTGCAACAAACCCCGAAATTGCGCTCAGTCGCCATTCTCGTACTAGGCGATGTGGGACGCAGCCCGCGAATGATGTATCATGCAGAGAGTTTTGCGAAGCTGGGATTTGACACCTATCTCATTGGATACAAAGGTAATAACTGCCCGTATCGCGTTTGTTCAGACTGACGTTCGACACGTCAGGCTCCAAGCCGATACTTTCGCTAACCTCCCTCTCCAATATCAGGTTATCATACTTGTCAGAATCACCGCCACTCGTTACGCGGATTCCTTTTGTTCTAGCCGCTCCGATCAAAATTATGTACCAGATAGCCACCATTCTATACACGCTAGTCTATGACATACCCCGGCCGCCCGAGTTTATCATGGTGCAGGTATGGATGTCAATGTGGCTACAACCTTCAGCGCTCAAATATATTTTGCAGAATCCTCCCAGTATTCCCACTCTCGCTTTAGTGTGCCTTGTCGGAGGGATGACGGGAAGTAAAGTAATCATCGACTGGCATAACCTCGGGTATAGCATTCTCGCATTGAAATTGGGAAAAACACATCTGCTCGTCAATATTGCAAAACGGTATGTTCATCATCCTTTGTGCCAGGCGTTCTTTACCATCCTCCTTTAGCTTTGAGATCAGGTTTGGCCGTTCTGCGTATGCTCACCTGTTCGTTACAAATGCTATGCGAAACCATCTGGAGCAGGAATGGGGCCTGATGTTTGTCTACTTGCCTACAGTATCGACTTACGATTAATTACTGGTTCCAGAGGACACAAGGCGGTCTTACATGATCGTCCACCCAGCCACTTTCACAAGTGTCCACCTCTAGAAGTCCATGAGGTACAAAAGTGACTTTTGTATCCAATAATATCTGACACCTTTGATGTAGTTATTCATACGGCTGGGACGCTCGATACCGCCATCACTTGCAGATTTTCTCCCCGGTGCTTCGCTGCCTTACACGACCCAACTTACTGAAATACTTGGACTTCCACCGTATTCCGCTTCTCCCACATATGCTTTTAGCTCCCTCAGTACGCCCGCTCTTCGAAAAGATCGTCCAGCGCTGCTGGTGAGTAGCACATCATGGACACCAGACGAAGACTTTGGCATTCTCTTGGAGGCATTGAAACTCTACGAGTCTCGTGCTCGTGAAGCAAACCTTACAGATTGTAACTCGCAATCAAAGCACAATTCAAAAGAACGACCAGTCTTGCCTCGCATATGGATGGTCATCACAGGCAAAGGGCCGCTTAAAGACCGATACATGGCAGAAGTGGAGCTCTTGCAAAAAAACTGGCAGTATGTCAAGTGCACAAGTTTATGGCTTGAAGCAGAAGACTATCCCCTTTTGCTGGGTAAGTCGTTCGTGCATGGTCACAGGTTCATTCACTGATTTTATGTAGGCTCTGCTGACTTGGGCGTCTCATTGCACTCAAGTTCCTCCGCGCTCGATTTACCAATGAAAATCGTTGATATGTTCGGATGCGGACTCCCCGTTTGTGCCCTCGATTTTGCATGGTGAGGACTTGTGTGCTTGGACCTCTGCCATATTGATGCCTGCGTTCATAGTCTTCCAGAGCTTCTCAAAGACGGTATTAATGGCTTGGTTTTCAAGAATGCGTCTCAGCTTGCAGAGCATCTGGAGGTGGGATTCGTCCTCCATATGATATTGATGGAGACTGACCATACATCATAGACCCTCCTCACTTCTTTTCCTTCATCATCTGCACTTGATTCTTTACGGACAAATTTGCAGCGGGCATTACAGGTACCGCTCAGTGTCGAGCGTTATAATCACCAACACCAAGAAGGTGCTGACTGGGAGTGGGGTCCTTGGTCAGAGAACTGGGACCGTGTTGTTAAACCTCTAGTGTTGAGAGATTCAGAGCGATTTGGTTGAATCGTGGGTCCACTTTTAGGGCGTTGCATGGAGTTTTGATTATAACTGCTATTTATCTGGACCTAATACAACTATTTGCAATACCACTATCGTATACAAGGCGCGATTAACGTAGGGACTTAAAAAGCCAATGTCGGTATGTACAGCCATTGAATATACACTGGCTGTAACGTGGAGGCTGTTCTGGTTAACGTTCATAACTCTGTCGAAAGTTGCATCTCCTACTAGTCAAGAATTGTGAGTCATTTCTAGCTGTATTTTTGCACATTATGTAATTTAGATTGATCAGGTATCATATCTGTATCATTTTCTGACGGAACAAAATATGAAGACACATCTTGCACAACCTACAATCCTCGCAACGGCACGATTAATATTCATCCAAACAGCCTTGGGGATGTCACGCCCCCAGCGCCAATGATGACAATTTTCCAAATCGCCGGGTCATCTGACTCCTCAAACCATCTTTGAAGGACATACGGACGTCGGAATGTAACCTTTGCCAACCACAAACCCATTCACAAGTTTCCAGACAAGATCTCAAAGGCTCTGACGCCCTCTTTACCCAACAACGTCGCACAACCTACGATCCTTGCACCGGCACGATTCATCCGTCGAACAGCCTCTGGGGATGTCACGCCCCCAGCGCCAATGATGACAATTTCCCGCATCGCCGGGTCATCTGACTCCGCGAGAAGTCGCGAAAAGGTGTACACATTCCCTAAGGAGAGAGCATGAATAGCCTCGCCTGCGAGGCCACCCAAACCTGGAGGCACGGCAAACGGGGACGTGTCTGTCTTTGCATCTGGGGTGGGGGTCTGATCAGCAAAGACGAGGCTGTTCCCGAGGGTGTTTGTGCACGTGAAGTAGGCGATGGGGTTTGTGGGGTTACCAGAATCGGTGCGGGTGTAAGACGATATGCATTCGATGAGATCATGAAATTGGGTTGTTATGATGTACGGCGGGAGCTTGAGCCCGATTGTAAGCGTTGAGTCATCTTGGAAAGCCTTTGCGAAGACGTCGAGATATGGCTTGAGAGAAGGAAGGTGGTATGAGGGCGGAGGATGACCTTTGATATTTGGGCAGCTAGAGTTAAACTCGACAGCGATGCGAGAGCGCCATGTGGAATTTGACGCGCGGAACTGTTGTATCGTGACTAACATTTCGGAAAGCCTCTCGGCGCTAGACTCTGTGATGCTGATTATGAATGGTTTGGGAGACAATCCTTTTTCTAATAACTCCTGAATCCATGCGAGATATGCATACAATGGATGTGGAGAATATCCGTACGAATTAAGGGACGAAAGGGAGTCCTTCATGAACGCTACCTGAGGGATCAACCTCGTCAGACATAGAAGATTTTTGGGAACTTGTCTTACATACTGTATGGCTTTCATCTTCTTCAAAACCGTCCAAAGTAGCTGTTCTCGTGATCACAGCGCCTGTATGAGGGCAGTGGTACAGTCCACTGAGCTGTTGATAGTCTGATGCCCATGCACATGAGCAGTTTACCATGGAAGGTGACACATCAATGGTGCGAATCAAAACCATCGAGGATTTTATCAGGATCAGGAAACGTCTTATGGATCAAGTAGAATGAGCCGCCGAGCGTATTGATACGGGCCTTTCTTCCGCGTTATCAGTTGAGAAGACCGCGAGAGTGCCTATGATTATTACGGACGTGCCTCAAGCGGTCAACTTGGCTTGAGATAGCTCGATAAGACTTAACCAATCGAACAGAGACATACCGCATGCGTGCAAGTACATAGCTATGAAAAGAAACAATCATTGATGAGCTGATCAGCCAGGAACACAGTCCATTTGGCTCCCCAAAAACACTGGTAGCCTCTTCTCCTCTCGGTGTGCCCGTTCACAACCGCCTCTTGCCCAGTCGTCTCTCGAGCATCTTCTTTGATTACCTCTCTCACCTTCTCCCACAACGGCTTGATAACTGTCCTAAAGCATTAAAGGGAGCCACCAGCTAACGACATATATTGCTCCATTGTCTATGAGCCAATTTCGCGGATACAAGACCATAATTGGGTCCAAGATTACCCCGAGCCAAGTCTGAAACGAAGCTGTCTACACCTGTACCTGACGCTCTACCTGTAATCAAACTCAATATGGTGCGTTTGGTGGACACGGATCATCGGAGCGATCCTGGAACGATGGTTCTGTTGATGATATGGTTCCTGTCGCCTCCAGCGGACATGAATGTGGTGCTGACCGAAAGGGAGTGAAATGCAGCCTCAAGACCATCCCTGAAGAGGCAGCAACTTATTCTGCATACAGTCCGCGGGAATTGATGAGCTATCATTGCAGGTCTCTCAGTGTGGGGTATTGCTAGTGATCGGTTACACACCAATATGTACCGTGCTTCGTGGGGAGAGGATGGAACATGGGAAGACTGTAGTACATGTTTACTTGAGGATTTCTTCCCTTTCTAGTACAGACTTGTCAAGTTTGATGAGTATGGTCGTACGCGATGGAAACTGTTGAGTAGGGGTATGATGAGCTGTCACTCGTGCAGGCTTTGCGCACATATCAGTACAGAATTCGTCTGAGAACGATATACTGACCAATCCTAGTCCATCCAGGACAGCTTCTACGATCCCAGCAGTGAAAGAAGAACAGCTGAGTTGGTTCATATCTTTTGGGACAGATATATGACGTTCGATTGGAGGATCATTGTCGATGATCATATCTTCAGATGGAAATCACTCAGCGGTCAAATAACATGAATGGAGTGATCATACATTCATCTTCATTCTCAACACTCTTCTCTATTGCATCTGCAGGGCGTCCAAAGACTGCTCTCCACACCTGGGTGTGGATGGACATGAGAGCAGGTAGAAAACGAATTTCTCGTTTTGGAGCTTTGGACGACGACTCTGCCCGCCAAACCATGAGTTCGAGGACTCGTGTTCCGGCGCGATAACCGAGGGTGTTCAATCTGAGTGACGCCACGTTAAGCGAGCATAATAGAAGTGCAGGGTAGACGCACCGCCGTTCGAGATCATTGATTCCGCTCACGCGTTTCTGGGTATATTGAACGACCTCAGAAAAAAGGAAGGCGAAAGCGGAAGCGGACACTTCTGATGTCCGTGTTTTATTAAGATTCCTGTCATAGATATTAGGTCTAAGGCCTGGTTTTGGCGTGCCGAGAGCAGTGTTTATAGATGTCGCAGAAGGTAAAGAGAAACGTGTCGAGCTTGCAGTTGGGGAAAGATGTTCTGTAGAAGAGAGCGAAGAACCGGATAGAACAGAAAAACGAGGATGAGGCTGTTGCATGGTGGAATGCGGTCAACTTACAGTTTTCGGCTGCAATTTAGTAATTTGTGGATCTGTCAAAGTGAGCTAAGCAGCCTGCCAGTGCACGACTTGTGTCCTGATATACTTAATCATCATGACACTCCTAACCACTTCAGCAGCAGAGGCTGGTTTTCCGTCTTCAGCTCGTGTATTGCACGTTTCTCCTTCTCTCCCAGACCTTTATTCATCCACCTATAATACCTATAGACTGAGACGCAGCAGCCCGCCTATGAACACTGCCGCAGCGCTCTCCTCTGTCGATTTACAGCAACACATCTATAACTCTTTGCTAGAGTCTCGCACTGCAGATGTCTCTTTGCATGTCTATGGCACATGGGAGGCAATCTACAAGCTGCACAGAGTAATCCTAATACAGTCGGTTCGTAAAGCTCTCGTTTCTCGGCTCTCTACCAAGTTACTTACTAGACTACTTGCAGGGGTTCTTCAGCTCGCTATTCACAGCGGGCTTCCTCGAGTCCTCACCCAAACTACGTAGCCATCTACAAGGACCTGAGGAAATTGACGTTATTTTCGATGACCGCAACATCACTCGTGCAGGTATGTTCTAGCCCCGATGTCGATAGCTCCACGCTGATGACTTTTCAGCTTTTGAGTAGGTTATTCAGGACTAACCTTGTGACCTTGGATTGACATTTTCCAGGATATGCATCGCACGACTATATGGTGGCGGCCCACCCCTATATGTCCCACCATCCATTATCCCAACCACATCCCAACCACTTACTCCTTCCTTTTCTAGCCCCTCTTTATCTTTCGACACACCCAAGGGGCATCACACCGCTACTCCTCAGTTGTTGCTCTCACTTCTAGCCACAGCAGTCTACCTCTCCATACCCTCCATGGCATCGCAGGCTATCAACTGCATCATGAACACAGTCGGACCGTACACCGTTATTCCTTACCTCAATTTTGCTATCGGTAAAGCTATCGAAGCTGATCCTGATCGCAAAGCTGAAGCAGCATTGGGCTTGGAGAACATTGCACAGTTAGTTACCGAGAATTGCGCACCTAGTACATCGCGTTCTCCTTTGCGCACATCAAGCACCAAGCTGGATCCTGCCGATGATTTGTCCGATAAATTATTGGATCTAGATGTACAGAAAGAGGATCCTGCTGAATCGAATGAGGTAGAATCTGAGCCAGACGATGGGCCAATCCGCGAACCTTATTTCCATTATGGACTGTTATCAGACAAGATTGGCGAGGCCGCGGCTTGCTGGATCGCCCGATGGGGTGCGGATATGCTTATCCACGAAGAGAAAGCATCTCGTGGTCCAGAACTCCCTGTCACCCCAGATCCTGTCCTTGCGCAAAACGTGTCGTCGCGCAAGAGAGCCGATACGATGCCTGCCAAACCTTCAACTTCTAGTGAGCCTGTCATACCAGAACCACATGTGACTCCTGTCATCTGGGCAAGGGGTGGCTTAAACTCGAAGTGGGTGCGACAGATCTTAGGCTCCAATTTGTTATTTGTGAGAGGGGAGAAAGAACGATACGATATGGCTTGCACCATCGTTGAGCTTAGAAGACGGCATGGTATTGATGAAGAAGAGGAGAAAGACTGGGAAATATTGTTCCGTGAAGGCATCTACTATGCCAATTTGGTAAGTAAAGATGTCTCCTCTAAGAGCTTTTTGTTGATAACAACTTAAAGCTTGTGGATGATATCATGGCGATATCGCAGCATATCTCTCCTACCACTGGTCGACCATTTGTTCCCCTTTCTGTATTACAGGAAGCTCATTGGGATCAGTCGTTACTGCGATGTCAAATTACAAGCAAACCCAACCCGACCCCTTCTCCTTCATCCCCGTCCTTGAGCCCTCCACCTTCGCGAGAGAAGGAACTTGGGTTGTCCATCACGACTGCTGAGATTCTTGCTCGATTGCCGACTTCGAACTCTTCATCAAGCACAGTAGACGACAGAGATAAGCCATATTATCCCGTCGGACACGATTCATCCGTACGCATTGGTGATAGCGGGGGCATCGAAGGTGCTTCTATGGACCAACTCTTCGAGTCACCTCCATCATTGTCCAGTCCAACCACGGACAGCAAGGCGCCTGTTCGTGCAACAACTACTGAGGCTGATTTCTTTGGTCTGAAGCCAGAACGACAAACTGCATCAGGTTGTATAGCATCTGACGCAACGGGTAAAGCGCGATGGTCACCCCACCCTCCGTTCAGATTTGCAGTGGAGTTCTGGGATATCGACGCACTGAAGGAGAAATCCCGCCTGCACTCACAGACGATCTGGTACGCAGGAAGCTTGTTCAACGTATACGTGCAAGTTATCAGGAAGAAGGGCATTCAGCTTGGAGTCTATCTTCACCGACAATCGAACATTGATCCTATCCCTGCCCCTTCGGCGCCATTGTCACTCAATCGCACGGGACACGCACCCGCCAACAGAGTGCCGTCATTACCACAACTTTCTACGTCGCAGTCCTCACCCTCTGTAGCTACGCACTATTCCCCTTCCGTTCGCCCTCTATCACGAAGCACGACGCCCAATTCATCCCCACCGACATCATCCGGCCATGCTACGTCCTTTACCTCTTTACCGAGCACCATTCCAGCCACATCGCCTGCCGTTGCTCCATCGCAGCCATATCGCGATCCCCGGCCTGCTATCGCAGCTTACTTTACTATCTCTTGCGCCAGCTCTACTGGTTCATCTATTACGCGATTCACGAGCGTTCCGGATGTGTTCTCAGTCAGTCAAAGTTGGGGTTGGAAGTCGAGTTCCTTGCGAACTGAGCACCTAGAGGTTGGCCCTGACGGGCAACCTGCCGAACCTACAATTCCAGCCCCAAGATTGAGCAGCCTTCGCGCTACCATTGTTCTGGGCATAGTCTAGGTTCAAGTCGTCCCTGGGTTTATGAACTGTTTTATGTACATCGCTATATTTGCTATCAATTCGTATATTCCCTTCTGATATATCACACCATCTATGTATTAAGTTAGAAGCACGTTCCATCATCGTCCCAGATAGAATCGTGCATAGCAGTACATCCACTTAGTCAATATTCATGCTAATCATCTCCATAACATCCGTTTCTGGTCACGGTAGTCCCCGCGCCCCCGCTAGCATCAAGGTAATGTCAAACAGCACAAAACACGCACGTGATTTCATACCACAGCGTCCGAACTCAGTTAGCAATGGATTCTTTCAATGATAAATAGATATCCGACAATGATTTATTTATCTGTCATCCTTTGGAGGACCTTTCAACCGGAGGACGGAAAACCGCACGAATCAGACATAAGTCACTAAGAGAGCACAAAGTTGCACTACGGTCAATGATAAACAATATGGAACATTCGTTTGCAACATTTCCCCGGTAGATGCATGAGGGAAAGGACTATTTGATACACTAGTTTCGTACCTCTTCATTGACACCGCGAGTCAAATATCGAGCTCCAGCATAATGGCGCGACCGACGGGCAATAAGCGTTACAAAGACTACATGCCCAAGTACAGTAAGTTCTGGTAGCGCACTGAGCATCATGATGCAGGAGCGCAAACGGCCGATGCACTTACTGGTCTGGTCCACATGTTCATGTATGAGTGGCAGTTAGCCATGGACGACGGACGCCAGTGGCGGGGGAATGCCTGTGAGGTGCAGCAATCATGTGAAAATTCCAAACGTATCGATCATTGAAGGGCCATCTGGTACCATTGAAACGTTTTGGCTTGGTGTGATTATTTTGAAGCCTAGAGGTGATATCGTATGAGTAACTGGATTGAGGCATAGTGGAATCAATCAGGAGAGCTCACACACTTGAAAATGGCTCACCTCAAGTAGAAGTTTTTCGACATGTCAACTTGCTTGAACATATTCACAAGGCGCTGCTCCTCGGCAGGACGGTCAATCTTATGATCTCCGTGTTCTCGCAATGGTATAAATAGTGGCCACCAAGAAGTTCCACAACAGAACGCTTTTATATGACAATCGTGTACCACCCAGCGGTGAACCTCACGAATCCTTGGTCTGGTCAGCGACTTACGATAAATGTACCTGCAATACCAAAGATTACGCGTGCCTTACAAAACCTGCCAGATCCCTTGTTACCATCCTCCAGCATCTTGAGCATGTTGCTCATTTGCTTGTCGCTATAGTCGGTGTCGTCCTCGACAATGGCTATGTCGGTTTGTGAGGTGCGGTCAATCTTGACAATCCGGTGCCGCAAGTCAGAGGCATTAGAGGTGACGATATAGAAGCGCAGTTTGTTCTGAGTTCTCATATAAAATGAACATGTTGAACCCAGAGAACGTGTGTACCAAATTACAATTGGCAGGGGGTTGTATTGACCTGTCTGACGACTCCGCAGCTTACCCAGCGGCGGGTAATGTCGATGAGCTCGGTGGATTTGACTGTGACACTAGTCGTTGAGTGCATAAGTCGAGTCGGGTAGAAAGGTATCAACCAGTGCATGATACCTCAGATGAAGTATCCTGAGGCAATAACCATTCGAAAACAACTGGCTTCGCAAGCAACGCCGACCCTAGTCCTTGCCATAAAGTGAGTCTTCGACATCAGCATTATTTGTCCCTATTTACGCGTCCATCCATCATGTCAACTGTACTTGCGACTCAGGTTCGCAAACACACATCAAAGCCAACGCGAGCGGCAGGCAGATATTGGAAGGGTAAAGCGCCGAAAGGAACTGAATATCCATCCGTTTCAGATGAAGACGACGAGGAGCAACTCGAAGTTCAGGAAGGAGATGTGCTTATTGGTGGGGAGCAAGACATCGTCGAGGAAGATGACGAGGAAACGACGATTCCAGTGAAGACGATGAATCTCGCTTTGAAGGATGTTAATATCTCGAAGGATGGCAAGGTTATTGTTGCGGGACGAGAAGAGTCTGGACGGACAAAACTGGAGGAGGGTGCTATAGATATCGTGTCGGAAGAGGAGTCGGAGGAAGCACAGGATGAAGAAGAGGATGAGAGCGAGGTATGTTTTTTAATCAACGCATGTACTATGTTTTTTAATCATCTCTAGTCTACCGAATCCGAGGAAGAAGCCTCAAAGATGTTATACCGACCTGTTTTTATTCCGAAGTACGTTCTAAACACACTTTTGCTGAGTCATTTACATACCGTTCCTACAGACGAGGTCGCGAGACGATTGCTGAACGTGACGCAATAACTCTAGAAGCCGAGGAAGCCGAGAAACGGAAACAAGAAATCGCTGAAGAACGGAAGAAGCAGAGTCATCACCTCGTCGCAGAAAGTATACGACGGGAACTATTAGAAAGTGCGTTCTCATGCATCCGTCGTCATTGTCATACTCACGTACTTGAAGAGGAGAAGGAGGAGGTAATACCTGATGTAGATGATACAGACGGCGCAGATCCAGCTGGAGAATTTGAGGCTTGGCGGTTGCGAGAGCTGGGACGAATCAAAACGGAAAAGGAAGAAGAACTTAGACGCGACGAGGAAAGAGAAGAGATCGAGCGGAGACGTGCCCTTCCAGAAGAGCAACGTTTAAAGGAGGATCTCGAACGGGCCAACAAATTACGGGAGGAGAAACCCAAAGGTCAGCAGAAGTTCCTTCAAAAGTATTGGCATAAGGGTGCTTTCCACCAGGTTAGTCACACTTATTTCATCTGTGTCTCTCTTTATTTTACACGGTATTCAGGACGAGGAAATCCTCAAACGACACGATTTCACGGAGGCTACCGAGTCTACGGTAGATATCTCGATGTTACCCGAAGTCATGCGCGTCAAGAACTTCGGTAAACGCAGTAGAACGAAGTATACCCACCTTATGGATCAGGACACGACGCACGGGACCGGAGGTTTTGGAGGCGCCGGTTCAGTAAAAACAGGGGGTCGATCCACAGAAGGGGGTGGCTGTTTCTTATGTGGCGGTCCGCATCTCAAGAAGGGTGAGGACATGCGTCTTAAGGGGCCCTCCTATCAAACTCAATGTTTTCTAGACTGTCCTCAAAATAGTCAACTGCCTCCAGGAGCCCGCAGTTCCTTAGCGTCTGGCGCTAACGCGGCCACTGGCACATCACGCGCATGGGGTGAGCGATCATCATGGCGAGACCGGCCCGACCATGATAACAGACGGAGAGCGCCGGATAGAGATGATGATGGTTTTAGGGAGAAGAAGCGACGTCTGGACTAAGCGCACCTTTTCTACCTGATAGCTTCGCACATGACCAAGCTTGCATTGCCCTGATTATACGTTATATATTGAGTGATTGGTAGGAAAGGGTCTGACAAGGTTCTACAGCATTTCACGTGTTTGTGATTTATTAATATCCTTGATCAGCGGCATGACTGGACTCATAGTACTTATATACTAGTACGGATGGCCAGCTGATACCAATCATCTTATCCCAATCATATCCTCTGATACCAATCGCACAAGGTGAGTACTGGCCAGTGAGCGATCCTAGTAAATCTCACTCCGTATTAACTTGGACCATGCTAGATGGAGATTTTTTTGAGAAATATCGCCTTTGCAGTTACCCAAGAAGATTTGACGCTCGAATTCGCCAAGATACTTCACAAGCCCCCGTTTTCAACCAGTCCCCCTCTTAATTTTGAATTCCAACTCTTCTACAAGTCACACCCGAATGGCAAGCGAGGCATTCTTGCTCTCCCCACAGAGGATTCCGGTATCACTCTCTTGCGTGCTTATGGTGATGTAGGGATTGCCGTCAAAGGCCGCCAAATCCTCCTCAGCAAGAGCACGCAATCGATCAACAATGCCCGTATCATGAGATTGAATACTGTTCCATGGGTCGACCCAGTGAAGCTGCGAGAGGAGAAGGAAAGGCTTCTCCAGCAATCGAGGCCTTTCCCGCTCCTTTGTTACTCATTTGGGCGCTTCAATCGGGATAGTTCGTTTTCTTCAGAATTTGCCCTTCCTGGGCTTGCCAATGTCTCCTGTGATCTGGAGCGTCGGCAGGTACGCTTCACTGTGACGCCCCATGATGACAGTGACGACCTCTTTTGGACCTCGACGTCTATTGCGTCTTATGCGCAACTAAAAATTGCAGCGTTAGTGGGTAACCAAGATGATGATACCCACATTCTTTTCATTCGTGCCGATGCGCCCCCAGTGTTCTCCGTGGAGAATGACATCGGTGGACTTGGACTTACAAATACAAGCCCTCAACGTTTGGCGGGCTTGACACGTTATCATCCCATGCCTCCAGGCAGCTATAGCCTGATGCTGGCGTTCAGCAACCAGCCAGATGCGGAAACATTCATGTACGCATGTCGCAATCGCCTTCATCTGCGGTACTCCCCAGTGCCCCATGTTCGGATCCACGACCACACTTCTAATAGCAACCCTGTCGAGGAACTACACGAGTTTCTCTCCGAGATACCATACGAGCTTGCGTTCCAGGTGGAAAAGACCGTTACGACATTTGTTTTCACTCCGATGGAAATATTTTCGCTGAAAGAGGCAATTATCTCGTTGTACACTGAACATGGCCCTGATGCATCAGAAATTTTTCAATCCTTTGCATCCGAGCACGAAGGACACAACGCGAAGCGTAAACCACGCCGCAAACGCCGGGCGCAGTGGCATGCTAGCCAAGAAGATTTAACTTCTCTTCTTGGCCAAGTAATCCACGAGTTTACAAGAGAGCATCAAAAGCCCCTCCGTCTTCTAGCTCCGCCACCACAGAGTGGTGTATACCAGTCTTACCATATGATCCTGACGCCGACACGGCACATCTTAGAGGGTCCTCTTCCAGATCAATCCAATAGTGTCTTGCGCAAATACAATAATCACGAATGCTTCCTACGCGTTACTTTTCAGGATGAGAATCGATCAAAGCTTCGTCGGGACTTCGAATCTTCCATTACCGACCTTCTGAAGGAGCGGTATCGCCCAATTCTGCTCAGAGGCTATCGCGTTGCTGGACGCCAATTCCAGTTCTTGGGATATTCGATGAGCGGCCTGCGAGATCATTCAGTGTGGTTTATGACACCCTTCACAGATGACAGCGGGACACTGCTGGATGCAGAATCAATCCGGGGCAACCTGGTGAGTCGCTAATGATCCTGATTGATTTTGACCGAACGCAATTGCTAGGGCGATTTCTCTCAACTTGTGCACCAACCCGCTCGCTTGGCTGCAAGGTGGTCTCAAGCCTTTTCTGGCACCGATCCGTCGATAACACTCCTTCCCGAAGAAATCGATTATGACTATCCTGACAGAAAATCGCCCTCTGGAAACGTTATGACAGATGGATGTAGCCCCATATCAGGTCGGGCTTGCAAAGGACATATGGAGGTCTTTGCAGAAAGGCAAGAAGCGACCTGCCAAACTACGCAATATTCCATCCGCTTTCCAATTTCGTCTCGGTGGTGCTAAAGGCATGGTCGTCCAGGATCCGACAATCGAAGGCAAACTTGTTCGCCTTCGCCCATCGCAGATTAAATTTGATGGACAGGAGAACCTCACTTTTGATGTCCAATCGACATCAGCGAAACCAAAAGCGATGTTCCTCAATCGTCCGCTCATTGTACTTATGGAGTTCTTGGGAGTGGACACCAGTCGAATCGTTGACTTGCAGGACGATGCAATCACTAAAGCTCAATCCGTCCGATCATCATCCCTCGATGCCTCGAAAGTTATCCAGCAACACGGACTGGGAGCATCGTTCCATCTACCATCTCTCCTCAGAAACCTGTCGTCCATTTTGCAGCTGGATGTTGGAAATACGGAGGAAGAAACGTCTCAGTCACGATGGACAAGCGAGCTCATAGAAAGCACCCTGCATTGCGTCGAAACGCACATCTTGCGGGAGTTGAAGTATCGCGCGCACATAGAAGTGCCGGGTTCGTATACCTTGCTTGGTGTGTCCGATGAATGGGGCTGCCTCAGGGAAGGAGAAGTTTACGCAGCCGTGTACGATGAAAGGACAGGATTGAACAAACAAATCCTGGGCGAGGCCGCCATAACGCGCAGCCCGCAGATTCATCCAGGCGATCTGCAGGTCGTGACGGCTGTTGACCGCCCAGAGTTGGCGCACCTGAAGAATGTCGTTGTGTTCTCTTGCGAGTGAGTCCTGTTTGATGGCTTACGACAAATGCATGTTCATATTGTCGACAGGGGTCAGCGAGCGCTTGCGTCGTGTCTGGGTGGGGGTGATCTCGATGGCGACGACTTCAACCTAATCCTTGACGTAAGCTCGAATTTCTTAATACATTCTGCATGTTCTGAACATTCTGCAGCCGAAGCTGCTGCCAACGCATTACGGCGAACCCGGAGAGTATCAGGCATTACCCATTAAAAGAACAGAAGCCCCATGTGACATCTCTGATGTCGTAGAATTCGTATTTGACTATGTGAGTCTCATTCAGACTTTTATTGCATGCGTAATTAATTATGAAATGTAGATCGAGGCGGACCTTGTCGGTCTCATCGCCATACACCATCTCAGGTTTTCTGACCTGGAGGATCCAGGTTGCGCGGAGTGCATGGAACTCGCGAAATTGGCCTCTCACGCAGTCGATTTCCCGAAGAGTGGCACTCCTGTTAACTTTACCCAACTCCCGAGGTTCAGGTCGAGGAATCAGCCAAAGCCTGATTTTCTTGCCAAAGAAGGCGCCGATCTTAACAGTGACCAGTACTACAACAGTAAAAAGCTGCTCGGACAACTCTACCGTCGGGTACCAGTGAAGAGGTGGATTCCTCAAGAATGGAACGAGGACCGCTCTCCATCTGATGGAGCCTCTGTGGAAGACGCGCTCTCTCGCGTGAGCCTCCGTAACCTTGGTCTTTCGGGATTAACTCCTCCAACTCAAGAGTTAATCGAGGAGATGACATATCTACTCGAAGCATACTGTGAACAGCTGTTGGTGATCGGGCAATCGCACACCATTTTGAAAAACAAGGACAGCCACGTTTCTGAAGCAGAATTGCTGAGCGGGACTATCATGGCAAACTGGTCCGACCATCATCGTCGGCGAGACGCAGTCACTGCAATGAACTTGCAGGTAAGTTTAGTGCTCAAACATGACATGTGACACAAGTTCCTAAACGATAATTTCAGACACGTGAACTCGTCCGTGCGGTCAGGGCAGAGCTCCTGGTTAAAGATTTGGCGGTGTCGGAAGCAGAGATGTATTCTGATGAAGAGGATGATTATGATGATTGGACCTTCCGCGAAGAATTTGATGATACGGAACAACGAAGTATGGCAGAAACGTTCAAACGCTCTTGGGCAGCGTGGTGCGTCGCGGAAGATACGCTTAAGGAAGAACCGAGGATGTATGGAGCTCAGAGCTTTGGTTTAATCGCTCTGGGCAGGATGCTCGAGATTGTGAAGGAGTCTCTTATGATGTAAAGGATCGAGCGCCTGAAGTTGGCCTTCATACCAGTGTACTGTAACGAAATTGTATACCATAGGAACACAGAGGAACTCGTGAAATGATAAAAGTTGTGTAAAATTGAAAGCGTCAGAGTGGGGGATTGTAACGAAATTCTGAGCGCGATCATGCGTGTTTGAATTCATGATATACCAAAGAACACAATTAGAGGGACTTCAATTTTCAAGGACACATTACAACTTGAGATATGCATGACCTGATTTCGAAATATGTAACCTACAATAGCAAGAAAAATTACTCGGCGAAGCGAAAAAATGAGCGGCAAGATGTGATCACGCGTCCAAGAGCTCCCTCGGCATGTCCACGAGAGCAGCAGCCCCATTTCCAATCAGTGCAAGCTGCGTGAGAGACGCTGCAGTATGGCGGTATATCCTCTCCAAGGCCGGATGAGCAGGACGCCCTTGCGACACTACGGGAAAAGTGAGAATATAATGGAGTCAACTTGAGAACAAACTCACGCAAAATAGCCTGGTTCACTTCCGTTGCAAGACTGACTCTTGCTCCCTGCCCAGCCACGTCCGCTGCATCCCCGCCGGCCTCAAGCGGATCCTCGAAAGCCACGATCACGCTTGTACGCTTAAAGATGGCGCGCATCTCCGGGCGGTCTTTGTACTCTGACTGCAACTCCTGTCCGTACGCAACCGCACGTTCGAGAGCGGTCCCATACTTGGCAGCAATCACACCTGACAAACCTGAATGCGAATAAGAGGCGAACGATGCCTTACGCTTGCCTTTGATGGGGATTGCGCTACTGCCGCCGCCGAAACCGTTCGTCACTCCAGTACTGGAGATATCCGCCTCATCGTCGACGTCCATCCCCATCCCTTCCGAAATCCCTTTGTCTTCTCCATCAGCCTCTACGTTCATCTCTGCATCCTCCGCGCACATCCGCTTCTTCAGTTCTGCCGCTTCCAGTACAAGCTCCACAAATTTACGGCATCGTAGTTTAAAGAGCACGAGTCCTGCATCCGCATCAAGCGCTCGAGGGAAGTGTGTCCGTGTGTCCGACAGCGCAGTATCAACATCACCAGTGAGCACGGCATGCACGATACGGGTACGGATCTCGATATCATCCATAGGTGCAGGTGCGATCGTAGATGTTTGGGGCACGTCGTCCATATCCATGATCTGATCATGGTCAGATACGCGACTCGTGGAAGATGAAGGGAACGTCTTCGACAATCTTAATGTTGACATTCCTCCTCGAGCGGAACACTGCGCCTCAAAAGCTCGTGCTGTACGTGCGTATCCGTGATGTGACAGGTACGAAAGAACGAGATCATTGATCTGGGACTTCGCGCGGGTTTCTGCGGTGGATGTCGATGCTGGAGTAAGATCTTTATCACCGTCAGCTACTGGCCACGTCCAAGGCGCAGTCTGAATGCGCGACCATGTGGTGTTTCGTTGTTGAAGTACGTGGTCCTCGATGTCAAACTTGAATGGGTCCTGACCGAAGTTAGCCCGCACAGATTCTCCAAGATGGCAAAGCCCGACTGCTGGATAAATATCACAATCCTTGCCGATATTATCGAAAACAGAGCCTGTGAGAATTCAGAATAAAAGAAGTCCTCGGAGGGAAGAGTGCGCACCAAGTAAAGCACCGTTCTTTGTGTAGAACGCGCGGTTCTGGCTAAAATCGATACCACAGCCGATAACATCTCCAGCTAATTGATCCAAAGTGAGTTAGGTATTCAAGTGTATCGTAGAATAGACGGACCTCCGAACTGGGGACCATACGGTGTGCCCGACTTCTCCGCCGCAAACGACGACCCGTCATCACCGTGATATCCCCACGAGTTCTTCTCCCACCCCGGTAGGCGAATCAATTTAAAATCGCGGCTCACAAGACTACAAAGGGATGTGAGCAAAATTAATTTTAGATTATCGAATTTTAATCGGACCCAACACTAATATGTCTGAATTTGCGTTTAAGTACATAGATATCAGAGATTCCGTACACAAGGCACTCACCCCTTGTTGTTGTTTGTCTTGCTGGTCACCTCGACCTCGTAGTAGTATATGCCGCAGGCAGGAGGAATAGGGAAGATCGTACGCGCAGCTGCGGCATCTTTATCAGAGTTGCTTGGAGAACCTGTTTCAGTCAATGTATGTTTGGTAATTCTACTACTTCAGTATGGCTGACCTTGATAGGTGAGGTCCCTTCCATCTGCAGAAACGCTTAACATAGGACTTCGATATTCCTCACTCCACCTCGTTGGGAGGCGCAAGAGGGCGGATGACATTGAGGGGTTGTTTTCTTGATGCCGGGAGGATATTTCGCCAGGAGGAATACTGTCTTCTTCATCGCTATCATAGCTGGGAGATCTCTGCACCCTCCTCCTTCCGCTAGTATACTCAGTGCGGACGACCGCAAGATCAGGCTTCGGTGACGAGGAAAGTTGAGAAGGAGTGTCCGTCTGCAGAAGGTGCCGCAGTGCAGAATGGTCAAGATACGCCGGGCGAGGAAAGGGTGCTGAGTCGGCAGGGGACGGACCTGCACTCGTGTGTGCCATAGCTGGTCTCTGAGCGCTGGGCGCCCTAACACCGGTTGCACTGGGCCGACGAGGAGGAGAAGGTAAAGAGGTTGGACAAGTGGTGTCGACTCTAATTACGCGCGGTTCATAGTATATGTGCGCTGGTGTAGCTCCTGTGCCTGAAAGGAGTGCAGGGCTTGGCTGTGGGAATGATCGAGCCGTCGAACGCATTGGAGCGCTGGACGCCACAGCCATAGAGCTGGATCCACGGATACTACTGATACCTGTAGTAGGACTACGTTGCGGCCATCCCGGGTTCACAAGGCGAGGTCGGGACTGTGGGGAAGGTGCAAAGGGGATTGAGATGACTGACTCGATATTTCGAACGGGTGAAATGCCTCCCCGTGGTGGAACGGGGATGCTAGATGACCTTGATGGTCTACTGCTCATCTTGGAGTGTAGATAACGTTCCTAGCACAAATGCAGGAACTAAGTACGTGACCGGGCCTGGGCTATGCTAGAGTTTTGTATTTGATGACTGTATCAGCAACGCAGTAACAAGTGAATTGAAGAAACACACATATGGCGAGCGTTGAAAGCGTAATGATTCGTTCACAAGCTGGCCTACTTATAGGCACTCAAGACCATCGTCACCGACTCGTGCTACAGCGTCAAAGGTCACGTTGTGGGGAGCGTCACGAGGGCGTGACATGCGGTCACTCTTGTGACCACCTCCATGTCACATGTCTACGCGTCCTTGTACTGGTACGCACTTGCTTTCAGACCACTACTATGGTACGCATTCATATCGTTCGGTTGGCGGATCAAACTAATCTAGTTGTATAGGAACCTTCATACCGCATCGTTCCACCTTCACAAATCAAAACTGCGTCCATAAGTGATACTGCAGGCAGCCTAGGCCTCCATGACACCCTCCATTATGGAATCCGTAGCCTTGCAACTGAGATGAGAGGAGGCCAGTTCGAGAACCGTATCGCAAAGGTGTGCTCGCAGTCCATTTTAAAATGCGTCTCTTTCTGACAACATCCATAGTGGGAAGAGACGCAGGACAACGCGAGGCTACACATGTTAGCCAATCTTTACGGCCCTAGTGCACCTATGAGGTTGCTTATGGAACGCCAAATTGTATCCGCCGTGAGTATGGACGCGTGTGCTAAATTTATGCAAATTGAATTCCTTTCAGAGCCCTCATATGCCCGGCATGCCACAATCAAACATACATCTCGACATCCTGATGGGTCGGGATGAGACTCTAGACCCGACCGACTTCTTCCTCGGTACGTGATCTTCCAGGTAGTCAAGTGATGCGATCTGACTGACTGTTTCATAGGCTTGGAGAGCGGTCCACCGTTGAGCATTCACAACGAGATGGAAAAGAAACTCCGACTGTGATCTTAAACTGTTGTAATACCTGCTATCCCGTAATGTCATAACCTCAATAACTTGCAAGGACAGCGTGCGGGTGATGTCATTCTGAAAGGTGAGTGAGGAGCTTAGACGAATGCTGTCATCTATGCATTGAATATATGTGAGGTACGTATGATAGGGATACACTGAATGTTGGTGTGTAAATAATAGTAATACTGATGAATGTAAAGCATGAAAGAGTACATTTGGTAGTGATAGATGTGCTCCGTATGCAGTACTATGCAACAGTGAATGACTCTCCACATCCACATGCGTCCTTGATATTAGGATTGTTGAAAACGAATTTGGAACTACAGGAATTGATCATGTAAGTTCCGCGGTGAAGCGTCGCCTAAAACAGCGAATGACACACCTTAGCGCACTCTCCTTCCAGTCCATCTCACTGCCTATTATTGAAAAAAGTGCCTTGCTGTCTATGAGGACCTTGACCCCATCTTGTTGTACTACCTCGTCGAACTTTTCCGGCTTCTCCACATAGTCAAGGTGGTAAGACAGGCCAGCACAACCCTTGTTTCGCACACTTATGCGAATTAATTGTGGTGTCGGACTATTAAGCAAGCCACGCAGCCGCTGTATCGCAGTCGGTGTCTGGAACGAGGGATGAGTCTTATTGATACAGATAGAATCCATCATATCAACACGTACCATACTTAATACCGCTTTCGTGGACCGAATAGTTGGCCGCGGTCGCTCTGCCTTTGGTATAGGTGGTGGGCGAGCAGCTACCTGCGGAGAAGCTGGTTCGGATGATAACGACTTTGCAGTGGGCACGACAACAGGCGGTGAATCTTTCAGAGGCTGCTTTGCACTAGAGCTGGAATGCGCTTCCGGTGGTCTCTGAGGTTGAGAGCTCAAGGCGGACATCATCGCACGACGATGAGTGGAGTAGATGGCGGATACACGTATTGAGTGGACGACATTGCGTGCTGAACACGAACGACCTAGTGAGGACAGCATCATGGACGGGTAGGAAGAAGGGCAGTCACCAAGATCTTCCACGAAACAGATGTGCTTGGTCATCTTACATATGTCCAATCACCACAACCCGATTGTACTTTTGTCACGTGTCACTGGCACTTCGAGTTGCAAGTTATCCGACTGGTGGATCAAATTCAACGTTAACGCCGAATTCTCTGCCTCGTTCCCCCATCTTCCGTACCCTCACAGTCAACGCTTCTCGTCGCTATATGAAAAGCTATCACACGTTTACTATGACTTGTGGTTAAATAATGTCTCATGGTTATCATCAAAGTACGGTCTGGGGTGCTGCAGCTTTTTTTCAAGATTGGCAGGTGCCACAGACGAGAAGCAGGACCGAGTCGGCGCGGATGCAAGACTGACGCCTCAATATGAGGTGTGGTAGCATATTCCAACAAACAGGCAGACATTCAACGCCGGCTTGCGTCGCGCTTTAACTGCTGTGAGTCACTTAACTTCCCCAGCAGTCCCCTCCGCGGAGAATAGAACTTTGTATGCGGACAACCAGTGTATTCGGGAGCAAAGCCTACTAGGGAGACAGCTCTGTTGATGAACTTGATGCATTACGGACAGGCTAACAAACACTGTTAACATGACGCAGTCGTGTCGTATATAACAGACTAAATGCATTGGGTCTTGTGGCGACCCTGGTTGTGCTCATTACCATGCCTGCTCAAAACACACTGTTTGCAATGGCTTACGCTGCTCAACATAGCAACACCGAGCTTATGGTTTATTCTCGTGACGCCGGCCGATGTGTCACGATTGCATAGTACGTGTTTTGTCTCTGTTTTTCTGCATGGATGCCCACTCGTAGTCGTCTAGTCCAGTCTCCAGAGGCTTCCGCATCGTACCAAATGGAATCGCAACATACTTAATGCGGCGACGCTGTTTTTGGGAGTGTTTTTGTGGTCCCGCACACGAACATCCCACTCCAGTACGATTTGTCACTTCAGCGATTGGCCACACACAGGTTGTTTGTCATTTTCAAGACCACCGCTGCAAATTTTCCAGTATGTTTATTACTTTTGTTTATTACTATTTGCTTCATCGTTTTTAGTCAACCTTGACAAGACACGACATACGGCGCTGTTCGAATCATCGTATGGCGACTTCCCAACACGAGGTAATTCTTTTATTCGACTCGGAAGGCATAGATATCATCCTTCCCTAGTTCAAGGAGACGTGCCTACTCTTACTGCATTTCGAGCTATCATTGCCAGTCTACCATCTGGCCATGCTGAGATCGCGCCATACTTCGTCAATTATCTTGGCTCACACTCGTCGATGCACCCGTGACCGTCTGTCATAAATCGAAGTCTATCACCTTCCTTCATCTGTGAAGTGGCAGGAAACCACCGTCGTTCTGGTACGAAAGCTCTACGTGTTTTGAGTTTCACGCTCAAAGTAAAATATACAGTATTTATTCCAAGACCAAAAGATACCCTACTTGACCATGCCAGACACGACACCGATGCGCTGCCGGACATATATTTTTCCGTCTCGAAAATCGAGAAAGGACGTATGCATGCGCTCGCAGCTGGCATGGGTATTAGTCGTTACGATGCGATGGGACTTATTGAAGAATGTGATAGTTGTGGTAGGTGGTTTGGGGCGAGCGCTTTGAGAGGCACATTGTGTGGGGGTGTGGTGAGAGGTATACCACAAAGTTTGGAACTGAGGGTTATGTTTATGGCGGTCCTTCGTGAAGTACGGGATGGTTCGAGGTTTGTATTGGTGTCTGAACCTCGGCTTTTCCAGCAGCTAAAGGAACCGAGCCAGCTCAGAGTCACAAAGGGTGCTTGACACTCTCGCCTGATGTTGCGTGCGGGGCTGGTATCAGTATGTATCATATCATTGGAATTTGGCTTTATCCATATTCATACCTTCAAAGAACACCGTTATAAATATACTATGTCGCTGTATTTGTCCAATGAACCCGATAAGCCTGACTCTAGTCTTGCGTACTTCCCTTACATACGTGTATGATGCCAACACACCCAATGGACATGGCGAACCAAGCAATATAAGCAATAATTTTGGATACAAATGCCGGATGATTGTGCTCATACCTGTCCTCATGATGATGCCTAGAACAGTAAAGACTTCATCGGTTGTTTTGAAATTAGAATCACCAATAAGTTCTGCTAAGGACAAATTCACCCATGGATGTGAGATAATAACACAATATTGACAACGACAACTTATTCCGGTCGGCATAACTGAGCATCGGGAGGATACACCGATGCGTTAATTAATAATTCAATTGTCAGCGGTTGCGGCAAATGTAAGTGTCTCAACGCGCCCCTTTCCCTTGCACTCCTTCTGCAACAGTTCGTTGATCGTGCGGATTTGCGAGGGTTCGATAAGCATAACCTGAACGATCTCGTCAAAGTCTTTCGGCGAGACAATGAAAAATGCATACAGTTTCCCAAGATTCCCCCTTGTCTTCCTTCTCGATCGTCTCGGCCAACGCACGAAGTTGTTCCTGCAGGCGCTCTCCTTCGGCAGCCGGGAGAATGACACGTACCCGCATCCTCGCACGTTGAATTGGTAGTGTTGAATGACCCTGGATGAGTCGCAGTGTTTCCGCTACCTGTCACCCCTTGATGAGAACCTGGCGTGCGATGTCAACGAACGATCACCCACTTGACTCTTAGCATTCTTCCCCGCTTTCACACTCACACCCGCTTCCGCCATAGCCTTTTCAACCATCCCGACAGGATATGGACGTTGAGTGGCAGGATCGACACATTTCTCAGCGACTATTGTAGCAATCTCCTTGCGGAGGGAAGCGAGATCATGATCACGTTCTTTCTCTGCTACTTGAACTTCTCCTTTTTTCAAGATCTACAGCACAGATAAGTAAGGGACCGAGGATGCTGGAAAGGACAGACCTCCTTCACAACATCATCTACCGTCGAAGTACCAAATGCTTTTTGGAGATCGTTAGACTTTGCAACCTCGCCTTTGGATACATTCATGAAGACATTCGAAATTTGGAGGACGTCATCTAAACTCGTCTCACTGTGCAAGGATCTTGCGTTAGCCACGGGGCTAACATACGGATGTGATCACATACACTCCATTTCTCCATTCCTGCACCTTATTCTTGTAGCAGGCAATCTAAATCTAGGTTGTTATATGATGTTATTATAAGGGACTCATCCACACTATACCTCAAACCGTTTGCCACCCTTCTTCAAGCGTACGATGGATACATTTGTGAGCCTATGCTTCACCTTGCGTCAGCGCAAAACCTCAAGACATTGTCAGCTCAACACTGACTTGATTTGATTAGATGGTTGCTGGATAGGCATCTTGATTTAAGTAAACACAGTTGATGGATCGATGATGTGTTTAAGTTGTTTAAGTGCTAGGAGTGAATGACACATTGTACTCGTTTGTTTGTTCGCGAGCCAGCTTAGGGTGTTGTGAGTCACGTTACAAGTGTCAGCTGCGGTGAGACAAGTTGTTGGGTGGTGCACCACAACACAACCAACCGCGTGGTACTTCAAACCGCTCTCGAAGATTCTTCGTTTATCCGAAAACTCGAACTTCTTAACCGCATCAGGACAATTCACGAGCCTGATCATAGTGATATCATTACCGCAAGATGAAAGGGTTCACCAAAGCAATCAAGCGGTGAGCTCGTCTTTTTTCAGTTTGATGCTAACAATTAGTGGCGTTTGTCACATCTTTCTGCCTGAGCATTAACGTGGAGGAGATGACTCACGATCGTCTACAGAACACCTCACCTTGTCACATCTAAAGTTGGCTTTGCGAAGAGTGAGATCTAATCTCTGCGATCAACCACTCACTCAAACTATTTGCTATTTGTCAGAGTCCTCTGACCCCGAATTCGACGACTACAATCGCCATTTCATCAGCCTCGAGCAAGCCACAGAAAAGTTGCTTAAAGATACCAGGATATTTTCCGAAGCTGTTTTAAGTGTGTCGATAACGTCCGTCTTATCTATTCTCGCATCCTTACACATACTCTCAGCCCTCTTCACTTCTTCCGTTGGTTTCGCCAACCATTTCAATTTTATATTCTCTCCGATGGGTGGCGAGTATAACTTGCAAGGCAAGCATCCCTCCTGCGAGGCAACCGTCGCAAACACTCCTCCGTACTCAACTTCTCTCGACGAACTTCGTTCTGCGATCTCCCCTGAACTCGAGCTCATCGAATCACGAATTGTTGCACCCGTAAAAGAGTTTCAGGGAGTCCTCGAAACTGATCAGGAAGAGCATCACCAAACGCGATCATAAGCTGGTCGATTATGATCGATTCAATAATTCACTTACTAAATTGAGGGACAAGAAAGAGAAGAGTTTGAGTGATGAGAAGAATTTGTTCAAGGTAGGTGCCGGAGTGTCTTCCTGTCAGCGATACGCTTAACATTTTTATGATCAGCTTGAGCAAGACTTCGAGATTGCCACAAATGAGTATGATTACATTAACAATGCACTCAAGACAGATCTCCCGCACTTCATGCAACTTTCAACTCATTTCATCGAGCCTCTTTTCCATTCATTCTATTACATGCAGTATGTCCTTGGTTGTTGGAACCACCATTCTTTGCAATCGTTTTACAATTCAACAGGCTCAACATTTATTATCTTTTCCTTGAGAAAATGAATTCATTCGCGGAGGGTCGATACGATGTTACCAACGCCCCTGGTGCTCAAATCCAGGCTGACTATGAAGAGAAGCGAACGGATGCATGGAGTCAAATAGAGGATCTTCAACGTTACCAAGCGCTTCATATCGACTTGTACGCTCAACTCTCACCTGTCACCTTCCTCGCTTATAATTTTTCACTACCAGCGAAATTCGTGCAAGCTAATCGCGCCCCTAGGCGGCAATTCGTTGACTGTCGGTCCTTCCATCGGTCGCTCACCCAGCGTTACAAGTGCTGGTAGTGGGAGCAGCCGCTCAATGCCACCATCCCGAGCAGCGCCCTACATCTTCCTTCATCAAGAAGCCACCTCCAGCGCCGCCTGGCCAGACACCTGCTCCTCCTCCCCCGTACTCTGCCGCTTCAAATGATTCGGGAGCTGGAACTACAGCTGCAATAAAGAGGCCGCCGCCACCCCCACCGGTGAAACCCAAACCAAAGCCAGAGCCAGCCGTAGAGTATGTCACAGCCTTATATGATTTCGATGCTCAGGTATGTATCCATCTGATCTCTTGAATGAATGGTTACACGCCTCTTCATTTTAGGCTGAAGGAGATCTTTCTTTTAAAACCGGTGACCGCATCGAAATTGTAACTAAGACAGAGAGTCAGGAAGATTGGTGGACAGGTCGTCTTAACGGCGACCAGGGTGTATTCCCAGGCAACTATGTACAGTGATGTGATGACGGACAGTTGAGTATTAATTGAGTAGTAGCTTACATTTTTGGGACATTATATTTCCTGCTAGGGATAGCGCTAGCCGCATCAGGCATCTTGCATATCGTCGCACAGTCATCGGGAGCGTCACAGATTGCATCAGAACTTGATCAGACCTACTGTCTCCTTCACACCAAGTGGATAACAGTCTTCCCCGTTACCCCAGGTGGCCCTTCCTAGAACTTGTATGCACTTCTAGCAGTCTTCTCCTTTGGGCAACCACGCTCCAGCTAACTGTTACTCAGATATTTATGGCTGCTAGATGCGCTGCATTGCTAAGAATGCTTGGAAAAATCTATCGTTCCGTGTCCTGCGGATCCGACATGTCATTGCGGACGGAACTGGAACGTTACCACTGCATTGGGGAGATTCAGAGACTGCACATGCCAACGCTTGAGCGGGCTGTGAACTGTTGTGAGTGGTTAATGAGGCCCATCACTGTCGCCGTGGCCGAGAATTGCCGGTACTTGCGACAAACGGAGGACGACGGTAGCCATTCTACGTGTCGGTTACTGGTGATGAATGAGAGTGAGGCAACGACGCAGTAATCCAGTTGGTGTCACAAGCTTGGAGACTTGGATACAGGATTTAGAGCAACGATATTATTAATCTGACCTGTCCATCCGTCACGCGTCATGGGCCGCTCACCATGTGGACAGTGGCGCTGGTTATATTTTAGCCATAGTGTCGTTGCATGATGTTGGGTGACCATATGCATACGCATAAGTACTGTCGGCGTGGAGCAACACGAGTTTGGACTCGGAGCTGACAGGTGCGATGACGTCAATGCCCACCCGACGTCATAACCTCGTTGGTGTGGTGTATAACAAAGCAAATACTGCACGGACGCTTCGTTCACCAGATCATCATGTTTCGCAACGCTATCACCTCCAACGCGCGCATTTGTACTGTATCATATACCCGTTCTATTCATGCCACGCCCGCTGCTAGCACGGTCACCGGGAAAGTGTCCGAGATGGCTGACAAGGTATACATCACCGCACGCCTCAGATTGGTTGCCCTTACAAGCTCGTTTGTTTAAGGTGAATAAGAAAGTTGGCCAAGGTCTGGCGTCGGCCATTGAGACAGGCGAGAAAGCGGCGGGGAAAACCAAGGAGACACTCGGTAAGCAAATGTTCAAGTTGGTTCAACGGCGCAGAATCATGATGGTCCTATACTAGGTTCAACAACGGCTTCGGCAAAGCAGAAAACAGAAGACGCAAAGCAAACTACCCAGGAAACCACGGAGCAGGTCAAGCAAAAGGTTAATCAGGTGAATCATCCCTGCCGTGCAAACAGGTTGGGTTGTCAGTTGCTGATCTCTGGTCAGGCTGCTGCTGGCGCGCGAGAAACTAAAGACGACGTGAAGGGTAGGATGTCGAAGTAACCATCTCGCCGCTGCCCGTCGTTCTTCTGCATGCATGGTCAGCACGTAGTGGCCAAGTTAGGTTAAACGTTTTTCACACCTCGATCATATTCATCCACACCGAAGAGCACACACGTCCACCAGAGTTGTCGTCCACCCCCACCTAGCATTAGTATAATTGAATATAATGAATTATGGATTAACGACTCGGGTCTGAAAACACAATAGAAGGGTCTCAAGCTTCAACGGCAGAAGAAACGTTAGTTCACATGCATCGTGAAAGCATTTGGGTACCTGCTGTTCTAGAATTCTAGTGTGACTAGTAGTCCTTCGCATCTGGCATCCATCAAATTGCAGCGGTCTTCTGAACAGACCCGAAGTTCGCCGCGGCTAGTCGGTCAATGTCAGCGATAGCCTCGGGAAGTGACAAGTTTCAAATTCAAAAGCTTTGAGTGTGATGTGTCGCATAACTTGAGCAGAAGCGACTAGTTCAAGTTCACAGTATCATGCGAAAGCAACCGCGAGGCGCACTGCAATGGAGCCTGGAGGTGTAAGGAGTCGGTGACTAGGCCAGCCCGAGGGTGAAGAGATTGGAGTGAGCTTCGACTAAGGGATAAGCGTGACGGCTCGCCGACCCACGTTCTGACAAACGGTGTTTTAATGGTGTTCGCGCCTCTGACATGTCACCGCGACTCGGACGCGCAAGGATTCGAACTCCGAATTGCGCACCTTGTATGCTACTTGGCATAGACGTCGCCTAGTATTTTTTGTTGACCGGTCAACCGTGACGTTGCGGTCAACATCAAGTTCATTTTCCATGTGTTGATCAAGTCCATATTCGTCATAAACATTTTCAGCGGATCGACCTCTTCCAATCACAACCACAATGGGATTTACTGCATATTCCTCGCAAACTTGCCCTAAAACACCAGCAGCCCATCCGGTTGGAAGTAAGTGCTTATTATTCATTGTTGCTTTCAAGGTTGGTTCTAAGAAAACTGCCAGAACCCGAAGTTCGGCCGACAGAATTATGTTCGTTGTGTCGGTAAAACAGGAACAAGTGAATACCAGTCGCAGATGAGTACTACATAGTTCCCTCGGATTCAATCATTCCAAAGAAAAAGTCCTATGACTCTCAGGTACTTCAAGTTAATAGTATAATTAGCTCAAAGGCCGGTCGCACCCCAACTAAAAACCTTCAAATCTTGAACTTGACTTTAACCAAACACAGCTCATCCTACTCATGGAAAATTAGACTAGCAAGGAGTTCCGCGAGCCGCGAGTGCAACCACTGAGGGTCAGAGAGATCTCATTCATAGCAAGAATCCCGTTCAATGCAGCAAGAATACAACCTGAATTCACGAAGAAAGGACTGTCTTCTTTCTGTGGTCTCTGCGGCAATCTAGGATCCCTAAGTCCATCGGTTATTAGAATCAAGAGAACTATTTAGATCGGTTCGCAAGAGCCAGACCCTCATTCCGTTAGGAACAGTGCATGCCACACAATATGCTCACGGCCGCTTGCCCCCGCTGAGCTACATTGCTTTAGGACTCAGGCTGATACCGATATGATCTTGCCCAGTCTCCTGTAGTGGCGCCTTGATCCACCTGTGCTTTAATAACGAATCGTGAAATACCGGACATATATGTTCTCAACGGTGTTATTGCCCTGAAGATAGTACTGACTTCCTTTCAGCCTGTTTTGTCTGGTAAACAGAATCGCCTGTCGCATCATCAGTCGAGGGTGCTCTATAGTCTGACCTAATACAGAGACATAGTCAATATGCTTCAGGGGCAGCTAGCGGGGCAGTCTTAGGTGCCAGATCTTAGTTGTCCAGGCAACTTCGAGAGATGAAAAAGGCCCAGGGCCTGCAAGGGCCCCGTCCGTAGGTGGCAAATCTATCCAGGTCCTCTGACGATACTGCCTTTTAGTGTCCAGAGCTCTGATACGACACGCAAAAATAAACAAAGAGTCCGGGGAAGTGATATCTATCTTATTACGGTAAGCTATACTCAAGCCAACGGGGACAGATGATGTATGGATTTATCTCTCGGTGCCGATAGTGAGCTTGCTGGTAACTGAATGCATAGTTTTGCGCACTTCAGTGAGCCGGAAGTATGGGTTGCGGGGAAGCTTGAGAAAAGTATATCAAAAGCCGCCCTCCCTGGTAACCTTGGTAGATTCGGCTCGGCTCCTCCCTTGGTGATGGCTTGCGGTGGCTTGGCGGGAGCACTAAAGCGGTGGTTCGCAGACCAAGCAACTTTGATAATTCTTGGTCGTCGTGATGCCAAGGCTAGGCAGACAAAGAAGCACTTGTAAGATTATTTGAACTCACTCTCGGGGATCTAGGGAGTCTGGACAACAAGTACACAGCATCTGTCTACAAAGAGGGTTACCGATGGACCGTTGTTCCTCCAGATCTGCACGACGCAGAGACATCAAAAACATGGCACCCCTCAGCACAGTACACGCCGAAATACAATCCAATACACTGAACACCATCAACAGCTCCCATGATGAGCCGAGTCGCGGGCCAATTAAACTTTGCTATCGTCTGAACGACCCACTGAATTGCTTAATTTCCTACCCCACTATGATCTGCTGGGCAACGCCCCCTCGCTCTCCACGGTTTGGTATTGTCCTGTCGGTCCCGAACTCTGATCAAATGGGTAGGCTTGACGGCGGTGAAGACACTCGTGTCACACGCACAAATATATATATTCACAGAGACGACTGGGAGGTTCATCGGCAAAACCACGGCAATAATGTAGTGTGGGGAAATAGGGTTTGATATACCAATATTATGTAATGTAAATTCATTTTGAAGTTTTACTGCGGCGGGATACCGATATTGACTATGTAATAGCACCAGGATGAAATCATTTGACTCTCGGGTCAGCGCACCGATTGCGGTAGCAATATCATATCCACTCGCAGTCCACTGGAGTCGTGGTGCGGGTCCTGCGCCGGTTAGTACGTATGAGTACTTCGGTGTAATAAAGGCAATTATAGTCGGGACCAGAAACGTAAACTAGACGAAGTCAAAAACCGTGGCGAATAAGTGACCTAAAAGTATTTATGAGAGAGTATGGGAGGCGAAATTTTAATTGACCCCATATTGGCGCTTGGCTGAACAAGTTGTCTGAGCCGCCTGACCATCGGAAACCCGGATGTATATCATTAGACAGTGAATCATTCGAGTGCCTTGCAAATTGCCGTCACTGGGTCAGAGGACCCTGATAATCCCTATTAAGGATTCCCTGCCCTTGCCTCACGGTGAAATTCGTTCCTGTGGTGTTCATTAGGAGGCCTCCCCCCTGACATACAGCAATCACGGCCGAGTGTAGTCTAGTAACAATAATTATCGTCAAATACATCAGAATTAGCCCTGAATATGTATCTTGGATAAATTCAACTTTATATCAAAATTTGTTGTTGCCAAGTACAACTCGTTACCATTAGGTACCTCGGTTCACCATAGATCAAACTTCTCGAGCGCTCAATGATTGACATCACCCCTAGTAGTTAACCATGCATCCAGCAGCTTCTTGGGTTAATCGTGAGAAACCTTTTCAAGCAACCCACTACGTGTTTCTGACGAATGGATCAGCTTGTTCTTGAACCGCCATCGGAGGATATTGGACGTAGTCAAAGCCGTGAATGCTCGCCCACGACAAAATAGAGCAATGGGGATGATGGAAGCCGACGAAGACGGGTAGTTAAAGTACAATCAGTTGCTAGTGTGCATCATCAGCTTCGCGAAGTGCGTGTAAGAGGGCGATTGAAATTTTCCATTTTTTTTCGAGGCCTCCCTCTTCAGAAGGGGGGGGGTCACGGATGCCGCTATGTCTCCACATGTACCCACACGGTGACGTCCGGACCACCCCAAACCTGTGCATCTAGATCTTCCTACGCAGACTTTAGTAGTAGGAACCATCAGGGGTCCTCTGGTCAGGTGATTGACGTCGACGAGAACAAAAAAAGTACATAACATTCTGATTGGGCAGGTGTTTGGCACCAGATATCAAAAAATAGTGTATGATGTCTTAGATATGGAGTACTGCTAATATTAATGCATATGACAAGAGGTGTAAGCGGTGAGAAAGTGTTGGGAGCTAAACTTGAACACGAACGTGACTTGTTATTATACTGCGAATGGTAATTATATGCAAGTAGGACTAGCCAGCCTCCTCGGAATGTGTGATTCTGGACACGGTCTGTCCAATGTCCATCTAGGCCATGGAGATACGGTTATTCCCCGCGCTATGGGGATGGGATGGGCTTGACTACGATCGCCGCGCTCCGGGCCAATGCGGAACATGAACCAAATGTTACTAACCACTGCCAGATCTTTGCGAGGGTCTTAGATCCGAACGAAGCATGACATGATGGGACTTAATGCGGAAGTGACTCCGTTCATTAACGTGGTGCCAGCTGCCAGCTTTCAGTATAAAAGCATGCTGCCAAATCCTTGTCAGTCTAACAAGCCTCATCCGCTAAACATACCAAACACACCAAACACTCCAAACACTTCTCTGTTCTACATTTCCCTTGAAACATGTCGCCTTTCGAATCCTTGAAGAGATTGTCCATCAGCAGCAAGGTATGTAATTTAGCATATCAGCAAAGTGCGGTCCGCCAATGACACTCCGCCCATTTGCCAGCTCTCTCGTCGTAGCTCCCACAGTTCCAAGTCCACTCGCGACTCAATTCAGGGACATCCATCACCCATGGACATCACATACGCTGTCGTACGTGTTGTAGTCGCTCTTCACTTATCATTTCTGACGAGCGCATCAGGCGTTTTCTCCTTCGATGCCGCCTTCTTACCCAACTGCTGACAGAATCGCTGCTGTGGGCGGTTATGTAAGATCTATATCTAGCTCCTTCGAGAAAGTAACTCATCGATTTTGTCATTAGGCCGAAATGCTCGATGACGATAACATGTCATGGGGCACACGCTCGTCAGGGCGCCGGTCTCTTTTTTAAAGGGACGCAGCATTTTGTTTGATGCATACCCAACCGAACCTAACTTAACAGTATCTTATGTACACTAATGACAGAAAAAATGTTGTACGATCAAACATGCAGTGGAAAACAAGAATTTTTTATATTGTTACACAATAGACAACTGTTGTGAGATACTTGATGGAGAATGACGTTCCGTGCGGCAAGAACAGGGATACCAACATTCCTGCTGACATGCGCGTCTGAGGGAAATCATGGGTCACACCTACAAAGATTAGGCTAGTCGAATTGCCGATGTTATCCAGGAGGAACATGCTTGTGACCTCACACTCTATTCAACATTACCCGGTCTACGAAAATATGTCAAGGGCTATGACACTTACTGCATTCAAGTTGGAGCTCAGGACGTTGACCGGTCATGTTCAAAATAGAGGACCCAAGTCGAGAATGTTCAATTCTGAAAAAAAAACTCCAGGTCTATGATAATGACTTCGGAAACATCAATTTCGTTTGCAATTTCAGTTCCCAGATGATTCAAACGAGTGGGATCCTTTCCTAAAGAGTTTTACTCGATGAGACCGAAACTTGGTAAGCACACAAGACAGTCTAGTGGAGAATTGCACAATAGTCCAGAAATACATACCATTTCGCGAGAATCCTCCGAAGCGGGCAAGCATATGTGATTCTACTTCGCATCTGCATGGTGTCCAAGAGATTATTGTCAGCGTGGCTCGCGACTCTGAGACATGTGCACGAACTCGCATAACTGAGCTTGTGAGGGAAAGAGACCACCTTGCAAACTCGCTGCATGTCACATATCCAGATTGCCACGAGGCACCGAGGAAAAAGACAGTGGGCCCATCAGCAGAACGCGATGGGAAAAAAGCGGGGACAATGCTGTAGCCCTGAGACGGCGCAGTTACTTGCTGAATACTCACTCGTCTATTATGAGCCACAGACGCCTAAGGATTCCGGCATTCAGGTTTTTGATAGGATATAAGATGGCAACCCTTTGAGCCTAGATTGATCAAAACTCTCTTCACGAACCGAGTTGAGAGTGCAACTTACTTGCACTCACACTCCACGCCGTCAGCTTACGTCTAACTTACGCATCTGTTTGATTCACTGTCAAGTTTTCCACTGCACCAACTCTCATGCAACGTAAAGATGTGCGCACCGGCCTGAGCTTGCCGATAGTGGTGTGGCAGCTAATCATCAACAGAATAACGATTTCCATGCCAGCCTTGCCGAACATGAAGTGAAAACGAAAAAGCCCCGCCTCTTCAAAAAAATTACACAAGCCTTCAAGTCTTGTTTTGGACAGGGCTTCGATAGTGCCGGTGCTGTTTGTCCAGACCATATTATACAGCTAGTGAGTTTACTGACATAGACCATGCTCCCAGCCTTCCAGAAGAGACTACGTCAGAAGTAAAGATGCTGCAACTGGATTTGAAGGCAATGAAGTTTATGGCGTGCGCTACATTTTATGATTGTATGACTTACCTCGACTGACTGTCCATTAGGTCGAAGCAGAATATCTTGATGAGGATGACATGGGCTGGGGAGGCACCAGCCGCAAAAAAACGCCCAAACGACAGAAGATAGGCTAGGCTAGATAATTCTATGCGGACAATACAAAAAAACTCGTTCCTTTCATGTTTTGTTATGCAGCGATTTGAGGTGGGGCCTGGTCCGCCTGGACATTTAATGGACACGACAATTAGCATTAATGATTGAATATTATACTCATGACCACCATATTTTAGTACCAATACGTTACCGATCATGGACGTTTGAACATCATGGCACCGAAGGGCTAGGTAGTACACGACTCCACGTAAACAGTAGTGTTGGGTACCCGTTGGTAGGGTGGAAAATTTGAGACAACTTCTTCGTGATTGGGTAAGACGCTTATGGCTCGAGTACTCGAGTATTTACCCATGTTTTGATCTGTCACGTGTGTGTCAACCCTTTGAATCTAATACTAATGGAAGTTAACGTTGAGGCCTGAGGTTCAATTGAATTCAATGCCCTTACCACCCGTCTTTTATCACTACTTCCGTACACCGCTACCATACACACGGACTCTCCTCCTCCAAGAAAAGATACATCAGCTTCAGCTTGCTGCTCGCCGTTCATCATCTCATCATGACATTCTGCTTCTACTCGAGCACCGCCCAGTGTACACATCAGGACGCCGGCAAACCGAACAAGAACTGCACGCAGAACGTGCACGTCTGACATCGATTGGAGCAGAATTTTCCATAGCAGCGCGCGGTGGACAATTGACATATCATGGACCCGGCCAGCTCGTTGGTTACCCACTTCTAGACCTTGCTCGCACATCTCCGCCGATTGGCATCCGTGATTACATTTGCATAATGCAAAAGATGATTCAATCTTATTTGCTGCGGACGCACGAGATTACCCATATACCCTCAGACAATACTGGCGTATTTTTGGACCCTGTGACAAAGATAGCAAGCATTGGCGTCCAAGTACGCCACCGACTCACGACGCACGGGTTTGCTATGAACGTCACAAAGGAGCCTTTGGGGTGGTTTGCACAAGTTGTGGCGTGTGGGTTAGTTGACGTCAAGGCTGGGTGCATAACGGAAGCGAAAGGAAAGAATGTACGGGTGGAGGATGTTGTGCCAGGTATTGTTGATGCGTTTGGTACCTCATACGGGAGAGATATGGTGAAATTATGCCCCCAGAACGCTGGTGAGCTTGGAGAGGCTATTCTTGCACTAGAGGAAGATGCACTAGCTGCTGGGGAGTGGCTGAATGCACCTTCCCCGACCTAATAGAAGCAGCAATGTTCATGCAGACGACCGGGAGCTCTGTTGATCGTTTCCATTCACCGTGCACTATGACATCTGTAGGTGTGCTAAAGTCTACGTATACTGCCAAGCAGCCTACAAGCTGAAAGTACATTGTGAGTATTGAACGCTAGAGCTCGCATACGTCAGAATACTTGGCACTTGTGGCGCACGTTTGTACGTACCAGCTGCTTGCGCGAGTATCGACTCAGCCCTGAGATCTCATATCTCGAGTCTCAGCAGTACTGTGCTTCACCCAATGACGGTGGATGAATTGGCTTCGAAATTCATCCAGCAAGCATCAATTAACTATATGACGGTATCATGAGGTGCATCTAATAAGCAGTATCAAATAGGTGCCGCGTGCGGCCTCAGGAACCGTTGTTGAGATAGAAGTCGAATATTTATTTGCGAATTCCTGTATCCAATGCCAGGTAACAGCGCCTAGTCCCGACTCCATTTTCGCACAACGCTCGAACCCAACAATCTACATCGCTCACCGTAACTTAAATGACTTGTAACGATGTGACATGTAACAATAATAATGACTGCCCTTTGGTGATTCTGCACTTATCATGTATTTGATCTGCCAGGACAATCATCTCATCTTGCCAAGGAATCAATAGTTGATTCAAGATGCTCACGATGTGATTAGAAAAATGGCTTGAAGTAGCTTTTCCGTTCAATCCCTATCTGGATCTTGTCGCAAGCGTTGGAGCTAAATAGCCACTGTAAAATATGCAGGACCTAGGTGCGTTTTTGTTGGGTCCATCATACGCGTACATACTTATATTTGATCTTCAACTTGAAGCCCGTCTATGTCACACCGTCAGTGTGAGGCTGCACTGTGGACTGATCACCACGTCCCTTGATAGCAATCTTCGTGCGTCGTATCTTAGTCTAACACTCCCTATATTTCACAATTTCGCGCTAATTCCAATATGCGGATGTGTGTTGATCAACTGTACAAATCACTAGTAACTCGCGCATCAATGTCAACGGCCATAGTACACCAATGTGAAAGCAAAAATACGACTCACTAGGCAAAAAAACAAAATGGTCTGCCATGTAGGTGAGTCGTGTTATCGAATTCAGAAAAATGTTGATACTCACGCATTGATAATAAATGCAGTCTTTACTGTGACATTGTGAGTCAGAAATGCAAGCCTTGACACATTGGTTGGCGCCAGCTGCATAACCTTCAGTGGGCATGGCAGAGATCGATGATGCTAAAGCAACAATGACGGTGAGGGGAATTGCAGAGGAGAAACGCATTGTTTGTGACTCGTGCGTATGGGATCAGGTAATTCTGAAGCATGAAGGCGTATAGTAGGAAGACAGCTGGCTTTTATATCGTTCTTTGGAATTCTTGTAGCGTGGATGTGTCTTCAAATGGATGCATATCTACAATTGATGCCAGCACCGCGTGAAACTGCATACATGTTGCCAGCACTTGAAGCTTGAAGCTTTGCAGCACAAGCCAAATAGACAGACATATCACAGCCGGCTCCATTTGATCTATAAGGGGCGCTCCGAGCCCAAAAGTGCGTCGCAACGATAGGTCGAGAGGTGGTCATGGCACTATTGTTTGCTCAGTCTTGTTGCGAACATAATACTATGCACTGGTAGCAGCTAGCTCAGTAATATAGGATCCTGCGCTGAAGAAAACGGGTAGAGTCGGCAGAGATTTTAGGAGATGAAACGCGTTTGAGTTCGACAAGCCCTCCCCCACTAACGTGGGAGTCGGGGATGGGTTAATTCTCGTCTTGAAAAGGAAAGCAGATGTCGATGATGAGATGGAGTTGCGGTGACGATACTCCCACTCCGCAGTGGTCTTCTCTAGGCAGACCTACGAAGATAGTACCCCCAACCCACTTTCACAACTATCCCCACCACAGTGAACCTTCCTGCAGAAAGGTACGTTAATCGGAGAACTGTGATGCTTGATAGCGCTCAGTTTACCCAAAATCAGATCATTGAAGTAGCCTATCATGCGCGTCTTAATTCTGGGAGCAACAGGTGCTGCAGGTGTGCTTCTTATCCAGGAAGCACTTGCAGGATCGCACACTGTGGTTGTATATGCGCGCTCGCCAGATAAACTCGCTGAGGAAATCAGACATGATCCCCGCGTCACAGTCCACAAGGGGGAGCTCGATGACAGAGAGGCGCTTTCCTCCGCCATAATGGGCGTTGACGCCGTGCTTTCTGCTCTGGGGCCATCGGTCTCGCGCGGACCTATGCACCCGAAGGGCACACCTCTTGCACGGGCATATTCTCTGATCATTGAACTTATGATAGGCCACCGTGTGCGTCGGCTACTGGCCCTTGGGACACCAAGCATAACAGACCCGAGCGACAAATTCAGTCTGCGGATGTCTATAATAGTTAATGGCGTAGCCACCCTGGCACGTACAGCATACGAAGATGTTGTAGCCATTGGTGAAACTATTCGGACCCAAGGAAATGATCTGGATTGGACGATTGTCCGTGTACCCCTGCTAAGCGGAGCAAATGACAAGAATCTTGTTGTAGGTTATGTGGGAGACGGGAAAACAGGGATATGGGTAACGAGGGCAGGCTTCGCATCATTCGTTGTGCAAGAGTTGGAGCAAAATGAGTGGGTGAAGAAGGCACCGTTGATCACATTGCCTTGACCCTATGAATCTTCAATCTTTGCATAATCAACGTAGAACTATGCCAATGATCGCGTAACTTTGTAAATCCACTGTCCAGATGTAACATCACACCATCATGATCCGAATCTCCGCGCGACAATGTTAGTAAAGACGAACATTTCTAGGAGGTAAGACGGGCATGTTCAAGCAGATCTGCCCAATTAAACTCCTCGGGCCGTTCGTGGAACTGCCTGAGTAGCTTTTCAGCCTTCTGATCCCCCTTCTGACTACTATCTTCACTCTCATTGCCCCACAAATAAAACTTTTGCACGCCCATTGCGAGCAGCTGAGCATCAATTTGACTCAGTAAAAAACGGGCGGCTGGCGTGCCTGGACTTGGAGTAGCGGCCGCCGTAGCTGCTGATGGCGTGATCTCGCCGCGAAGTAGCACTATTCCGTGCGTCTGAGCAAAGTCGGGGTAGAATGTTAGAATGAGATACGGGGTCGCGAACGACTGCCGAAGCTTGTACTCCTGGAGCGGTGTAAACAAGACCGTCGCTGTCTGAGGCAGGGCAGTTGCGTTACTAGGAGGGACGCGAGAGAATAGGTCGGGACCGGTGGCAGATGGAGGCAGTGGGGGAGCGTGAAAATCCCATTGTAGAAAATAGAATTCGTGGGCGACCGCACTTTCTTGGCCTTCAGGTGATACAGCTGAGGAGCCCTCCCGAGGGACAGGTATGACAAACATGGGATATTGCTTTCCTATAGCAAGCATCCTGTTATAGAGTTTGATCGGTACTGATGCACAGATAAATCCCCTTCCCGTGCCTGCTGTGCGAGAGGCATGATAAGTCGTCCATAAGGCCGAAATTTGCTCCGCGGTATGAGGAGTTGACATCAGCCTTTGAACATTTATGATCGATTCTAGTGCCTGAAAGCAGCGATAAATCAGTCCCGCACAAGAAATTATGGCACAGGTGACACTCACTTTCACCGGAGAGCTATCTTTGCGGACGCCTGAAGTTCCTGATACCTTGCTTCGAACCATTTCTGAAGGTGACTTATTCAACCTTTGCGGATGCGCCTGCGACAGTCGCGCTGACTTGACATTGGCCACCTCCTTACGACGAGCTGCTTCTTTTGCTCGCGTTCTCAGTTCAGTCAATTCTAATCCCTGCCTGGTGATGCCAACGAGTGGTGACAATGACGATATTCCCAGAGTCAGAAGGTCATGTCCAGGTGGGCGCGAGGGAAGAACAAGAAGGAAAAGTCAGGAAAGTTGTCAGTACATTGTCACGAAATTGGGCACAAAGGAGGACACATCTCACTCTTGTGCTTTTTGCTGAAGCCTCTCTGCATATTTAGATTCGTATAATGGAGTCGACGGTCCCGCATGAATCCATCTAGCCACAGCAAAATACCTGCCAGCTGATCGACGACAAACAATGGCGTGAAGGTGCAAGGTGGCTGGAGAACTCTGGAGCCATAGCATGGTGTATTGTAATTGGACAGTAAAGTTTTATGGTGGAAAGACGCCCACTAAAGCCGGTGTAATTGCCAGATGGGGATCAGGCACAATAGGAATGCAACCACTACCTGCAACCACATATGGGACAAATAATTGCGATAGGCGTGCGCATTGTCTGGCAACTGGGCGTCACAACCAACTCCACATCTTTTGTTCTTACTATCATCATCTAACGATACCGGCCCATCCATAAGATACCCCATTCATTCAATCTACGCTAACAGACCAGCACCATGAACACCTCTCCCGCACATGTCTGCAAAGGCAGCTTCCTCACTCAACTTTTTGCACCGTGCCGCAGGAATCAAAACACGCATGTCGAGCCCTATATTGTTCATGCCGATGATGCACCACCACCGCCACTTCCTCCCAAAGATTACAAGTGGGCATCAGCGTCTACGCGGCGCACTTTCCTAGGAGAAGAATACAATGGCAAGAAGTCCCTCCTGTTCGATGTCGATCTTGACGTCCTAGCGCGACCACCGCAGCCTGCTTCACAGCCAACCCCTATCATACAGCAAACGCCGCCACGAGTCCCTGTCAAGGTGAATTCACCTCCTACCATGCCATTAACGCCCGAAGAGAAAGAGCGCCGTAGATGGGCTGCGCAACGCCAATCCCAACTGGAAAAGGCAGCCATGCTGAGGGAAGAACATGAACGCCAAGAGACGAAACGGCGTGAGAAAGTGGAGCAAGAACGCCTACAGCTTGAGGAAGAAGAGGAAAGGAAAGCAATACTGCAAGAGGAGTTGCGGGCTGCAGCGCTCAGAAAAGCCAGACTAGAGAGAGAGAGAAGAGAGGAAGAAGAACAACAATTGCAAGAGCTACGAGAGAGGAGACGGCTAGAGAAAGAGCGGAGGCTGCAACACACGAAGGAAATAGAGCGGTGGCGAGCAGAGCAGATGCAGCGCGCCGAGTCCCAGTACAGTGAGAAGGAAGAAGAGCGTAGAAGGTCAGAAGAAGGGAGACGCATGAGAATTGCTCGCATGAACGAGGAATTATTCTCCACCAGCAGGACAGACAAGATGACAGGTTGGGTCACGGTACAACCGCCCAACACGCTGGCGTGGAAGAGGCGATATTACACATTTGAACTGGGTCATGCAGAATCCAAGATGTTGCTATACGGAAATCCAAGGGTGAGCTTAATTCATTTCCATTTCATTCGAGTTTCATAAATGTTTAGGAGGTCGTCAAACCCCTCGACATCCTCCCTCTGTACGGACGGATCGATTCACTTGCAGAATGGTACGAGGGCTTCGAGGAACTAGAAGCGATCCCCCACTCGTTTGCTCTACGCTTCATCGACGGCGTCGAATGGCGGATGTTCGCAGATTCAGCAGAAGAGAAGGTACTAATCCATCCTATTCGAGCTCGATCTTGGCTTACGCGATTGTTAGGATCGACTGCTGGTGCTTCTGAGCGAGGCGGCGGGCATAATCTTGTGAATTATCTGTGAAGTTTTTATTTGTTAACTTACAAGACACGGGAAGGGATGATATAAAGTGTATTCCTAGTAGCAGAGTCCACATGTAGTTTTTCTAGTCCTTCAGCTGGATATGGAGGTCAAACCTTACATTCAATATGAGCGCGAGCGAGCACTGACAATGACATACCGGTTGCCGCTAGTAATTGTACAAGTAATACTTACGGCGAGTTTGCAAGTGTATGCGGGGTCTAGATCTTAACCGCAGAGCCTCGTCAATGGTATAGTGCTGGTGTTCTTCGAGGCATTCCAGGCTCAGCAACAGATACAAGAGCTCTGGCGTTTAATCGTCAAAACATGACTTTGCTCAAAGGAACATACATACTGAAAAGAGCTCTAATGAAAGTGACGCTTCACAGTCGACGCCAAGCCTCCGACGTGTAAAAATCATTCAGTCAAATCACTTTCATGCTCTTGAAGCTGGACATGGTGGACACAGTTCAATATTAATGATGGTCTGCATTAATGTACTGAAACAAATAACGAGCGTCTACCAAACATAGCCAAACAGTGACATCCATTTCTTTCTACAGAAGTTGTTCTACAATACTAGCCAGCGGAAAAGTACTTCACGTCCTCGCTAGTGGAATGTTTTCAGTGATCGTGCGCAGCGCAGCTCAACGACGCGCCCTTCCAGCACTTCGTCACTTTTCAACACCACCTCCATCACCTCCTCAAAACCCGCCCTCTTCACCTCCGACGTCACTCCCAAGCCTTGACTTCCAACCCGTGGAACCAGAACCAGAAAAGACTCAGCGCACCGGTGCAAAATCATCGAAGGACTCGCTCTCGAGTATAGAGCGAAAAAGACGATTTTTAGGACGTCTGTCTCTTGGTGTACTCGCAGTTGCTCTTGGTGTGCAGGTCGTGTATCTCGGCAGAGATTGGGAGACGGATGAGTTGAAGGAACGGAAACAGGTGCGTCTATAGTTGGAACTCTCGCTCTACGCTTATTTATTTTCGAACAGACTGTGGAGGAGGCTCCGTCAGGAAGGTGGGAACGAACGAAGTCGAGGTTTTGGGAGCTGTTTGATGTACGTGACACCATTAATACCATGACACATAAGCTCATAAATTTATTGACCACGTCGACAGTACCTCAACAAACCCCAATGGCCAGAACTACTCCCGCCACCTCTCCCAGCTCCCCATCAAAAACCGTACACCCTCCTGCTGTCCATGGATGATCTTATTATTACCTCAACTTGGGATGTAGGTTGGTTCGTCCAAGTTAAAAACGTCGCTGATGATATCTCTATCCTCAGCGACAGCAAGGATGGCGGACAGCCAAACGCCCTGGCGTTGATTATTTCCTTGCCTACTTGTCCCAGTTCTACGAAATTGTGATATTTACAACCCAGCACCATTATGTACGTATTATCCCCATTATCCCCAAAGTTGACGCTCAAAACCAACAGACCGCTATGCCCATAATTGAGAAACTTGACCCATATAATTTCTTTATCACCTATAAGCTTTTCCGCGAAGCCACACGATCAGTGGACGGTAAAATTGTCAAGGTAACTCTCGTCATCTGTTAATCTTCCACTTTACTTTCTTCGTTGACTATGCGTTAAAACCTTGTTTTCTCCTAGGATCTTTCTTATCTCAATCGTGACCTGTCGAAAGTTATCCTCCTTGATACGCACCCAGAGCATGTGAGCTCACATCCCGAAAACGCCGTCATCATCCCCAAATGGACCGGTGCGCCCGGAGACAAGGGCTTGATTGCCATGATCCCCTTCTTGGAGTGTATGTTCACACCTTTGATCCTTCTCAGCTAACCTTAATCGAAATTTCTTGTATAGCCATTGCGATTTACAAGTCCCCTGATGTGCGGCCCATCCTCCAAGCGTATGCTGGAAAAGATGTTGCTATCGAATACGCGGAGAAGGAGGCAGAGGCAAAGCAAAAGCATATTGAGGAGTGGAAAAGTAAGGCGCGTGGGTTATCCAAAGGCGGGTTTACGCTGAGCGGCATGTTCGGCGGCCCAACTGAAGTCAGTTTTTTCTTACCCTTTTCGCGTGCGACGACTGACTTGCACCATTCTGCAGTCTTCGCGCTCACCTATCCCTTTGACATACCTTGAGCAGAAACGCCTTGAGGCGCAGCGGCAGTATAAAGAGGAGCAGTTGTACATCGCGACGCACAAGGACGAGTTTGAACGATTGTTGGAGGAAGATAGGAAGGCGATGGCGCGAGAGATGAGTGGGAGTTTGTGGAGCGTGTTGGATACGATGGCAGGAAAGAAGGCGGATGCAGCGAAGGTTGACGAGGATACAGCAGTGAAGGCAGATGCGGAGGGAACGAAAGTGCAGGTACAATAGACAGATTGTGATGCACGCGACTAGACTGGAGTTATTTACATCTAGGCATACATATTGTCATTATTGCTCTCCACTCTTGCATTGCCCTGGTCACCAGAGCGCCATCTTCTACGGCCAGTAAATCTGATTGGTTTTTGTCCTTGTTTTCTTTCACACAACTTACAAACAACTCAGCGCACGATTAACAATGTCCACGTTGCTCAAGGAAAGATCACAAAAGCCAAGAATGTCGTAGTACATGAGATAATCTGTGGTGGTATGGGCAACCGCATGCAGTGCACAACGCTCGTCGAGTATGCATGCGATGCGATGCGGCACCAGACTTTGCAGACGATCATCGCACACTGCGGGAAAGGATAAGCCAATGCACAGAGAAAAACAGAGCAGAGAGCCTAAGAGTAAGCTGTGTAAAATACAACAGCGACAACACTCAACAGCGTGTAGAAAAGAGAAAGACCCTGCAGCTTGATGATCGTTGGCAGCATCAAGCATTAAGGAACAGACGACGGGAGGTTCAAAAGGCTGATCGTACATGAATGAGGACAACTGGCGTCACGAACAACCTGAGAGAGAAGAAGTGGGACCTTTTCACAGAACAGGAAATTGAATTCAGCGGACCATCACAGGAAGGGGAGAAATACGCTAAATATGCAAGTCCTCGCTTTTTCCCCTGTAGAATATATCAATGAAAGTTACCCGATATCAATGGGGTACATACCTATTCTCCCTAGCCTGTTTGTGTGCCAGCTCCTTGTCACTAACAGCTTTGCTGTCTCCGTTAACAATAGCAGTAATCTCTCGGGCTAAACGTCCCTCTACCGTCTTGCCACTATTGTTTTTGCTGACGGTCAATACAGTATGGATACTAGCCCTTATGCGCTGCTTTTGTGTAAGCGCGGCGGGTTTCACGGCATTCTTTCCTGAGCCCATCTTTTGTATGCACTTGACAGCGGGGGAAGCGGTGATGAGAGCAAGGCAGAGGATAGGTAGCGGCGGTGTGCGGATAAGAATGTGAATATGAAGGGAAACAGGAGATGATGCGCTCGACCCTTACAAGTTTTCCATGCGAGGAAATGAAGAAGTCGGATGGTGGCGGAATGAGAATTTGTGGAGCATCTGGAGTTAGATTCTTGGTTGAAGGCGTGGGGGAGACAATATGTCTGATAGTGATGAAGTCTTCATGTCGAGGCTTGATGAAGACCCCATTAGAGTCAAGTAACGCTACACTCTGGTTGACTGTTTGTTCATCGGTAGAACTATTGGCACGGGAAGCAAGTACTGAAAGCGCGCGTGTTAGCCCGACAAGTATGCATTGGACATGATAGATACAAGTACCTTGACGCGTTAAACGTTGCTAGGCACATTCAACATTGTCACGAACGGAGAAAGCCACGAACAAGTCAACGGTCCTGACAAGCTTACTCCCAAAAACGGAGAGGGCGCCGTCTGGCAGGCAAGATGATCGAAGAGTCCAGTGCGGGGTAGGACGCAGACGGAAAATTCCTGGGAGGTTGGAGACTCGGAGTAGATAGAGCAGCTGATGATATGGCTTTGTTGCTGCCGAAGCTTTCTTGGCGATGCGAGAATGCTGCAGAGCTCAGAGGACTTCTCGCTGCCGTGCGGAATGCTATTGAGTGTTGCCGGGCCCTTAAGACGTCGGTTGTAGATGTATTTGTTGTTTGAACAAGCGAAGAAAAATAAACTGTCAGAGTTATTGAGTGGCAGATTATTTCATGTGAAGTTGTTGGCAGGATGTCAGAAAAATGTGTGCCTCAGGCTCCTCTGTTTATGATTGTACCTATGTGACCACTGCGAGATCTGGGCTGTTTAAGGCCCCCACTGCAGCCAATGCCAGTGAAACTAGTAGCAATGAGCTGATTCCGAGAGTCTTTCGCCTCGACGAGGAGCGCAAGTGCGAGAGTTTCCAAGAGGTTTGTGTGATATTGTCGATGTACCGAGTCTGTCGACAAGTCTGTCGGCTGCCCGTGTTTCACTCTACGTGAGAGGAACACTTATTACTTGACAGTTAACTTTATTTCGTCCTCCAAAACTTCGGTAGGGTTAACGTTCTCCCATCACAGCAACTCGTCCTCGTCGTAGTATACTTCATCCTCCAAAATATCGCTGAATTTGTGATTCGTCCATGTATGTAGTACAGTACTAAGTACCCTGTATCGTGTTTCAAATGATGATTTCTCTTCCTATTTCAGACTTAGCCGGAACTCCGCCAATATCACCTCCTACTACTACGGAAAGTTGACTACTAGTTGGTTTTTACTATTAGACTGTCTTCTCCCGAGCTGCCACAGTTCAGATGTCGATCTCTGTTGCCGTGATGCCAACGAATGGTAACAATGGCAACACTCCCAATTCATCTATGTCCATTGGCAGGTGGACTCACCAAACGACTGGTCGGTACATTCTACATTGTCGCGAAATCAGACACTAATATCACTTTTCACTTTTCCTGAAGTTTCTCTAAATGCTTAAGCATTCATACGCCTTCTGCGTAGCTCCGTCCGACTACAGCAAGAATGTACCAGGTGATAATAGCATCAAGGTATGAGCTGGCTGGAGAAGTCTGACAGCCCGGACACCACAATCATTTAACATGATTATGATGGATAGATCTCACTTTTATGTATGCTGCCACATGCATGCCACGACACCGTTTCGTGTACTGCTACAGATTGCAATCACGTCGTGACACGTACCTTGATTGTCTCCGGCAGTGGCATGCCAGTGTGGTGTGACCAGACGTGATCATAACTCATCAGCTGCGACCTGCCACGTCGGATGTCAGTAACCCATCCCCGCATTCTCTTGACTGGAGATCGTGACCACAGCTGTTCACACGCTGCGTCATCCATCATTTTGCTCGGCAATGAAATTCAGACCAGATATATACACGCAAGATCACGCTCTGAATATAAATTGATTCTGGTTGTGGAAGAATAGGTGACCCATTCGTGGCTCTCCAGACAGTCGACTAAGCGTCTCCCATCATTCGGCGTGATGGTACTAACGAGCATAATCGATGCGTCAAATGCTATCTTGAAAAAGAGTGCGTCCACAATGGCAAAGACTTAGCAAAGACACTGATACAGAACTCGACATCTCGCGCTACCTACAGGACAGGGTGACACACCGTGAGGCAATAGCGATTCTGCCAACAGGTCTTCGACCCAATATTTCTCTTATATCTTACAGGTTCAACGGTGGAGACGTCTCTTTCATTATTGTGGCATCTGCCATGGTATTTTTCATGATACCTGGTCTCTGTTCGTATTTTTTCTCTCTCTTATATCCGCTTACTTATGCTCACCTCATTTCCAGCTTTTCTGTATTCTGGATTATCCAGAAGAAAGTCCGCATTGTCGCTTATCTGGGTGGTTTCTGCTAGCAATGCAGTCTGTATCTTTCAGTGGTACTTCTGGGGTTATTCCTTGGCATTTTCGCCAACCGCAAACAACGGATTCATAGGAAACTTGGCGAACTTTGGCCTGATAAACGTCCTCAACGAACCTTCCCCAGGTTCCCCTCTAATTCCTGCGCTATTGTACGCATTATACCAAATGGAATTCGCATGCGTCACAGTAGGAATACTGGTGGGCGGGATCGCCGAGCGAGGTCGGGTACTCCCAGCGATGGTCATCACATTCTTTTGGTTGACCTTAGTTTATTGCCCCATTGCTTGCTGGGCGTGGAACATAAACGGCTGGGGTTTTAAATTCGGTGTTCTTGACTTTGCAGGTTAATTGATCCTGCTTCATTGCTGTCCAGATTTTCTGATATTCTTTGATTTACAAAGGCGGAGGTCCCGTGGAAATCGGAAGCGGGGTAGGAGGTCTTGCCTATGCCTGGGTGCTTGGCCGCAGACAGGACAAGGAGCTCCAGAACTTCAGACCACACAATGTATCTATGGTCAACCTGGGCACCTTTATCCTCTGGTTTGGTTGGCTAGGTTTCAACGGTGGGAGTGCTTTTGGTGCAAACCTGCGTGCCGTCATGGCCATGTGGAACTCTATGATCGCTGCTACATTTGGCGGTATCGTTTGGTGTCTCATCGACTACCGCCTAGAACGGAAGTATAGTATGGTCGGATTCTGTTCGGGCACCATCGCTGGTCTCGTTGCGGCCACGCCTGCTGCAGGATTCGTCAAGCCCTGGGCGGCAGTCATTATGGGCATTTTTACCGGCGCTATATGTAACTACGCAACTAAATGTGAGGTTTCTGAATCAGTCTGGAGTGCGGATGTTGACGCAACCCTTAGTGAAGTTCCTTCTCGCAATAGATGATTCACTTGATCTTTTTGCCGAGCACGCTATCGGCGGGATCTTGGGTCTCATGACGAACGCATTTTTTGCTACTGAAGCCGTTATTGGCCTAGATGGCGTCAACACGAATGTCATTGGCGGCTGGGTCGACCACAATTGGAAGCAGCTTTACATTCAGTTCGCCTATATCATCGCGACATGTTTATATACATTCGTCGTCACTGCTCTGATTGTCCATTATGTCGACACAATCCCTGGTCTCAGCATACGCGTACCAGCTGGGAGCGAATCACTCGGTCTTGACGAGGTCGAGGTAGGCGTGGATATACTCTTAAATGTTCCCCCAGCCTAACAAGATAATCCAGATCGGTGAATACGCGAATGACTACATCGAAGTATGGCGTGACGTTATGGAGCCGACCCTCACGACCACCTTAGATCCACGTGAATCAACGCTCGACACGATCACCTGTGCTGTCGGACGCAGCCAAGCAGTTTCGCAAGAAATTTCAGCGTGCAATTTCCAAGTTCACGATGGTTTGCACGTTCGTGAATCGGATGTGGGTGAGAAGCCCGTTGAGCTGGAAGTACTGCAAGGGCGGCGCGGGGCCAGAATATCCGTGATTGCATGATGGTGTGGGCTTGTTCACTGAGTGACCATATCCCTGATTTCCCTTGGCATCTCCTTTTTATCACAAGCATTGTATGCACTCGCTTTGTCTCCTTTGCCGTAGCCGGGGTCGGTGACCCTATGACGAATGAAACTCATACCTCACGTCACCCTAAAATAATTTGTACACATCGTACACACCAGCAAAAACTTCAAATAGTATCTTTATCTTTATCATGAGCCATCTGCGAGGTCCAATGTCCCGTTTTCTCAAGGTTCTTTGAAACCTCAAGGCTTAAAGTCACGCAGGCGGCAGCCAAAGGGACGGCTTGTCAGGGCTAATAACCTGGCTCAATAAGATAGCCATCATCCCAAGCCTGATCCAATTGCATCCGTCACGCGGTGGTGGGAATTTAGTTAAGATATTGCTAACTTCCCCTTCTGTACTCACTTGGCTATGGCACACCGTACCCACAAGGAGAGGGAGAGTAGTGTACAATTCCCTATAAATCTATTATGAAACAAGTTCTGTACATCGGCTAGCAGTTCACACAACACTGGTGGATAAATATGTGACTATATCTCATCTTGGTAATATATTCATCAACGCTCGGACAATCTAACAATCCCAGCCGAGCACAAAGTCAACTGGCGTTGTGGTTTGGGTTGCGTTCTCTGTTCCCGAGAGCAGAGCGCCACAGATACCACTCCCGAATTCTTCATGCAAGAGTAGATCGACAACGTTACGCGAGGCTATGGTCTCTGTTTCCATAGTCGAGATGAACCTAGGCCGAGGTTGACGTCAGTATGAAAGCAAAAAGAAACAGCGTCATGTAACGTACGGCTCAAAAGCATTCACATAATAAAAGCCTTGATCGAGCTTGACAGGAGGAAACTCTTTTGTAGGGAGCAACACAGGGTATGCCTGCCACTGATCACGTCATTAGTATCCCAGCTTGTTCATATGAACGGTAATGATTTACCAATTTTCTATATACCCAACTGACATTGCCAAATACTGTCTCGAGCCACTCATCGGGGACACGCTCTTTAGAGAAAATTTTCACGGCCGACTCGGGGTCTGTTACTGCGTCTTCTGCCGCTCCGTCCACCTTACGAACCTTCCCGTGGTAAGAAATTGAGTTAAACTCGGGCTCAACCCCGCCCGCTCGAGCACCCTCGTAAGTGGTCAAAATTGTTGCTGGTACCTGAGTGTTGGAGGCGAGGCCAAAGTACTCGGGTCTGGAGTGTTCGGAACGTGTCGTTAATAACGTGACGTGCAAATCCACATATGGCTGCGGAGGGATGAGTTCGGCCAGATCAGACGGCAGGGTAATATCAGTCTGGTGGAAAGGCGCGGCAAGGATAACTCCTTGGTATGTCTGGGAACCAGCCGATGTGGAGACCGTCCACAAGGAAGTGCCAGGTTTCCGTTGAATCTCCTTGACCTGGAATATTGTCAATGGTCAAACACAATCTAAGAAAAAAAGACTCTAACATTCGTGTTCAAAAAGACGTTTGCTGTCGAGTTCTGGAGAAAATGCTCGAATATTAAGAAATTTCCTGCTACAACACCAGATGCACCAGTTGCTGCCATTGAAGCGGCACCTCCGAGGGCGTGGATCTCATCCACGTTCTGATGCAGTATCAGTTGGCTGATATTGCAGTAAACTGTTTGAGAAGGATGACACACCTGCCCGTAGTTGACGCGCGTCGCTGCCTCAACAAGCTCTCGTGCAAAGAGCGGAGAAATTTTATTGCTTTCCAAAAAATCCGAGGCAGTTTGATTAGTCAGGGAAACCCACTGGAACCTCTCTGTGAACACTGATAGATCGTCCCAGCGAGGAGAGTCGGGGGTGTAGAAGCCGAGGAAACGGTCTATCACTGACTGAACACTGTAGTTCTTAATGAGTCCTGCGGCGAATATTGAACGAGTGAAAGAAACTTGCATAGTTTTTGTTCTAGTAGGTGCAGTGTAGCCATACCTCCATAACACCTTCAAGGTTGCCCACCAACTTTTCAGATAGCTACCGCTTTCTATCTTCGGTGACGTATAAATTTGTGTGGGCAAATTTGTATCAAAAGCAGCTCACCACAAGCACGAAATCCTGGCCATCCCAAATACCAGTGTCTGAATCAACATCTTCGAAGGCTGTCAGAGTCAAGTTGAATTCCTTGGAAGCTCTCATTAGATTCTTGTTTGCGTCGACAAATATAGAAGCCCCTAGTTCCAATGGAGCAAACGTAGGATCATCGTAAGGGTATACTACGGTGCTGCCTACGGGTCGAATTGGTCAATAAGGATAAGCACTGCTCGACAGACAGAAAGCTAGAAACTTACGACCTCCGATATAATCTGAGCGCTCATAAACGTCGATTTCAACGTCAATTCCGAACCTTTCCTTCGCTTTAGATATCCAGAATGCAGCTGAGGAGCCCCCCGCGCCTGCACCGATGATGGCTATTCTTGGAGAAACGTGAGCCTGTTCTATGTGGGCAGAGTCTTTTGATTTGAAAATAGGGATACTGAAGGGGAATTGGAAAGCAAGGCTGGTGCAGACGAAAAGCGAGTATATGAGGAGACGGTGCATGACTAGTAACTTGCGATCTGAGTAGAAGGTACAAACCAAGGAGGTATATACGAGAGGTCCTCGCAAATATGTACAAACACAGCTTCGTGTTGTCATACTATAAGAAGTTTCATCCGCGCGTATTTTCACTTAATTTACGATCGAGTAACTCTAGTACGTCTATCGTTCGACCAGGTACAAGGTGTCTACTAATACGTATACGACACGAAGGAGACAACAAAGAGTGTATGGACCCAATTATTACTGCATACCTATTCGCGGAGTCGGAAGTTCTCCTGGTACCTACTAGTATGTATTATCATTGCAGTGTAACAGAGGAAGGGTACGAGGCTATGTGACTTATCCGCAAGCTGGGCTTAGTACGGCCGAAACTACGCAATAAGTAAGCGTATATATAGACAAGTACACGTTCCCACTGGTACTACTAGTACTATATCACCCTTCACCATCGTATCAGTAACCAATTTGTGTCGACAATGGCAGCGACATCGACAACCCTAAGTCGCGTTTTCCAGATACCACCAGAGTTAACCGAACACACTCTCACCCTTTGCCACCCTCGCGATGTTGAGTCGTTCTCGCAGACCTGCCGGAAAGCACGCCGCCTGGTTTATGGGAGCCCAGATCAATATCTTTGGCGCCAATTATTCCTTCTGTTCCCCTTCGACGATCCTCGGTTGATCTCATCCCCATTTCAGGAAGACGGTCAATTCAACTGGAGGAAGGAGCTACATCGGCGAATGGAGGCGCAATTAATCGCTTGTCGCACAAGTTCAACCCTTGAAGACCTCTTGAAGGCCATCGAAACTTTTATTTCTGTGGTGCAAAGCGCAGCCCCCGTTACATGGGGACACGAACGTGTTCCATCCCCCAATTTATTGTGGGTCGTTGAAGTGTTGCAATCCACAAATATGCTTCGCTACTTGCCATTACTCTTCTCAGAAGAGGGCAACCAATCGTTGGCTCGCCTGCGAGCACACCTTGCACTGACATTGGATGAGTACGATGATGACGACGTCGAAGGGAAGGAAAGGTTGAAATCAATACGGACGAGGAGTCGCTGTCAGGTTTATGACCTACGAAATTACCATCAAGACAACGACTGGGGCCCATTCAACATCATAGCAAGAGATGTGGATTGGACTCACATAGAATCGATTATCAACGTTGTATCTATGAACCTTTCTGACCGTCTAAATGATTGGCCGGATACAAGGCCGCGATATGGGCTCGAAGCTACTCGAGCATATTCAGCACCTGGCACCACATCACTAGCAACAGGTGATTGGGCAGGTATTGAAGGTCACTGGAGGAGATATGTCTGTTTCATGGATTATCGGTATGACTTTTGTTTACCATCTATTCGCCCAACACTCAATTGTCTCGCTGTACCATCAGAGATTTGTTTGGTGAGTATATTTGTAATCCGAGTTCTTACATTCATTGATATGTTCATCAGCATTCAATGTAATGATTTTCTTTGAGGCTTACCCTGATATTCAAACATTCCGCAGTATGGCAACAGAGGCCACGGACAACGAGATGGCACCTATTTTGACACTCCACATTTTGAAGAGGCTATGCGCCTTATTGAGCTCAAGCTGACGCTCATAGACGCTCAGACAATACCTGAAGTATACACACTCGGCCACTTCCCTGATTCCCCGTATACGCACTACCCCACCCTGTATTTCACCGGATCATCCTGGGGCATAAAGGGTAATGAGGCGACTGTCGTTGGCTCTGTAACCATGTCGGAAGGGGGCGTAGTACGATGGCGATTTGTGAGCCCTGTTATTATTACTGATTCCACAAGATACGAAACCGAAATAGCATGAGTTACTCCAGGCATCTATTGCCAATTCGCATATTCAATGGAGGTAAGTTGTACGGTGTTACAACGTCAAAAATGCTTATAATGCACAATATTCAGCTCCGAAGGGGTGCAAATTGGCGGCATTGCTAGTGCGTTTGGAGTAATAGGAACATGGACAGGGGTTCATCATGACCATGGTAAGTACCTATTAGTTAGCTTTTGATCTGGTGCTGCACAAGTTCTACTTTTGCAGGCGATCCTGTCGGTATGCAAGCATCTATCCATCATGTACTCTTATACTCATAAGCTCTTTGGCATCATAGGTCCTTTTTGGCTTTACAAAGTAGAGGATGATCATCCCATCTATATGCGAACTCTCGTGAACAATTGAGTCGATGCTGGAACCACTTCATGATTGTGACGTCAATCACATAGATACTATTTTCTTGCAGTGTTTTGAATATTGCTTTCGTTGTATGGGTAATCAGTCGGACTTCGTACATATCCCGTACCTAAGCATCATCCAATCACGATCGCTTATGTCATCAATACACGAGACATTAGCGAACGCGTTTTTTTTCTCTTCTTTTTCATACTTAACAACCTTCAGCTAGCTTTGCCCTGGCAAAGTAACTCTTAGCCAGCCCGCCTCGGCTCTGGGTATTCGGCTGGATGGGAGAAGAAAAGGCATACCAGGAGTTCAATTAAGCCGGAGCGCCTCCCAGACTCTGCCACTGCCTTTCGAGGCAGCATGGGAAGTGCTTGACTATGCAACTCTGACATCTTCGAGTGTAGCCACTAGAGAAATTTAGTAGTGAGTCTAGTGACAGCATTACTTCGTTCAATCATTTCCAAGGATTGTACTTTTGGACGACTCAGATCGCTGGTCAAGGTATATCATGATGTTGCGTCAGAGGATCCAACAACCCGATCCGTTCGAGTTTCCTGTCGTTACCAGTTGTCGTCTGTCAGTCAGCAGCAAACATTTGATGCTGATTTCTCTTGATCGTTACAGCCTTGTACACAATCGATTAGGAACAACTTCGAACGACGAGTCTGCATCGCAAGGCCTATCAATCCTTAGTGCCTCAAGATTCTGAAGATTTCCTACGACCATCAACGTGGCGTTGCGAGCAAGGCAACTCTTGCGTACATGATGAGATCTAGACATTAATGTATCACCTTTGAACACCTCGTCGTCCAGAAGTATAAGCCAATTTAGCTAGAGATGTGTTCGAGGGAGAAACTATAAAGGTATATCCAACCTGGAACTTTGGAGATCAGAACGAATAGATTCTACATAAGTACGAGAGAATGTATGGTATATCATGTACTGACGAGAATGAAAGGTGAAGGAAGAGAAAGTAACAATGGAATGTACTTTGAAAAGTATGAGACAAAGGCTGAAATAATGACTGATAAGACGTGGTCTGCATGGGGCGAGATTATGTGAAAAAGTGAAGCATGGCGTCGTAAAGTCCATAAATGAGTCCAAGTCGCTTCAGATGTGGAGTGATGGTTGCATTGACGAGACACGAGGGCGACCCGCGCCTTGTTCTAATATGTTGGTCATACTGATCCATAATCGTGAACGATATGTTTCTTTGTGATTTTGTACAATAAATAAACTCCTGATACACCTTGATTGCACCAAACAAATAGATGTTTCATCAGGATGGTATCATCATATTCATGAAACCAACTTACTGTTTCGCAATTGGACACGACCCTAATACGCCGGCGCTTCGATGTTCACCATTAAGGCCCATTCAAGGGAAACTCATCTTCAATAAAGTCTGGGGCTTTGAAATCTTGATCGAGAGGCAGTACGAAGGCCGAAATAGTGTAGAAGATCACAATCGCATACTCCGTGATCATGTCCATTACGAGGAAGATTTCCCAGTTGCCCGTGACCAAGTCGAATTCTGCCAGGCTGCTAGTATTGGATGAGGTTGTCGAACCGGTAAATGTATCCGTAGTGATCGTGGATAGGACGCCGTACATCGTCCGAACGGCCAGGAATGGAAGTGCGAAGGATATCATCTTCAGGAGCTGAAAATGAAGTGTAACAACATTAGTCAGATATATAATTGTGCTCTTGCAAGCTCACCCGCTTGCGGTATTTCATGATAAGGTGCACTTTGGTCCACAGAAAGATGCAAATGCCGACAAGGGCAATGTAGTGGATAGAGAAAAGGATGAAACCTGACTTGCGCAAGGTGCTCGAGCCCGAGCTGGAACGTGATACAGTGAAGAAACCGATGACGGTTAGGAGTACACCTGCTGCGTTGAAGGTTCGAAGAGAGTGGAAGATAGATTCATCTGTTGGTTCGCCATCAGGCCCATCAAATCTATGATGATATCAGCTCATCCTATCCAGAAAATAATAGCAACGTGATGGCCCACATCAAGCGCAACAGACTAAGCGTGGAAAGCAATAGTGGAGCTAGGCCAACTACTTCTAGCATGTAACCCGCGGTGTATAGTCCATTGTTCGCAGGCGTAATCTTTTCAGCTGCGACAAGGAAAGCTCCACCCAATACTCGTACTAGAGAAATGACAGAGTTGAAGCTATGACTAGAATATCAAACGACTTACTGATGCAGAATACCAGTAACGAGGTCCACCGGCCTCGCCATATGCCGCATTTGGACGCCACCTTAAACGAAGTAAACAGAAAGGGGATATACATCACAATTGTTACCACCGCAAGAATTCCTTGGGTATTCATGTTTTCTCAAGAACTGGAGGGGGAAAGGAGTATCAAACTGAGGGAGGTCATACGGGGATTGCATCAATTTATATGGACCACAGTGGGGAAGAGGCAGTGAGAGCTGCTTCGCCATATCTATCACCTCCTTCTGATCCGCTTTGACAACCGCAAGGTGTTGTGAGATGCTGTGATACTGTGAATGTAGAATTGATGGTACCGCACGGTTACACGAATCGCGGGTTTGTAGACGTGTTTCAGGTTGTATGACCAATGTGGGTCCTGATAGCATTACTGCACGGACCGCCGAACCTCCTTGAAACACGTCGGTAAAACCAACCATAGGACCCTGAGGCACACCCTACACAACTTACATGCGTTCCATATAGCACGGTCCTCGACTATCGCCGACTACTATATATGCTATAGCCAAGTCAATACCACGTGCATTATGCGAACAACAGGGTAGGACGCGTGTTGGTACTTTCACACCTGCTCGGGGATGCTTGAAATGTGAATAATCTCCGCAGTCGAGCTTGAGCTGAAACCCGACGCAACGGATAGAGTAGCCATGCGGCCCATGCCGAGGAGTTGGAGAAAATGGAATATTGATGGAATAGGTTGTTGTATATCACGATTGACCATCGGGCATCTGGGATCTGTAACAGTATTCAGCTCATCCCATGGCAACTTGATGGACGCTCACGGAGTGCAACAAACCCAGCGTGCAAATCAGCAGTGGGATATAGGCCAGATGCTTGTAGGGCGAAATCACTGATATATAATCCGGTGCTGCGACAAGGAAAGCGCCATCCAATACTCGGGCTGGAAGGTTCAAGCTATGACTGGTAGAATATAAAACTTACTAATGCAAAACACCAGCAACATCCACCCATCGCAGCTCGTGATACGCCGTACTTGGAGATTCATTTACATATTTTTACATAAGAAATTTGATCTTCGCCAGTCCGCCAAATTCGCACCGCCACTTAGCCTCTTTCGGGCCAAGACAAATCGTCCACAAGTTTTTACTTTTCGGGTCGGCACTACAAATGAAACTGCCACGACGTGTGCCATGGGCAAATATTAATGAGCTTGATCAGCTCTGTTCGTGGGTCTTCATGGACGAGAGCGATCTCGAGGCGAAACGGTTCGCAATCAACAGAGTGAGCTTCACCTGAATCAAATATTCTCGACGGTCGTCTGACAGAGTCTAGTTGTCGGCATGGAGAGCTGTGACTGCATTGCCTCATGCGCTGGAGTCCACTCTATCAATCCTAACGGCCCGCTTGATTGATACTTCTGAAACGCAACAGAGCCCCTCCTGGTTGAGTCTGAGGCAGAACTATGCTGCTGCGATCATCCGAATGGTAAATGGTCTCGTGGATCCTTTACAGGCGGGAGCATATGCGAGATCTATAGCATCTATCGCCGCCCAACTAGGTTTACCTTCTTGGTTAGTGGAATTGAGGCATTCAGCTACGCATGAAGACCTTCCCAGCCTTGAAGTGCTCAGGGAAGCGGCACGGGAGGTGAGCTTCTCTGAGAAATGGACGAAATTCTTATTCTTATCGTGCTTCATATTTGGTGGGTGTGGTCAGTCACTGACATGGTTATTGCACAATTACTTTCTTCCCACTATAAATCCTTCAGCTCCTAGACCGAGTACGGCGCCACCTTTACGACCGGTCACTCCACTTTTAAAGCAATACAAGACGCTGGTGAAGATCGTCGCGCGTGATACTTCTCTCCGCAAACAAAATCAACCCGATATCGATGCGATCATGCGAGATATAGAGCGATGGCTCGCGGAAGCCAAGCTAGCTGCAGATTTTGCGGCTGATGCGTGCGGGTGGGAAACCATTGATGGCAATGACGTCGAACAAGAGGACTCCAGAGAAAAGTGGGCTCTAGAAAGACTTTGTGATGCCTTGATTGAGAAAGGTGCTCTCGTATCTCTCTCACAAAAGTACGTGTTTTCGCAGATTCAGAGCTTCCCGTTGACTAGAATACTTAGGAGGAGAAACCTTCCGTCTGACGAATTTGTACCTCCTCACTCGTCGCTTGTGTTATGGACTCCGTTGTTGGCACACACACACACGTATCATCCTACCTTCCCATCTGTTCTAACCACTCGGATTGTGGAAAATCTTCTTTATGAGCAGCCAGACTTAGGATTTGACATGGATATCGGTTTCGTTAGAGGCAGACGAATCTCAAAATGATCCATCGTATCATCTGGCTCTCGCGAAATGGGCTGTGTGGGTTATCAAGGCATATGATAATGGTCAAGAAAACGGGGAGTTAAGCCTCAGAAAGAATGTAATTGTTCAACTAGCTTCTACCTCTTGCTCCGGGTAAAACAGAAGGGGCAAAGAAGATTGATGTGTGAGTAGAAATTTGATATTCGGCTATTTCATTGATGCGAAGAGTATGCAACAGGTTGGCTGCTCTCCTCGGGGCGGTGAGCTCGGGTTTCACGGAACTGCAGACAGCATCCGATATGCTTCTCTCTGCCACGCATCCGTTACAACCCCAGGTGAGTAAATTGAAGGCCTATTTCATCCCCTTTCTTGATGGACTACAGCATTGGGATGCGGGTGATCTGACGGTGATGAATGAGCGGCTTCATTCTCTAATGTCTCTTGATGGTGAATGTCAAAAAAGCACAAATGATCCAGACTCAGCGCCCACTACATTATTACCGGTGCAAGGTGCAAATATAGGCGGGTGGAGATTGCTGGACCATCACAGCGGCTGGAAGTCGTGTCCTATAGGCATTTACTATTCAAATCATGCAATGTCAATAGTGTAGACAATTAAATGTTCCTTGCATAACTATCGTCACACGACCCGTCCGAGTCACAGTCACGCCACACTGCGTATTATTACTCAGTTTCCCCGTTTCCCAGCATTGCATGATTGAAGTTGCACTGGAGCATAGGCGCTCCAAGTCCTTACCTCTCTCCTCTGTTTTAGTAGTGAACTATGAAGTTCAATACACCGCTACCACAGACGCTACCTAAAGAATGCACCAAGGCAGCAAAGATTTGTGGGCATCTGCCGGCTTCTTCGTGGGTCACGGTGGCGCTGATACTTTGCACAGTTTCTTCATTCGTGGATAACAAGAACAATGGCCTTGACGGTGTGAGTATAGCTGTTAGCAGCACAGGGGTGAAATCTCAATTGATATACCAGGTCATTCCTCGGAGTGTGTTAGAGAACGCCAAGGGATTCGCCATCTTCACTGTTTTCAAAGCAGGCTTCCTCTTCTCGGCAAGAGCGGGAACGGGGATTGTCATAGCGAAGCTTGATGACGGATGTGGGCACTTCGCATATTACGTATGCACCAGTACCGCTCACAGGACTTATTAATGCTTAGCATGGTCTGCTCCAAGTGCTATAGGCTCAGGTGGCATAGGCGTTGGTGGACAGCTTGGTGCGGAAATGACGGATTTCTTAATTATCCTTAATTCAACTTCGGTCGGTCTGCGTGTTTCCTGAATCGCTGCGTTTCTTCGCTGACATGTCATTATAGGCTGTTGTATGTCAATATTTATTTCATTTCAGTACTAATTAAGCGCTAATTCTTGTTCTTATGGCTTAGAGATCCTTTATGTCTGCTGGTAACCTCACTTTGGGAGGCAACATGAGTGTCGCGGTGGGCCCTCTCGGGCGGAATGGTGAAGCGATCGGATCCGTGAATTCAAGCGGCAAGGTTGCTGCCATGTACGCCCACCTCCTGTCATCCACTATACCAATCAATAACTCAGACTTGAATTATACAGGTACAGCTATTCGAAAACACGAGGCTTATTTGGTGGAGTTTCCATAGAGGGCTCTGTCATCGTTGAACGTCAGGATGCAAATACGTTGGCCTACAAACAAGATGTTTCTGCGAAAATGCTTCTCAGCGGGGCAGTCCCTTGTCCGGAGTGGGCTTCGCCTCTTGTGAAGACACTCGAATCATGCACCGGATTGCCAGGAACTCGGAAGTGGGTTGACGAAGGAGCACGGGATCAGTCTGGTTACGCATTCGCGAGCCCAAAGAGTGAGGGCAGTACTCCTTCCTTCTTGAGCAGGAAGAAGAAAGGAGTCGATTTTCCCCCGGAGCACTGGGGAAAGAGAAGTGAATCTGGATCGTATTTTACTAGCGGGAGAGCGGACGTTGATGCTGGCTCTACTCCGTGGGATGACCGCGCCCCACAGTCAGGGTCTGATTTCCATACAAAGTTCGAATCTAACCCTGCGCCTCCTTCGCAAAGTCGCCACCGGTCTTTTAACAGTGTCTCTGCATTACCAGGTGTACAGGACCAATATGACCCCGCATCACCGTTCAACTCTCTGCCACCATTTAGCACTGCACACTCGGGCTTGAGCGACAACAATGGTGCTCATTCGCGCTCAATGAGCATACCATCTGCCAAACAATCCTCTAATCAGCATTCCTTTGCGGCTTATGCAGACCCTTTTGCGTCCAGTTCACCGCCGGGCGATAATTTCTTCGAATCGGACAATCGGTCGAGCTATCGCGCGCCGCCATACATAAAAACTAAAGCAGAATTGGTGTCGTCTGTTGCTCTTGGTGAAGGTGTCAGTCGTGCGATAGCACTCTACGATTTCAACGCGGTTGAAGTATGATTCTTTCTCTCTCATCATAATGAGCAACTGCTTACTGGATCACATGTAGGCTGGCGACCTTTCTTTCTCTAAAGGGGATGTAATTCTTGTAACAAAGAAGAGTGATAGTACTGATGATTGGTGGGTTTCTCTCCTTCCACGTCGATATGAGATGATTTCATGACTTGAATCAGGTGGACCGGAAAGATCGGTGGCAAAGAGGGAATATTTCCCGCTAATTTTGTGGAAACTGTATAAGTACGATGGGAGCGCATCCTCATTGATCAAGCTATGTATTGAGTATCTCAAGAGCATCTCGTTGTACCCTTAGACCATAGTCAGCTGTATTTGTTGTATTAACGATATGTACATGTATTTGGGTCGACAAACATGGACAACCTTCTCCTATCCACAAGTTCAAACTAAGGATCGTTGAGACAATGGAAGATCCAATGCCAAAGGCAGCGAAAAAGTATTACGCCGTGAGAGTTGGTCGCGAAGGACCACGAATATACGACTCCTGGGCTGAGGTGAGTTTGTTTTCTTTTGGGTTCAATCGAAACGCGTCCCCTTTCTTAATGTCTATTTCAGTGCAATGCAAACGTGAGCATAAAGTAGACCATGACTGATAGATGCAAACCCATAGTACGACAACAGGTTTCGCGTTGGCCTGGTGCCGTTCACAAGAGCTTCCGGTCTCACACTGCGGCTGAGGAGTGGCTTGCGTTAACTGGACCAAGTGAGTAATTCAACGACTAATGGTGATGCTACTAAGTCTTGGAAGTCATATTACCAGCTTCTAGTATGGAATCGATATCATCTAGTGGACCCAGCGTGTCATGGACCTTTAAGCCGAGAGTGGCAAGATCCAATCAAGAAAAAGCAGAAAGACAACCACCAACCCTTGAAGGACGCGATCAGACTCCCATCGAGACACATACACCTGGACCTTCATCGGAGAGTATCATTCTTTCAGAGGAGCAAAAAAATGTGCTTCGGAGGGTCGAGCGCGGCGAGAATGTATTTTTTACCGGGTCTGCGGGTGCGTAATTCAAGCTGACCCCTGCATCATTGATGACTCTGTCCAGGCACCGGTAAATCTGTTCTTTTACGGGAAATAATTCGAGCGCGTGGTGGGCGAGGCCACTCAGGTCTCGCTATAACGGCCTCAACGGGAATAGCATCAGTTAACATCGGCGGAACTACCGTGCATTCATGGGCGGGTATCGGGCTTGGTCTAGAAGACGCAAAGAAGCTTGGGGGTAAATTTCTTGGTCAGCCTAAGTTTGAACGGGTCAAGCAACGGTGGCAAAGCGTTCAAACTCTCATAATAGATGAAGGTTTGCGGCATACGGTTTATTATTATTGTCTTATGAGGAGGCTGATTGTGTTACTACACAGTATCCATGATCGACGGAAAGCTCTTTGATAAACTGGTATGGTGCTACCGAAGCATTGTAATCTTATGCTGTTGACACTGCCTCTGAACAATAGGATGCCATTGCTCGCATTGTAAGGCGATCAGACAAACCTTTTGGTGGAATACAAGTACGATCCAAACCATTTCTTCTTAACTTATGGTTTCTGATGTGTTTGCAACCGGTAGTTGATACTTTCGGGAGACTTCTGCCAACTTCCTCCAGTGCCGGATCGTGGTAAGGACGGAATTCAAATACCATCTACGTTCGCATTTGAGGCGGAAAGTTGGAGTCGTTGCATCAAACAGCCTATAGTGCTAACACGAGTTTTTCGGCAAAAAGAGCAAAGTGAGCGATATTTCGTGATTCCGCCTTCACTCGCCTACATAAATTTAGAATTTGTCGACATGCTCAATGCGATGCGTTTTGGAAAGTTGGATAAAGCTTCTGTTCAAGCTTTTTTCAGTCTTTCGCGCCCAGTCGTATATGAGGATGGCATCGGGCCAACACAGCTGTACGGGATTTTCGTATGTTTGCGTTATTTTAGCCTCAAAACTTTCTATAGGTACCCTGTTCGCTCAGAGGTTGATTCAGCAAACCAAAGAAAGCTTGCTTCACTGCCTGGCGATGGAATCAAATACCCGGCAACTGACTCACCTGGACGCGATTCGAATGACAATCTTGTTTCACTCGAACAGATGGGACGCTTGTTGGAAAGGCTTGTGGCACAACGAGTGATCCATCTAAAAGTGAGTCGTGCTCCTTTTGTTTGCATGTCCTGATCTCACACACCGCAGGTCGGTGCACAAGTCATGCTGATCAAGGTAATGTCAGCTGCTTCCAATACGAGCTCTTGAGTCAACACACAACTCCATAGAACATGGTACAGGGGCAGCTGGTAAACGGGTCTGTGGGGCAAGTGATCAGATTTAGTACTTCTGAGGAGGCTATGCAGACCGCTACTCCAATTGCTACGGAAGAGGGTCTCAAGGGTGGCCCCTCCACGAAGTCTGAGCTCCCTGCCAACTACGACAACTCGCAATGGCCCGTTGTCCGATTCACGTGTGGCAAAGAAATACTGTGTGTGCCAACCGACTTTACCGTCGATAATGCAGATGGTGGTGTAGAGGCGAGAAGACGACAGGTGAGCCGCCTGACTTGCACTTAAATTTGGTGAATGAACAGGATTAGGTTCCCTTGATATTGGCTTGGGCACTGAGTGTCCATAAGTCTCAGGGGCAAACTCTTGAAAGGGTGAAAGTGGACCTTGGGCGAACTTTTGAGAAAGGCCAAGGTAAATCCTTCCTGAAGACTCATGACGCGTGTTCATGACGCGTCCTCAGCATATGTTGCACTTTCTCGTGCTACTAGCATGAGCACCTTGGAAGTATTGAATTTTCATCCAAATAGGTAAGCTTCTTGTTCAAAATCTGCTTTGCCATGTTTGAACTAACCACGCCTTGTTGTGGCTGCAAGAGTAATGGTGCACCCTCGCGTATTGGAGTGGCATAACAATATGGAATGTGAAATGCTGAGTGACCAGATGTACGTGGATGACGAGTCCGAGGCCATGGACAGAGACGAATCTCGGGAAGCCTATTGGACTTGATGTCTACGTCATTGATAATAGGATTGGTGTTTTTTCTCATAAGTGATCAATATCATGCTGAACATGCACTTCAGAATGACAAGTAGTAAATGGATCGTCGTATTGTTTTTGTGGAAGGAATCACATTTTCCCACAGCGCTGGCATCCTCTGCTTTGGACGTTGGCCTTGGTACACTGGCACTCTCGGTGTGCGCGTTTGCAAATATATCTTTCCCCGGCCTGCTCTCGAACATCTTCTTTGGATAGCTGAATTACATTCTCCCACTATGACGGCTTGATATGGTACCAGGAAAAGGCATTTAAGGGAGCCGGCAGCCAATGTCCGATCTTGCTCCATTGTCTCTTGCCGTCTATGCATTTGGGGAGCCAATTTCGAGGTATCAACAACATAACTGGGTCCAAGAATACTCCGACCCAAAGGAGGGGAAAGGCATCATACAGTAGCAGGCGCTCCGCTGTCTGCTATTCGACATGGTATTCACGAATTTCGCTGTCGATACGAACCAGGTCTCTACATGATATATCATACAAGACGTATCCAGTGCGATTGTGTATCTGTGCGTGAGAGGGTTTGATGCTAGCTGGTTCTAGATAGTTTATAATGGATGGGTCATAGAGAAGACTGAGGACAACTCGGTGGCATTAGGTAAGGTGACAGTTTTTGAGTTAAGTATTTCAAATTTCAGTCACGGTCAAGCGGTTTCTCCGTACACGTGACGATGATGCTGTTCGAGGAACGAGTGCCAAAGAAGGGCGACTCGTGCACGTGGCCAGGAGGATGAACCAATGGCAGTGGGCGATCTCCTTGCTTGGAGCCGTCATGGTGTTTAAAGCAGATCTGGGGCTTTGGATCCTGAAGGAAGGTGACCCTCGGGAAAGCACCTCTTTGGGAAATTGATCCGCTGATGCTTATACCACGTGACATAGAGTTGCGCGTAGCGCGTTCCGAACACGACTCGGACGCGACATTGTAACCCAGCAGCCTACTTGAGTTTGATTTACGTATCCAATAACTTGTAACCTGCTTGGTTCAAATAGTGCTCGCAGCTAAAATATTCTCCGAAATTCTCGAACAGTCTGTTGGTGACCATGCCAGCGCGATACTACGCCGTGCGCATTGGCCGCGAAGGCCCAAAAATTTATTCAGATTTCAACGATGTAAGTCCCTTGAAGCTGTCGACGTGTAACTTAGGATGAGTATTGACGTGTCGCAATAGTTCCAGGCTGCAGTAAGTGTGCCCTTGCGGACTCAGCATAATCCCCGTTGTTTGATTATTGTTTGAGACCTTTGGTCTTAGCGGTACTAGCGGCAAGGGGTTCGACACATTGGAGGAAGCGAAATCTTGGCTTTTGGCAGGCCTGCCCACATCTTTCAGTGTATTTGTGACGCAAACAACTACCAGTAAGTGTATATTCTTAGTTCTGGTCCTTTCGATGTGGTAACATGCTGTACTGTTCGACAGCTACACTTACGTGGGATGTAAGGTCTGAAGACCATCAATCAGCCCCGATATCCATGGGCACGGTTTCATATGAGTCCGCGAGACAGTATTCAGAACCTCAACCGGGCCGTCGTTGGATAGAGTACGAATTGCCCTCGGATAGGCTACAGACGATACCAAATAGTGACAGACTTACGCCTCCTCCACCCTACATTCCTTTGCAAGAAGCCGAACTTCCTCCTCTTCCCCCTCCACCAGTAATTGAGCTATCTGAAGAGCAGCGACGGGTCCTTCGACTCGTTGAAAGTGGCAAAAACATATTTTTCACTGGTCCAGCAGGTAAGCTTGCATGTCCGCTTTTTAAGATAAGAAATGAATGTATAACTTTCCAGGAACCGGAAAATCAGTTCTATTGAGAGCAATCATAAAATTGTTGCGACGTGAGGCTGGCGGGGTTGCCATCACCGCACCCACAGGCATAGCAGGCATGAACATCGGTGGTTCAACCATTCATTCCTGGGCAGGTATAGGTTTGGGCAAAGAATCTGTCGAGAAGTTGGTGGATGTTCTAGGTCCAAGGGCGATCAAACGATGGACACACACCCGTGCCCTTATAATCGATGAAAGTACGTCTGACCTACAGTGTTAGACAACTGTGCTAACATCCGACAGTTTCGATGCTGGACGGCCGTTTATTTGACAAGCTCGTATGATTTCATGCCTGTACCACATTTCATCTGCCTAACTTATTGGATAGGAAAAGATTGGTCAGACTGTTCGGGGAAGCCGTCTTCCATTTGGGGGTATACAGGTCAATAGTTGCTATTCTGGCCCTTATATTACCCTCTGGTTTCTAACAGGTTAAATAGCTTATCCTGTCAGGTGATTTCTTCCAGCTTCCACCTGTTCCCGAGCAAGATTCCACAACAATGATACCACCTACTTTTACTTTCGATGCGCTATCTTGGTCTCGATGCGTTGACGAGCCAGTTCTGCTCACAAAAGTTTTCCGCCAGAAGGATAGCAGTAGGTACTTCGGATTCCATACACCTCTCCGGACATCTTACAGAACTGTAGAGTTCATTGATATGCTCTCTGCGACGAGGTCAGGGCAATTGGAAGATTGGCACGTTCAAGAGTTCTTCAAGTTGAGCCGTGTGGTCGAATACTCCGATGGCATAAGTCCAACTCAATTGTACGTTTCTAGCATTCCTCGCTCCGTGTGGTGCATCATTAGTCACTGTCGTCCACAGGTTTCCACTAAAGAGCCAGGTGGAGTTGTGCAATAAATCACATCTCGACGTATTACCGGGGGAAATATTGACTTACACCGCCATGGAGTCTAGGGGTTTTAACATGTATGGAAAGCGAATATCAGCTGATGATGCAGAGCGGCTATTAGAAAGACTAGTTGCTCCGCGGGAGATATCTCTAAAGGTTTGTTGCGACTTGCTGTATGTCTAAATATGTTACCTAATTCACTACACATTCAGGTTGACGCACAGGTAATGCTACTTAGAGTGAGTGTCCCGAAATGACTGTATTGGCTGAGCCTGAACATACCTTCAAAGAACCTTTTGGAAGGCAGGCTGGTCAATGGCTCACTCGGCAAAGTGGTTGACTTTATCACCACGCATGAGGCGATTAAACGCCACATCGACATTGCCAAACTTGAGGCAGAACCTCTGCGTTCCAAAAATGGCGACTTTCTTCCTACCATTGATGCGGAGGCTGATG